GGTGTTACCATCTCAGTGTGGTCTCACCTTCAACACCCACTCTGGTTCCAATCTTCCTTATCTCCATTTTTCACCATCTAACACATTATACATTTTTTAGTAGTCTGTCTCACCCTACTATAATAAAAGTTCAGCAAGGGCAAAGATTTTTGTTTATTGCTTCAATAGTGTATCCCAGTGTTTACAAAAGTGCTTGATTCGTAATAGGCATGCAATAAAATGCTTGTGAACACACACATGATATGGAAACACAATCTTTGCATAAACTTTACAGATTTTGGACACTATCATGGATGGTTCTCAAGGACTACCTAGGGCCTTGATTTGGGGAAGACAGATTCTAAAGCATACATACTGAGTGGTTAGTCACCCCTTTTAAGTTGTATTTCTTTAACAAGCTGAATAAAAGTTGCATGTGCATATATTTGAAGACCAGAATTTCCATTTTTTACTGTATGGGAAGATTTATTATTTTCTTGCAGTGCCAGAGAGCAGGATGACTTAGTTTTCACTCTACTTTCTACTTTCAAATTCTGAACTGTGTTGCATGTATTACCTGTTCATTAAAAAATTAAAGCAAAAAGAAAATATCTTGAAAAATTAAGAAATACGACAGAGTTTAGGGTTTACCAATTTGTAAAGCTTGACCAATAGTTTTGATCTCAATCATAAACTCATTTCACATACTGTTGATGTGTGTTTGAACGCAGTCAACAGAAAAAAAATACAACTATATAATAATTACATAATAACATCAATAGCATAAGTTGGCCAAGAAATTACTAGCCAATACATAAACAAGAGAATCAGCATTCAGTATCTTTTCCTACAACTATGTGACAAAGACATTACATTAATAAATAGGAATTAGATAAGGTGATCCAAAACACTGATGATATCATTCTGTTAGTTAAATGATCACAGTATTGTGGTTAATGATACATATAAGAATTACAAAACACAAAGGGAAATAAAATTGCAACCCAAGCAAGGAATTCATTTAGCTAGTCACAGCATAGAACCTGGAAAATCCTGTTATCAAGAATTTAGATGAAACCTAACAATAAAACTTAAGTGATAGCTTGTCTTAGGGAAAAATACTGTTTTGCAAAAACCTGAAACTTAGTTAAAGTCACAGCTAAAAAAACTCAAAAGGTCAAAGCTTGAACCTAAAAGAAGAGCCACCTACACAGTTGCCAGCTTACTCTTTGAAGGCAGATCCAGGTAGTCTGCTTTTATGAGCATTTAGTTTCCTTTACAGAGAGCCCTTGATCAGTTCCAATCATTAACTGAGCAACCTAACCAGCACCCGTCTCCCAGTCAAGTTATCAAGGTGTAAACTTTCGTGACCTGAGATGGCCCTTATTGGTAAATGAGTAGCCCTGGGAAGGTCTGTGTGTAGACATGGCAAAAAAAAATGACTTCAAATTATTGTATTGATACTTTTTTGGAATCCTGTACTTACCTAAGTATGGTAGGAAGCCTTGTGATTATGTAGTTTTGTGAATGTTCTCTATTTTTAACGAGGTTGAAATTATTAAGAAGTTGATTTACTTAATTAAAAAAAGTGATTAATTAGATTTACAAGAGTTGCTTAGGTGCTTAGGAAGAATTTGTTCATTAAATTTAAAATCTTGCCTGAGTGTTTGAGAGAATCAAATTTATTCAAAAATTCTAAGGAAAGTGATAAATATTTAAGTAGTATTAAATATTTGGGAATAATTTAATCTGTGAAATGTAATAAAATATAAGTGAAACTGATTGCTTTATATTTTCACAAAATAGACTCAAGACAAAAGGATCTACAAGCATATCTAGTTTGTTTAAAATATGACTGAGAATTAAAACACAAGTAACTGTCAATGTTCCTTCTGTACTTGAAAACTCCCCTGAAATACTTCAAAAAATTACTAACAATTACCATGCCAGGTTTTTTTCTTCATTTTTAATATGAGCCACTCATTATTCATTTAGCAATACTAAATAACAAAGAATCCATTTCTTTATATAAAATGAAGAGTTGTCTTACATTTTCAGTTCTTAAAGCTTATTATTAATAATATAATCATATTTATTTTTCTTAAAGGGCAGAATTGAGAATTACTTACATGTAACACATTATGAATAAAAAATAAGTAAACTTTTACCTTGTAAGAATAGCTGATATAAAAATTATTCACCTGAGAATAAATTCTTTCATTTTATATACTATGTTCTTTCAAAAAAGAAAATGAAAAATCAACGTTAGCAATATTAAAAATATATTAAGGATAAAAGCATTTCTATTTTTCAAAAATTAATGCCTATTTTTGTTACATGAAAATACAGTATGGTGTTTCATCAAATTCAGAGTACAATCAGAATGAAATGTTGTGTGACCAACAGAACAGCAATAAAACAATGACAACACTTACCCTAAGTAGACTTAATTGTGCTCCAATGAAATAGTGATAGTACCACTAGCAAGGCATTGGTCAGATGATATTATAGTTAGTTACATAAGTACCTCTCTTCCTCCTCCTAGACTGTAAGATCTCACAGGGCCAAAACTGATAGTCATCTTTCTACCCAAAGAACCCACCGCTTGAAACACAGTCACTACAATGTCTGTTGAATTAAACTACCCTAACAACATTTTAAGGATGAAAATAAAAATACTGATTTAAGATAGTTTGTGCCAGTTTAAAGGAAAAAATGCTTTTAAAGAAAACCTACTCAGCCTTTTACTAAAAACAAACTGGAAAAAAATTAAGAGTCCATTAAGCAAAATGTAAAGTACACTCATCCTGCTTTTCACTGTTACCGGTTGCTCAGGTCTTAACCGCTGTAGAAGGATGTTTGCCTTACTAGTCAACAACCACATCACTCAGTGAAGTCCAGCCTTTACTCTAACTTCAACATTTGATCATGGATGGAAAATATAAGCTAGGTGATGCTGGTTTTTTTCCAACTTTTGCCTAATATATGTATTTATATTTACTTGCATTAGTAAAGAAAAAAGATTTTGAGACCAGTAATTTAAGACATTTTGAAATAAAGTGATACATATTCAAAAACATGAACTGTATACTGTAAATAAAGATAAACTTCACATTTGACTTTCTGTCTCCTTTTCTTCCATCTTATTTAGCCTTGTTTTCCTAGTTAAATTATGCTTCTGAATTGGAAAGATTTTATTACTGGAAAAAGGGAATAGAACATTTCTACAAATAATTCATGACCAAAATATATTCACTCTAAGTATGTAAAAACTAAAAAAAAATTAATTCAAATGTCTTTTTTTACAAGTGCTTACAAAAGGACAATAATAGTAAAGTGACTGAATGGATATAACGGATAGGAACATGGTTATGACTAGTCAGCATAATCTCAACTTTCACTCTGCAGGAAAAAAATTTTCCGTTGCATTGATGACACATTCACAGATGTAAAGTGAAGGGGACCAGCTCAATGTGCAAAAGCAGGTAACGCCCTGTTCGTCATGCTCTATTTTAACACAATCCATCTTTCTCAGTATGGTCAGCTTCTGAAAAACCACCTTTTCAGTGACTCCCCTAGAAGTTTCTTACACTGAGTTCAAGTGTTCAAGGTAATATATAGCCACAAAAACACATCCCAAAAGAGAAGCCCCCGGGTATTTATACGAATATTAGATACTAAAAGATATCTCTTTAAATTTACGGCACCATTTAGCATTGATTTGCTTAGAAAATACAACATGCTATTGATTAATTTATCTTCAAAGGTAAAGATTTTCTTTCAAATTTGTCTTGAATTGTATTCATCATGCAGAACTAAAGTTGAGTAAAGTTACAACTTTTACTAAAGATGTAACAGTGAGATTTCTCAGGTGAAGAATCCAAAAGCTTGGTATCATGAGGCAAGTCATTTGATAATAAAAGATTAAAAACTAGTGCCAACTAAATCTTCCAAGGAGAAATAACCTAGCTGTAAGTTGTAAAATGCAAGCCGAGACTGTAAGGCAGCTCCTTTAGGTTAGTTAGAAGACCTGTGAGACAGCTGGTACAGCAGGTTCTTCAGGCTCGTGTACGGCACTTGCCAAAGCAATGGAGAAAATACCACTCATGTACCTTGTACCAAGACTGAGAAGAGATCACCGCTTAAATCAGCCACTAGAGCCTAAAATCACAGATGTCTTATCACACAGGAGAGCTAAAAGCTTATCAAGTTTTACCTAAGTTAAATAGCTAATGACTTCATTAAAGGGTTTGGCTTTTTAAAGTAACTCAGTACCAAATTCTTATGTTGCTGCTGTTGTTTTTAAGACTCCATCACAATCCTAACACATTTGTTTTTGTAAAGTTAATACTTTCATTCATCTGGTTGAAATATAATTTTACAGGGTGAAATTATGGTTTCTTATTAAAGAGAATTAAGCATAGTTTACTTCAAATCCTTAAGTTAACCCCCAAAAGTTTACTTACATCCCAACATATTCCAAAGTGAATCTGAGGTGAATTAGTAAATAAATCTACACACTGATATACTTAAAACTCTTTGGAGGAGAGAGAGAGTCAAATACTAAAGTTTTCCAATAAAAACGATTACCAAAAAGATTATTTCATTCTAGAATAAAAGAAAATGTGCTTTAGGAAGGAAGATGACAAAAGCAATTTCTATCTTCCGTGGAGGAGTGGAGGAAAAGGTATGGCTAATTCTTCCAACTCTATAGATGTCTATCATTCTATCCACAAACAATCGGACTATTACAGAAGATCCTAGACATAGTCTTCCTGTAATTATAATAATTAAAACACCTCTTAATTTTACTGTAAGCAAAAGAAATGTGACTTCAAATACCTAAGTTATCTATGTCTACAATCACCTGATGAACAAGGTCTCCTTTCATTGACTGCGGGTGATGAGCGCCACCTAGTGGATGTCACTTCCCACAGACCTCTATCTGCACGGAGACTGACTAGTGTTGATGCTTGAAGATTTTCAGGATGCCAACTTCTATTCAAAGTTTCTTTTAGAAATTAAAAAGGAGAAGCAAGAAACTTTTTATTTATGTCTCTCTTCTACATACCATTTATATATTAGTTATTTAGATTGGGACATTATATACTTACATAACAAAATGGTATAAACAATACAGATAACTGTTCAAAATAAAATTATTCTATCATTTTTTTAAATCATAATTGAAGCACTATTTTTGAAAGGTGAAAAAGCAAATATTGAACTTCACCCAGAGACTACAATTCAACATACTTCAAATATAAACATGCAGTTTCAATTAATTATACATAAGGTTTATTTGAAGAAAAGCAAAACACACAGCCACAGCATTCAATTAAGGAACTTAGGAAAATCTCAAGTGCTTTCGTGGTTCTTCAGTTACCAATCAAATAATACACTTTTTAAACCAAAGTTAAAGTGGAAAAAAAAATTCAGTAAGCAGACTAAGCAATACAAATTCAAAATACTACTCTGTCTTCCTGTGTTCTTTCCCACCAAAGTGTGCTGTTCAAAGTTCCACAACTATTATCTTCTTCCTCTTGTTCTTTGGTGAGTTCTACAAAAACCTAAATGAAAGTAAATAAATTAATACAGTATTCTGTATCGCAACTATCTCAAAGAATTTTTAACTAAATCAGAAATGGTACAATGTTATATCTAATTACATTAACCCTTCAAGTATCAACAGATTTATTGCTATTATTATTTAAACAGAATAATCTCCATTAATCACATACAAAGACGAATAGTTAATTTAAAGAATTAATAGATTACTTGTTTTCTGATTAATATACGTAAGCAGCAGTTATAAAAAATAATTTATAAATATTAAGCAATGTAATTTCAGATATGCTAATATAAAATACCATCATCATGATCTATTTTCTTCACTAAAATGAAAAAAATTGAGCTACTCAAAATAAATGAAGAACCTAAAGTTGTTTAAAATTATACAAAGTTGAAGAATATTCTATAACAATTTGTCTTTGGTTCACAAACTCCCTCTCCAATATAAATCTAAATAATTAAATATTGGGTACTTTTTTCAATAAAAGAACTTTTAAAAATTTAACATTATAGTACCTGTTCCAATGTTGCTTGAGAAAAGCTATATTCTTCAATGGCAAAAGTATGTTTAGCTATTAAAACATGAAAACAATATTTTACTTATTAATATTTTTAAAGAATAAAAATGGCAGTAACCAAGTGGCCAACAATCTGTTTTTTTAAGAAAAATCTCTATAATCAATTAAATTTGAAACACGTTATTTTCCTCTATCTTGCTTCCTTTCTCTCCCCTCCCTGCACAGTTCCTCTGTAGTCCTAAGCACTACATATTTAATGCACTTGCCTTATTTCACCTTTACCAAGCACCTCCTCTTTACCCTCCTCTATATCCTTCCTCATGATTCATTTCTTCATGATTTCTTTTAATCCCTGGTATCTCCTATTCCCCAATTCCAATACAGCCTGTTCTTGAATTTGTTTTGTTTTGGTGAGGAAGATTTGCCCTGAGCTGACATCTGTGCCAATCTTCCTCCACTTTGTATGTGGGATGCCTCCACAGCATGGCTGATGAGTGCAGGAGGTCCACACCCAGGATCCTAACCCATGAACCTGGGCGACCGAAGTAGAGCGCACAGAACTTTAACCACTCGGCCATGGGGCCAGCCTCCCTATTCTTGATTTCTTGAACTATATTCTGGACTCTGTTCTTGTGTCCATATACTTTTTTATATTTATTTCAAATCCTTTTGCAATCTAATCTAATGTATCAAATTTTCTGGGTTTCTAGTCATTCCTTTAATTCTCCTTAAGTAGTTCAGGTGTTGTCTTTAATCATAAAGAAAGCATCAGGAAATATAGGTTGTTTCATAGTTTATAGAAGCCACAAAATAACCAATATATGAATACTTGCCCCACCCAGGAGCTTACCTCTCTTTATGGTACCAGTATATCTTTATTGTACTACCATTTATTTTAAAAATGCCATGATTTGATAAACTTCTTTAAAGCTTTTAGGAACGCCCACCCTCCCACACTATGAAGTCTCTCCTCTCTCCTGCTGCCACGGGAGTCTTACTACCATTGCTATTTCTGTGTCCCAATATGAAGCAAGGATTCCAGAAACTCAGTGCTCCCACTTCTGGACTGAATCAGCGAGGACTAATTAAGCTGAACTTTCTCAGGTGAAAAACTGTGGTGATGTCTATTAAAGACAAGAAAAGGTTTATACTACAATATAGTTGATTACCAAATACCTACATATTAGTACTCACCTACATCTTAGATTAAACTTATTTACCATAGTTTCTATAATACGAACTTCGAGACTTTTTAAATAAAATTCTGGTATAATTTGAAAGCCACCTTACAATGTTTTCAAATATTACTTACCTTCTTCTAGCTTAGAAAACGACTGTGAAAGGGACTGAACATCTTCCTTAGGAATTTTATAAGCCAAAATAGAAGAAAAACTGAAAACAAAAATAGGATAAAATATAGGAAAATTACAAATAACTACTACTGTGTTCTAAAGGTAAAGTTCAAAATTTTTAAAGCTCAGAATTAAACCCCAATAACTTACTTTGATACTTAATTAGATAAAAATTAATTGTTGAAATCTTAAAATATTTCCATGTACAATAAAGTAACTCTCATTACTACTAAGTAAGAATTTTTAAAAGTTTAAATACTATCAAACCTTGAAAGATCTAACACTAAATTAGATATCAAACTCCAGTCATGAGACTATGTTAGTCCAATATTGGCAATAATACAGACTATTTTTTCCTAATCCTTAATACAATAACCAATTTTCATGATTATTACTATACAAAGAAATATAACTCCATTTTTTAAATCTTTACCTTTCCTGACGGCTCGCATTTGGGAAAATATACTGAATTTCTCTTTGGAGTCGGTCTACTTCTAGATTTTCTATCCAGTCCTTTAATTTAATTTCCAAAAAGTAGCCTTTTCCAAATTTGCTCTTCAGGTGTTGGACTGTCCCAATACATCTGTCATGATTTTTAAAAGAAAACTCAGATACAAAATGAGTTGACAGTTCCAAAGGATGATGCCTCACTTAAAGAATGATTTAAATAAAATGTTTATGATGGAATACTTTCAAATTTATAGACAGACAAGTTGCAAATATAATACAGAGAGTCTCCATACACCCCTCACCCAGTTTCAGTTTCCCTAATATTTATCATCATATATTACCATGGCTCATTTGTCAAAATTAAGAAACCAACGATGTATTACTATTAACTTTATTTGACTTTATTTGGATTTCACCAGTTTTCCACCCATGTCCTTTTTCTGTTCCAGGATCTATCCAGGATACCACGTTGCACTTAGTTGTCATATCTCTTAGTCTCCACTGGTCTGTGACAGTTTCTTAGTCTTTCCTTTTATGACTTTGACAGCTTTGAGAAGAACTGGTCAAGTGTTTTGGTAGAATGTCCCTCAATTTGGAGTAGTCTGTTTTTTCTCATGATTAGACTGGGGTTATGGGTTTTTGGAGAAAATAAAACAGAGCTGAAGTACTTTTCTTATCACCTCATATCAGGCAGAAGATGACATTGCTTTGTTAAGGTAGTATCTGTCAGGTTTCTGTACTATAAAGTTACTACTTTCCCCTTTCCGTGCATTAGAAGAGACTGGCTAAGTCCAGACTTTACTTGAGAAGTAGGGGATTAAATTTCCCCTCCTACTAGAGGGGTAGTATCTACATACATTAGTTGAAATCCTTCTGTAAGGAAGATTTGCCTCTTCTTTCACATTTATTTATTCAGTCATTTATTTGCATAAGTATGAACTTACGTATATTTATTTTATACTTTGGGCTGTAATCTAATATAATGCCTAGCAATTTTTAAAAACAAACACTGAGGAGTGACGTCAGCATCATGGTGGAGTGAGGTCTCTCAGAAATCGTTCCCCTCCAATATAAAACAAAAAAAATCCATAATCCAACAGAGGACATCCAATCACAGCACAAAAAACATTGGAGAGATCCATGCAGCCATATGATGGAGGGCAGAGAGAGTGGAGCCCCCCTCGGAGGAGGTGGAATGGGGTAAGAGAAATCTTCATTCCCTCCCCTTAAAGACTGCGATCCGGGACCGTGGGAGGCCTCCGAGAGGGAAGGAACAGGGGAGGGGACGTTTGTTCAAGGGAACATCGAGGACTCCCAAGGGCCCTTGCAGCCTAGAGGGAAGCCCTTTACCAGGGTGAAAGCTTTCATGGGTGGTGACCTTATCAAGCCAACACCCCAGGAGAGCAGTCAGCAAGAGCAGAAGGAGAAAACTTTGAAACCACGCAGGAGAAAGCACCCCTCACCCCCACCCATTCAGCATGGCTCCAGACCCTGGGATTTCAGCTGAAGGCACAGGGCTCAGAATACGTGGCTCTTGACCCCTACTCAGGGGCGATAGGTGGTAACTGCAACCAAATGATGCCAGGATGCAAAAGAACAGAGCCACTCCCTCTAGCAATATCAAACATTATATTAGATCTCCAGACCAGAGAGAAAATGACAAGTACCCAGAAATCAGTCCTGAGAATGCAGAAATACGAAGAACTCAAAATAGCTATCATCAAAAAACTCAACAAGGTAAAAGAGAATGTAGGGAAACAATTCAGTGAGTTCAGGAGCTACTTCACAAAAGAGATTGAAACTATAAGTAAGAATCAATCTGAAATATTAGAGATGAAAAACACAATGGAAGAAATAAAACAAAATATGGATTATCTGGATGCTTCAGCAGACAACATAGAAGAGCGTATGGGCATAATCGAAGATAGACATGTTGAAATGCTCCAGATAGAGGAAGAGAGAGAACTAAGACTGAAAAGAAATGAAGAAAGCCTTCGAGAAATATGTGACTCAATTAGGAAATGCAACATAAGAATTACAGGTATTCAAAAGGAGACGAGAAGGAGAATGGAATAAAAAGCTTGTAAAAAAAAGACATAATAGCAGAGAACTTCCCAAACCTTGGGAAGGAAATCCATGTGGAAGAAGCTGCCAGATCTCCTAAATATGTCAATGTAAAAAGACCTACTGCAAGGCATATAGTTGAGAAACTGGCAAAACTGAATGACAAAGAAAGAATACTTAAGGCAGGAAGGCAGTCAAAAATAACCTACAAAGCAACTTCCATCAGACTTTCAGGGGATTTCTCTGCAGAAACCTTACAGGCTAGGAGAGACTGGAATGACATGCAAATCATTGAAGGACAAAAACTTTCAGGCAAGAATACCGTATCCAGTGAAAATATCCTTCAGATATGATGGAGAAATAAAAACTTTCCCAGACAAACATAAGCTAAGGGAGTTCATAGCCACGAGACCCACCCCCTCACAAGATATCCTCAAGAAGGCCCTCATACCTGAAAAAAAAAGGGAGAAAGGGGTTACAAAGCACAGAGTAAGGAGTTAAACAGGTAGACAGAATCAGAGCAAGATAGCAAATACTCAAATATAGCATTAAAGACAAAGGGAAGAAAAACACCAAAAACAAAGATAATCTTGTCATTTTAACCACAAACTCATAACACAAGATGAAATAAGATGTGAGAAAAACAACTTAGGAGAGGAAGAGGAAAGGGACTGAACTGGTTTAGTCTAAGGAAATTAGAGGCCATCAGAAAAGGGGCTAGCTTATCCACGAGATCTTGAACACAAACCTCAGGGTAACCACTAAACAAAAAAGCAGAACAGAGACACAAATAATAAATAAGGAGAAAACAAAGAAACACAATATAAAAAGCTACATAACTCCATTGGTAGACCAAAATACACAGGACGAGAAACAAAGGAAATGCAGGAGAACAGGAAAACAAGTGGTAAAATGGCAATATTAAACCCTCATATATCAATGATCACCTTAAACTTAAATGGATTGAAAGCTCCAATAAAAAGACACAGAGTGGCGAGATGGATTAAAGAACAAGACTCAACAATATGCTGCCTCCAGGAAACACATCTCAGCTCCATTGACAAACAAAGGCTCAGAGTGAAGGGATGGAAGATGATACTAACGGCAAACAAAAGAAAACAGGTGTTACAATACTTATATGAGACAAAGTAGACTTGAAGATAAGACAGGTAAGGAGAGACAAAGAGGGGCAGTATATAATGATCAAAGGGACATTCCATCAAGAAGAAATAACACTTATAAATATCTATGCACCCAAGACAGGAGCACCAGAGTAAATAAAGCAACTATTAACAAACCTAAAAGAAGACATTAACAATAACACAATAATAGTAGGGGACCTCAACACTCCACTCACATCAATGGATAGATCATCCAGACAGAAAATCAACAAGGAAACTGGAATTAAATGAAAAGCTAGACCAGATGGACTTAATAGACATATATAGAACACTCTATCCAAAAACAGCAGAATACACATTCTTTTCAAGTGCGCACAGAACATTCTCAAGAATAGACCATGTGTTGGGAAACAAGGCAAGCCTCAATAAATTTAAGAAGATTGAAATAATAACAAGCATCTTTTCTGATCACAATGCTATAAAGCTAGAAATTAATTACAAGAAAAAAGCTGAGAAAAGGACAAAGATGTGAGACTAAACTACATGCTATTGAACAACCAATGGATCACTGAAAAAATTAAAGGAGAAATAAAAAAAATCTGGAAACGAAAATGGAAACATACCATACCAATTCATATGGGATGTAGCAAAAGCCATATTAAGAGGAAAATTCATCGCAATACAGGCTCACCTTAACAAACAAGAAAAAAAACAAATAAGCAATATCAAACTACACCTAATTGAATTAGAAATAGAAGAACAAACAAATCCCAAAGTCAGCAGAAGGAGAGAAATAATAAAAATCAGAGCAGAAATAAATGCTATTGAAACAAAAAAGGCAGTAGAAAGTATCAATGAAATAAAGAGCTGGTTCTTTGAGAAGATACACAAAATCAACAAACCCCTAGCCAGACTTACAAAGAAAAAAACAGAGAAAGCTCAGATAAATAAAATTAGAAATGAAAGAGGAGAAATAACAATGGATACCACTGAAATACAACGGATTATAAGAGAACACTATGAAAAACTATATGCCAACAACATGGACAATCTCGAGGAAATGGATAAATTCTTAGACTCTTACAACCTCCCAAAGCTGAATCAAGAAGAAATAGAGAATCTGAATAGACCAATCACACGTAAAGAGATTGAAACAGTAATCAAAAGCATCCCAAAGAATAAAAGCCCAGGACCAGACGGCTTCCCTGGGGAATTCTACCAAGCTTTCAGAGAGGATTTAACACGTATCCTTCTCAAGTTATTCCAAAAAATTAGGGAAGATGCAACACTTCCTAACACATTCTATGAGGCCAACATCACTCTGATACCGAAGCCTGACAAGAACAACAGAAAAAAGGAAAACTACAGGCCAATATCGCTGATGAATATAGATGAAAAAATCCTCCACAAAATATTGGCAACCCGAATACAGCAATACATCAAAAAAGATCATGCATCATGATCAAGTGGGATTTATTCCAGGGACACAGGGATAGTTCAACATCCACAAATCAATCAATGTGATGCACCACACTAACAAAAATGAGGAACAAAAACCACATGATTATCTAAATAGATGCAGAGAAAGCATTTCACAAGATCCAACAGCCATTTATGATAAAAACACTTAACAAAATGGAGATAGAAGGAAATTACCTCAACACAATAAAGGCCATAGATGACAAACCCACAACCAACATCATACTCAATGGGGAGAAAAAGAACACCATCCCTCTGAGAACAGGAACAAGACAAGGATGCTCACTATCACCACTCTTATTCAACACAGTACTGGAGGTTTTGGCCAGAGCAATTAGGCAAGAGAAAGGAATAAAAGGAATCCAAATAAGGAATGAAGAAGAGAAACTCTCACTGTTTGCAGCCGACATGATCTTATATATAGAAAACCCTAAAGAATCCATCAGAAAACTATTAGAAATAATTAACAACTACAGTAAAGTTGCAGGGTACAAAATCAACTTGCAAAATCAGTTGCATTTCTGTACTCTAATAACGAACTTACAGAAAGAGAACTTAAGAACACAATTCCACTTACAATCACAGAAAAAAGACTAAAGTACCTAGGAATAAATTTAACTAAGGAGGCGAAGGACTTATACAATGAAAACTATAAGACATTATTGAAAGACATAGATAATAACATAAAGAGATGGAAAAAGATTCCATACACATGGATTGGAAGAATAAACACAGTTAAAATGTCCATACTACCCAAAACATTCTACAGATTCAATGCAATACCAATCAGAATCCCAATGACATTCTTTGTGGAAACAGAGCAAAGAATCCTAAAATTCATATGGGGCAACCAAAGACCTCGAATTGCTAAAGCAATACTGAGAAAAAAGAACAAAGCTGGAGGGATCACAATCCCTGACTTCAAAGTGTACTACAAAGCCATAGTGATCAAAATAGCATGGTACTGGTACAAAAATAGGCAAACAGATCCATGAAACAGAACTGAAAGCCCAGAAATAAAACCGCACATGTATGGACAGCTAATCTTCAACAAAGGTACCAAGAACATACAATAGAGAAAAGACAGTCTCTTCAATAAATGATGTTGGGAAAACTGGACAGCCACATGCAAAAGAATGAAAGCAGACCATTATCTCACGCCATACACAAAACCTCAAAACCGATCAAAGACTTGAAGACCTGAAACCATAAAACTCCTGGAAGATAATACAGGTAGTACACTCTCTGACACTGAACTTAAAAGGATCTTTTCGAATACCGTGTCTTCTCAGACAAGGGAAACAAAAGAAAAAATAAAGAAGTGAGAATTCGTCAGACTAAAGAGCTTCTGCAAGGCAAAAGAAACTAGGATCAAAACTAAAAGACAACTCACCAATTGGGAGAAAATTTTTGCAAATCATGTATCCGATAAGGGGTTAATCTCCATAATATATAAGGAACTCACACAACTGAACAACAAAAAAACAAACAGCCCGATCAAATAATGGGCAGAGGATAAAAACAGACATTTTTCCAAAGAAGATATACAGATGGCCAATAAACACATGAAAAGATGTTCAACATTACTAATCATCAGGGAAATGCAAATCAAAACTACACTAAGATAACACCTTACACCTGTTAAAATGGCTATAATCACTAAGACTAAAAATAACAAATGTTGGAGAGGGTGTGGAGAGAAGGGAACCCTCATGCACTGTTGGTGGGAATGCAAACTGGTGCAGCCACTATGGAAAACAGTATGGAGATTCCCCAAAAAACTAAAAATAGAACTACCTTATGACCCACCTATCCCACTACTTGGTCTCTACCCAAACAACTTGAAATCAACAATCCAAAATAACATATGTATCCCTATGTTCCCTGCAGCATTATTCGCAATAGCCAAGATGTGGAAACTATCTGAGTGCCCAACAACTGATGATTGGATAAAGAAGATGTGGTATATATACACAATGGAATATTACTCAGCCAGAAAAAAAGACGAATTCATCCCATTTGCAATAACATGGAAAGACCTGGAGGGAATTATGCTTAGTGAAGTAAGCCAGACTGAGAATGACAAACATCAAATGATTTCACTCATATGTGGAAATATAAATGAGCACATGGACAAAGAAAACAGGGGTTACCAGGAAAATGGGGGTGGGGGGGGTTGGCACAGGGGGTAAAGGGAAGCACCTATGTGGTGACAGACAAGAAATAACTTAGAACTGAAATTTCACAGTGATGCAAACTATTATGAACTCAAATAAAAAAAACCAAATAAACAAATAACAAATATCATGCCTGAAAATAACAAGTTGTGGAATAATTAAGCCAATTCCAAATGCAGCTAGCCACTTTTTTGAAAAAATTAACATATTTCCAAGTAATCCCATAGAAGGGTAAGTGATTCAAAAATTCAACCATGGAAACATTATTTTTAACATTCAAATTAATGTATTATAAGTTTTGAAATGATGACACTCTTAATTCACCTCCTCACATGCATCCCCAAAAGGTACATTGTTCAGACATCTACCTTAACTGCCCAGATACCATGATAGCCACTCGGTCACAGACAGCCTCCGCCTCCTCCATATAATGAGTGGTCAGAATAGCAGACCGTTTTTTGTTTTTAAATGCAGTTCGAATTGCTCGCCTACAAAACATAAATAGAATAAAGAGAGAAGAAAGCATCTGAATGCTAATGAAAATACCTGGGTTTTTAAAAATCCAATTATTTGGTTGATTAGGTTAATTAAAATTGATCAAATATCAATTGCTATAGTTATGTTCTGTCCAACTATGATTTTTCTAATTTATTTTCCCTTATTTTTGAAAGCTCGTCAAACAGTCAGAAATTCCGTGATTTTAAATGTTTCTATGTGTCAAAAAACAAATTATAAAAATTGATGCCATTTTATGTTGCAACAAAAACAGCCAGAGAATCAGAGGGAAATCTTAACATGCATCTAAACCCAATCTTACATTGTATAGACATGGAAATCTAGGCTCAAAGAGTCGGTCAACTAATTAGCACTGTGCATTTCTAGAAAGAGTTCCAACATAAATTCAAGTCAGTATTATTATGAGAAAGAGTTATATATATAATATACAATATATATATAATTATATATAACATATAATTTATACGTTAAGTAACTAGGAAAAAACTTTTTTAAAACTATTCAGACAGAAGTACTCTTTATTTTAATAATTACCCATACACCCATTTTTGTTTTGGAATATACAAAATATTATTATTACTTCATGAAAAATATAATAAAGTTTAAAGGATTCTCTAGAAATCAAAATATTTAGTTTTTAATTACTATTTAATCATTTGTGTTGGATTTTAAATCAGTATGTAAATACAGCTACTACAAAACCATTAGTTTTAATAAAATATTCTTTTATTCTGAAGTATGATATAGTATAATGTGTCTCAAAAGTGTCTTTAACGTCATACTCACCACATGTGCTGTTTGGCTTTAGGATCCATACCTGTAGATGGTTCATCTAACAAAGTAATCTGAGGATTCCCCAGCATACTTAGAGCAAAACACAACTAGACGGAAAGAAAACAAGAGGACAGAGAACTAATAAGGCTTCACTATAAGGAATTCTATCAATGGTTTAGTATCAGGCACTAAACTTTGAATAAAACATACACATATTTGTTTTTTTAATAAAAGTACCTTTCGCTTAATTCCTGCAGGTAGTTTCTTTATAGTTTTCTGAAGATGTTCCTTTAAATCAAGTGCATTTGTTATTCTGCAAAACAGATAATACAAAACCAGTATATTAGCACTTATTGTTTGTGATCACTGACATTCTTCTTTTCTAGAACACTCAGTTGAAGCTAACTATAATTAGACCTCCAATTTACATCATTTTAAACAAATTAATACCTTGATAAAAAGATTCACTTTAAATTAAAATAAGTGTCATGACATTTATAAGCATATCTATTCTGTAATTAGAAATAGAGAAACTGCCTTTTTATTTTCATAGCTATTGTAATATGGTAAAGAATATACACAAAAGTAACGACCATTTTCTATGAAAATTATGACCCACAGAAATGCCTGTTACGAAATTTTAAAAACATGAAATGTAAACCTTTCTCCAGATAACAAAATGGTTCTAAATTTTACCGATATATGACTTCTTTCATGTCATCTGCACTCATTCCTTTCACAGCTCCATAAATTTCAAAATGTTCCTGCAATGTAATATCTGGCCACAGCGGGTTTATTTGAGGACAGTATCCCATATACTTAATGGAATCATCATCTTCAGCTGGGTCTGAAGAATAATCTCTTAGAAATACCTACAGAAGTACAAACCCATTTTAAACAACTATGTAACTATTTTTGCTTAATTTACATTGTGAAGGAAATGGCAAGTGGATGAATTCAAACTCTTTCCTAGAGCCAGAGTAATATCAGGTGAGATTTTTACTCCTTTTGATGAAGAAAGGACATAGGTAGCTAAATCAGAGCTCAGTGACATGGCCAGAAAGGGCTATTAGGAATGCAGGGTTGACTGGGAAGGCCAGCTCCAATTTAAAGTAGGAAGATCGGGGGGCCTCACTGGAGGTGATACTGAGCCAGGAAGGTAAGTAAATTTAGTCACTTTGACTTCTATGGTGTAAGGAATAGCCAACAGGCAAAAACCCAATGAAAAGAGAGTCCCTGCATTTTCCAGGAGAGCATCGAGCCAGTGAGGTTGGTGTGATGTAAGCAAGGAGGGGAGGAGCAGGAGACAGGACCAGAATAGTTTTGTGAAGTTTCCACAGAGTAGTGAGTGATATGCTTATAATCAGAGACTAACTGATGGCAGCGTCAAGACTAGCTCCCATATCTCCTGAAGTTAATAGTATTACCTTCCACTAAGTTGGTGGACCAATCACACATAATTATAATAATTATAAAAGCAGAAATACAGTCTTGGATCACTTAATGACAGGGATATGTTCTGAGAAATGTGTCATTATGCGATTTTGTCATAGTATGAACATCATAGAGTGTACTTACACAAACCTAGATGGTGCAGCCTCCTACACACCTAGACTATATGGTACTCATCCTATGAGACCACTGTAGTATATACATGGTCCATCATCGACCAAAAAGTCATTATGTGGCACATGACTGTACTGTATATGCATGTGTCTATGAAAATTTCACTATGTACATTATTTTCACAGATAAGCAAAAAGATAATAATTTGATCAAGCTATACTAAAAAATTAATACTAAAAACAAGTAAAATTTAAGCATCAAAATCCTAATTTATCACTAAGAAATTTATTTTAATTAAAACCATAAATCGTAGTCAACATATCCCACATTATATATCATACCTGGCCTGAAGTTGGTTCAATATCACCAACCAGAATATTAATAATTGTGCTTTTTCCTGCACCATTTGGACCCAATAGTCCCAAGATCTCTCCTACAGGAAGTGAAAGAAAAGTCATCATACATAAATCAAACTAAAAATGGAAATTACTCTTCTAGAAAAGTTATTTAAGAAAAAATAAATACCAGCCTTTTTTCACACAGAAAGAGACATATTTAGTTGCCACTTTCTTTACTTTTCTTGTAAGAAGAAAATCTTTCCTGTCATCGTATTCTTTATGCAAGTTGTTGACCATAATGGCTGGTTTCTAATAAGGGAAATAGGATTTAAAAAGAGAGTTATAAATCAGATACCAATCATGAAATAACAGGCTGCACACAACTCATGTCTATATCCCAAGAACTATAATTGCTAATAAAGGGTATTGTAGAAATAAATATCCATTTATGACTAAAATAATGGCTTATTCAAAAGAAAGTGGACAAAACTATTTTTTCAAAGAAAGATTTTTTGTTCAGATTGATTCATATGGAAAGAAAAATATTTTTCAGATTAATTTCTACACATGGGGAACTGATTATTGCACAATTAATATGACTTAGCAATAAAGACTAAATTACCTCCTCACAACACTGGCAACTCATCAGCTCTTTGACCTTTAGTCTTTCAGCTTTGACATCTTCATCTTCATCCTCATTGTTTGGTGGTTCTGGAAACTTCCTACTTTTGGACTTTGTTGAAAGGGTCCTAAACAAATAAACATAGCAGATTTTCAAATTCAAATAGTAAGAAATCCAAGCATTACATAGAGAAAAGAATAAAAGAATATACCAATACGAGATCTGTGGTTCTCTCTGAAAGGCGGAATTACAGAGCTATTTTTCATTCATTGATACTATTTGAATGATACTATCTAAATTCTTTTATTCAACAATAATATTTATGATCAGTATATGTAAGGCACTATTTCATACAAAGATAAAAAGATAAAAACACAAGTACCCCTCCCTCAAATAATTTGCAGTCTGAGTATAAATGAGATTGCCCAGGCAGAAAAGATGTAGAGGGCTAAATTCAGAACCCACAGAAACACCATAAAGGTAGGCAGAGGAAAAAGCGCTTCTGAAGGAAATTATGAAGCAATAGTAAGAGGTAAAGAGGCAAACAGGAGTTGACATTGCAGAAAACAAATGAACAAGAGAAAAGTACAAGAAGGGAGAAGTCAGTCATATTAAAAGCTTCAGACTAGTTAAATAAATTGAGCCTACCTGAAAAATAAAGAAGTCATTAGTTAGCTTACTGAAAATAGTATCAACAGAAAGGTAAGGGCAGAAACCAGATTGCAGGGAATTAAGGAGTAAATGGGAGGTGAGGAACTGAAGACGGAAGTCTTTTGGCTATTAAAGAAAAGAGAGATATGGGATAACAGCCAAAGAGGGATTCAGGTTTAAATGAGATTTATGAGTTCTGACATCTATTACTTTGTTTTATATGGGAGAAAGATGACCCCTCCTGAAAGAAAAACACCCTACTAAGATCCAAAAGAGAAAGACATAGAAAGAGAAAAGAAAACTGACTGAGCAACATCCTTAAGTAGACAGAATAAATGAAGACTTGGATAACAGGAGAGGTATCTCTTCCTCTGGGACTGGGAAAAGGCAAAAATGATGAAAGATGTGGATAAGTGCAAAAATTTATGATTTATAATTAAATGCCTCTGTTTTCTTAGAGGGCAAGATCATCTACTGAGAAGCAGGAAATGAGGTGAGGTTAGGTGAATTTGGGAATTTGAGGAATACAAAAACAGCTTGGGATAACTAGTAAAAAGAAAGAGACAGGAAGGTGCTGACTAGGGAAATGTGACAGGGTTACTAGACCATGTTAAAATAAAGTTGAGTTTATATGGGTAAATATGCAGAAATGTCAAACTGTACTTTTATTTTTCTCCAGCATATAATTAGATCCACCAAAAATTATGATTTTTAGTGGACAGGTCAAAGATATATGGAAGTTGAGGGTGAAAGTGATGAATTATGTGAGCAAGGCTGGACAGAGAAAAAAGTAAAAACAAGGATTAGCTCATACATTTGTGAGAACAGAAAAATCTCAAGAGTATGAAACCATAGGGGAAAAGACCAACAGGGCTAATAAAATAAGAAATCTGGAAAACTGAAAAGTTACTGGTAGCATTGGAAACTGAAGTTTAAGATTTTACAGATCAAGTGAAGAGCAGTGATGGCATGGCTCTGATGCAGAGATGGGTGAAATGGAAAAGACCAGTCACTGGTGTGGAGAAAATCAGAAACTGTGGGGATAGCGTGTTAGAAAGGCCATCTAGGTAGATGCTAAAGTCTCCCCTAAGATGACAGGAATAAGGAAAAAGAAGAAGGAGAACCAGATGTTAAGTCTTCCATGGATGTGGGAAGTATCCAGTGGTTAATAAATACGCTCATAGCAGCATTATTCATAATAGCCAAAAAGTGGAAACAACTCAAATGTCCATCAACTGATGAATAGATAAATAAAGTGTAGTATATCCATACAATGGAATACTACTCAGCAAAAAAAAAAAGTAATTAAGTACTGCTACATGCTACAACATGGATGAACCTTTAAAACATTATGGTAAATAAAAGAAGTCAGACAAAAAAACACTACATATTGACATTCTTTACAGAAATTGAACAAAGAATCCTAAAATTCATATGGGGCAACAAAAGACCCTGAATTGCTAAAGCAACCCTGAGAAAGAAGAAGAAAGCCAGAGGCATCACAATCCCTGACTTCAAAGCATACTACAAAGCTACAGAAATCAAAACAGCATGGTACTGGTACAAAAACAGGTGCACAGATCAATGGAATAGAATTGAAAGCCAAGAAATAAAATCACACATCTGTGGACAGCTAATCTTCGACAAAGGAGTTGAGGGCCTACAATGGAGAAAAGAAAGTCTCTTCAACAAATGGTGCTGGAAAAACTGGACAGCCACATGTAAAAGAATGAAAATCGATCATTCTTTTTCACCATTCACAAAAATAAACTCAAAATGGATCAAAGACCTAAAGATTAGGCCTGAAACAATAAGTCTTCTAGAAGAGAACATAGGCAGTACACTCTTTGACATCAGTTTCAAAAGAATCTTTTCAGACACCATAACTACTCAGATGAGGGAAACAATAGAAAGAATAAACAAATGGGACTTCAACAGACTAAAGAGCTTCTTCAAGGCAAGGGAAAACAGGATTGAAACAAAAAAATAACCCACTAATTGGGAAAAAATATTTACAAGTTATTTATCCGACAAAGGGTTAATCTCCATAATATATAAAGAACTCACACAGCTCAACAACAAAAAAATCAAACAACCTGATCAAAAAATGGGCAGGGGACATGAACAGACATTTCTCCAAAGAAGATATACGGATGGCCAATAGACACATGAAAAGATGCTCATCATCACTAATCATCAGGGAAAGGCAAATCAAAACTACACTAAGATATCACCTTACACCTGTTAGAATTGCAAAAATAACCAAAACAAAAAGTGACAAATGTTGGAGAGGTTGTGGAGAAAAAGGAACCCTCATACACTGTTGGTGGGAATGCAAACTTGTGCAGCCACTATGGAAAACAGTATGGAGATTTCTCAAAAAGTTAAAAATAGAAATACCTTATGACCCAGCCATCCCACTACTGGGTATCTATCCTAAGAACTTGAAATCAGCAATTCCAAAAGTCCCATGCACCCCTATGTTCATTGCAGCATTATTTACAATAGCCATGTTGTAGAAGCAAACTAAATGCCCATCAACTGATGACTGGATAAAGAAGATATGGTATATACATACAATGGAATACTACTCAGCCATAAAAAAAGACAAAATCGTCCCATTCACAACAACATGGATGGACCTTGAGGGTATTACGTTAAGTGAAATAAGCCAGACAGAGAAAGACGAACTCTGTATGACTCCACTCATAGATGGAAGTTAAAAACGAGACAAAGAGAATTGATTGCTGGTTACCAGGGGAAAGGCGGGGTGGGGGTAGGGCACAAAGGGTGAAGTGGTGCACCTACAACATGACTAACAATAATGTACAACTGAAATTTCACAAGGTTGTAAACTATCATAATCTTAATAAAAAGTGAAAAAAAAACCACTACATATTGTATAATTCCATTTATATAAATATTCAAAATTGGCAAATCTATAGAGACAGAAAGTAGATTAGTGGTTATATAGGACTCAGGGGATGGGGAAGTGACCACTAATGGGCATAAGGTTTCTTTCGGAGGTGAAGGAAATGATCGAAAATTAGATTATGTTGATGGCTGCATAACTCTGTAAACATACTAAAAAACATTAAAACTTAGAAAAAAATTAACTGACCTGAAAAAGGGATCCTTTCTTATGGATCTGCCTCCATATTTTTTCTCATAGTACTGTAAGAGGAAAATCCACAGTACACACTGCAGGTAAGGCTAAAAGAACACATAACAGCTCATGACCAAATGTTCTCTTCGGCTTACACCAACAGAACGAAGACCAGATTTATCAGGTTCCTTACCATCACCAAAAAAATTAATCACAACTTTTTTGCATGCCATACCAGTTAAGAATAAATTTTAATACAAACCAAAGCAGATTTTTAGTAAAATAATCTTTCATATAGTTGTCTACCTCTATAAAGTTCACTGGTTGTCAGCTTCATAAAATACAATCAAAAGAAAAACAGCTCTGCTTTTGCTTCTGAGGAAGCGAGAATTATAATTAAATAGAATAACACGAAAAAGCCAAGTATATTAAAATGGGCATAGTCAGTAAATGAAAGGTATTACCAATGCAATCCACATTAGCTAGCATTAACTAACATACTTGACTTTTTACACACTTTTGTTTTTACGCAACAGGATAAAAACTAAAAAGAAAGTTAAAATCATAAAACCAAACTATTCTTAAGGTAACAGGCTAACACAAACATTTTTGTCATTTCTTACCGATATAACAGCCACCAAAAGCCTATCCCATGGATTATAGGTGTCCTCATTTTTTCTAGTATTCTTCCAAGAAATCTAAGACAAAAATTTTTGAAAATTTATATGCTGCCATGACATTGTGATATAATATTTGGTCTTTGACCTGGGTTCCTGGCACACAGCTTCTAATACCCTTGGAACTTCCTGAGTGACAGAGGTGATGAGAGCATCTTTGGTTATTTAAAACAAGCTCCTTTCAACCAAAGCTGAGTTTATGCAAATAAAGTTACTCTTGGAGGATGTGGGCTGGTCACTGAGGAACCAACAAAGTGATGAGAGGGGTGGAACCTTCAGTGCCATCCACTGACCACTGAGAAGGGGAGAGGGGTTTGGAGATTAACTTATCATGCCTAAGTAATAGAACCACCATAAAAACCCTAAACACAGGGTTGGGACAGCTTTCAGATTGGTAAATGCATCCACGTGCTGGGAGGGTGGCACCTCTGAACTCCATGGGACAGAAGCTCCTGCACTTGGGACCCTTTTGGACCTTGCTCTACGTACCTCCTACTCTGATTGCTCATTTGTGTATCTGTTTTAATAAACCCCGGTAACAGTAAATTTCCTGAGTTCCATAAGCCATTATAGCAAATTACTGAACCTGAGAGAGGGTCATAGGAACTCTGGATTTGTATCCAAGTCAGACAGGAGTGTGGGTAACTGGGGGACCCACTACTTGTAATTGGTGTCTGAAATGGGAGGCAGTCTTGTGGGACTGAGCCCTTAACCTGTGGGGTCTGCACTAATTCCAGATGGCTAGCATGATGATTACTTTATGTGAGGGAAAAACCCATATATTTCACGTCAAAAGTGCTGTGATTAGCAGTTTTCTTTTAGCTGCAATGCAGAGAAATATTTGGATTAAAATGAAAAAAAAAATGGCTTTTGTTCAGCAAACGTATTCTCTATACATAAATTAGCTATTAATATTAATAGCGATGATTTATACTTAGATTAAAATCTTCCCCATCCCAAAATACTTCTATCTGGGAAGATACAAATTCAACGTAATAAACTAAAGCAAAAAAAGGAGGGGAGATTAGTGAGTAGACTTAATCAGCAATTATCCTAAGTCAGTAATTCATCACTTATTTTCCTGATCACATGGAAATGTTTTTCAACTATCCAGGTATAATAAAACTAATCTGTATTTTATTTTTTCTTGGGAAAAAAACCTCTTACACTTTATTTTCTCTCATCCCTTTACAGTACAACACATTATTTAATTGTTGAAAAGCTCCCACCAAACAAAATAACTGAAGTCAGATCATACTTGTAATTTATGTACATCATTTTGGACATCAGAGAACATGTAATGGACAGGGTCCCTCTCTTTTGGGACTTTAAGGTTTAAAGACATGCTTGAAAAGATTCCACAGTAATTTTAAACTGTTGCATTAATAATATTTAAATCAAGTAATAGCAGCTAACATGATTTTTTTTTCTCTTTTCAGTACAGGAACTCATATCCCAAAGATTAGGCAATATTTATGCCTTTTAAATATTAAAACACCTAACAGACCTACCTTTATGAAACAAATCAGACAACCTAGAAGTGGATAGATTGGAATGACTATGCAAAAGGTATAATGAAGAACAGCTGTAACTGTGTATCCCATAAAGAAAGTAATTTCGGTGATTGCAACACAAGCCAACGCTGTCTAGAGAAAAACATGAGAAAACAAGTGAAAAAGTGTTTAGAAATTTCATATAAACTTGCTTGTAAGTTTGTGCCTCAGTAATAACTATGTTTTCAATCCTCTAGTAAAACATGGAACCAGAGATGATATTTAGCCAGGAAGTGTCAGTATGCTGGTACCAGTTGTTTGTAGCTGGCATCCTTGCCATGCAGTTCTTAAATGCTTTCACTATTATCCCTTCATGGAATGAATGATGCAGAAGACATATATACACACAAAAAGCTGCTGCCAGCTATCTATTATCTAAGTTCTGTACTTAGAAAAAACACAGTAACATTTTTGAGTATAACCCTGAGAGAGTTTATGACTTTCAAATAAGCTGCTATGAAAAGTTTGAGGAAAATAACATAAAATGTAACTTACCACGGAATAGATAAATGACCAAAATTCTTTGGTATTTAAAATTTTTTTAAAAGTGAAAGAAGTAATATAGGTAAACAGAATAACTGATGGAACATAACCAATAAGGCAAAAAACCTGTAAAAACGGAAAGGTATATTTTATGTAAAAAGATGAAGAGTGAGCAATACATATGATATAAAACGCTAGTTGTATTAAAATATTAAGGGATAATTATTCTTCAAATTTTATTGCTCAACAAATCACTCCAAAAACTGAAATTGTGATTGCCTAAGAAGTTACCACTCACATTTCTTCTAAATCAATAAAACTCACACTTTTAACTAATTATTAACACAATCCTCAATAAGTCATTTAAAATGAACACTAATTGTAGTTCTTTTTTATGCCAAGTAAAATGGTATCTCTTATCATTTTTTTATAAAAACAAGTGTAATAGCTGGTTACAACTTTATCCTTCTCAATCAACTATTGATTATCATTTTAATATACATTTAATGCACTGTCTAAATTTTTAAGAAAAACATTTATTAATTTATAAGGCAGAAATGAATATGTAAAGTCACTATGATCTCTGGCAAAACTGCTAAATTTATTTTCAGCAACCCCAACCTCATCTAGGTTTGTTTTCCCTTTTTCCTAACATACACCATTCGGATGAAAGGGTCTGCTATCAGTCATTTACATGTGAACATGAATGAAAATTATACTCTCCCTTAGTATCTTAAACCATATTGTAAATTATGGAATAAAAAAGTTTCTTCTTTGTGAAATTATTTTCAGGCATAGAAACGAGGAAGATATTTTAAGGAAGGATTGTCTGTTTAAGCATTCCTAATTATACACAAGTAGACAGTCTATATGAAAGACCATCCTAGTTTCAAAGAATTATTTTATAATGGTAGTAAGTTATTGTTTTAAAAATCACTTATAGTAATATAAATTGCATTAATGATAGATATCATATACAATAACTGAACAGACACTGGTTCTATTTTCTGTAAAATATTCATATCCAAATTACTCAACCGACCGTCACATTATAAAGACTTAGTTTTTTAAAATAACATTTACAAATAGCATGAGTACAACTGATGTTAACTTACCACAGAAAGGAACTTTACAGGATAAAAATATAATCCATAATGAAATGCAAATAAACTTCCTAGCATCAAAATAAGAACAAGAAAAAATAAGGGGATATCAACAGTAGCTTGTCCAATCCAATATGCAGATGGCAAAAGACCTGAAAGTTTAAGCTGAGTATAAGCTTTGATCTAAAAGAAAAAGAGAAAAAAATTGATTATAATTTTAAACATTTTACAAACAAACAGAAAACTCTAGCAGATTACTGCAAAACTCTTAATTTTACATCAACAAAACAATAAAGGTCACATTCCAGACCTACAGGTAATAAAAGCCCCCCCTACAGCTAAATATAAATTCCATTTAGCCTTTAATTTGGCTATTTCTGAGATGCAACAATTTTAACAAAATTATTTTAACAAAATTATTCAGAATCAGAAAAGCAGCTAAGAAAGACAAAACTAAAATAAAGCAAAAAGTGTCATGGGGGTAATAGCTGTGCAAACAATAAGCAGCCAAAACATTTCTGCTTTTGAAAATCTGTGGAAAGAGATGGGAAAATATGTTTTAAACAAGAAAAGGACTCTTTTAGAACTTAACCTTTCAAGAAAACACTAATAAACTGCCAAGTAACCTCTGGATTTGAAGCCTGTCCTGGTATCAGTTCCCCTACGTTAAACCTAGCATACATGGGGTTAAAACCCAAGCACTCTTTCCCTACTCACTCCCTGGCTCCTGGCTCCAGAAGCCACTATCTGCCATGAAGACAAATAGCCAAGGTCACCCACCTGCAAGTTTCCTTATCATCTCCTCCTTCCTGCAAACGGCCTCCTGAAGGGGTGGGAAAGCTCCGACCAGCAAGGCCACCGACTCCCCCACCATCTACAAGCAGCCACATTCCTCACAAACCTTGAAAACCCCTCTCCTCCCCTCTTTCAGGGAGACGAGATGAAAGGAGACAAATTTGAGGGCTTACTCTCGTCTCCCAGCTGATATCATTAGAAATAAAAACCCTTTCCTTGCCATAAGCCCAGCGTTCCAGTTTTTATTTGGCCCTTCTTGTGTGACGGGTAAGAATCTACGTTTGTAGGCGGTAACAGATTTACATAGGGCTTTCGGGTTAAACATGAAACTCCGTACTGATAGTGCATTTAAAAGCCTTCTAGAGACTCTTGTGTAGTACATAAACGCAACAGCGTTTTCCTGTGTACTAACCGTAAATTTAACAGTTTTCCTAACTCTCTAATTGTCTCATTATTTAATTTGAAATTTTAAAAATATTTTATAAATCCAAATATATAACAATTTTATTCAGTTGATTTTTGTCATCTATAAAAACATCTACACTGAGTAATTAAAGGTATTATATGAAACAGCTAACCATAGAGTGAGGTAAGGGAAGCATGGAATATAAAAATAATAATAATAAGAGTAATGATTAAAAGAAAAAAAAGACAACGTTTACACCAACAGCCCTGCCCAAGCTAGTGCTGTTTGTTGAAATAAATATGAGCATTGAAAAAACAAAAGACAACTTTCGTGCTTAATGAATTACAAGAAAAAAATACAAATTTCAATATAAGTTTAAAAACATAAACCAAGTCAAATACAATTATTTTGGATAATCCATGCTTTTGTCATTCACCTATTGCTGGTGGGAATGTAAACAGTGTATCCACACTGGAAAACAGTCTGACAATTTCTTATAAAACTAAACATGCAATCACCATATGACACAGCAATTGTACTCTTGGGCACTTATCCCAGAAAAATGAAAACTTATGTTCACACAAAAATCTGTACACAAATGTTCAGAGCAGCTTAATTCATAATAGTCAAAAACTGGAAATAATCCAGACCCACACCATAGAATACTACACCCAGCAATAAAAAAGGAATGGACTATTGATACACACAAATTGGATGAATCTCCAGGGAATTATACTGAGTAAAAAAAGCCAATCCCAAAAGTAAATATGCTGTGACTCCATTTATAAATTCTTGAAATATCAAAATTACAGAAATGAGAAACAGATTAGTGGTTGCCAGAGGTCAGGGAGTGGGTCGGGTGGGGATCTGGGCTTGAAAAGGGCAATAGGAAGGATCTTTGTAGTAATGCAACTATTCTGTATCTTCACTGTATCAATGTCACTATCTTGGTTGTGATACTGTAGAGTAGTTTTGCAAGATGTTATTGGGGTAAAGTGGTTAAAGGTACATAGGATCTTGTATTATTTCTTGCAATCTAATAGGAGTCTACAATTATCTCTAAAAAAAAATTTGAACTAAAAAACAAAGTTGAAACAAAAAAAGAGAAAAACACAACTGTCAACTAAGTTTTATATTTGAGTTGTGGGAGTTAAGAATTATTTTTATTGTTTTTATACTTTCCTATATTTTCCTATATTGTTTTTATATCTTTCCTATATTTATATACATTTATAACAGAAAAATTGAATATATTTTAAAAATAACTTCTGAAATTAATGTATTACTTTTACACTAAAGAAAATTACTAGGGGCTGGCCCCAAGGCCGAGTGGTTAAGTTCACATGCTCCACTTCAGTGGCCCAGGGTTTTGCTGGTTTGGATCTTGGGCACAGACATGGCACCACTCATTAGGCCATGCTGAGGCGGCATCCCACATGCCACAACGAGAACGACCCACAACTAAAATATACAACTATTACTGGGGGGATTTGGGGAGAAAAAAAAGAAAATTACTAAAAGATATAATTTTCTGCTATGAGGTTTAACCTTATTATCCATCACATTGTGTAAATTAATTTAGACAAATTTGCTTCCATTAAGCTAATAAGAGACATACCGAGAATGAAAATTTTGATTAGAGGAGGAAGAGAGAATCTCAGCCGAGTGGAAGAGTGGAAGGCTTTGAATAGCCAAAAGACTGTACAAGATCACCGTTGGCCCAGGGATATCAAAACAGAAAGGGGCAGAAAAGATGAAAGAACACCAAAGAAACCTCTGGACACATAGCAATTTTTCCCAGGCCCTGATGATCACAATCACTTTTTACTTTTTTTTTTTCTCATTTAGCAAAAATTGAGTGCCTTATACATTCAATAAATTCTACTAAGGGTTAAAGAGGAGAGGCAGCTTAGTGTACCAATTAAGAACATAAGGATCATAGTCAGTTCCTAGATCCACTACTTAAACAAGTTGAGTCAACCTGGGCTCATTAGATGAAGACTCCCACCCTTCCATTTCGTGACCTATAAATAAAGTGGGTAATATAAAATTTACTTCACGATGTTGAAAAATTAAAAAATATAACTTTTAAAGTACATGGCACAGACTCAAGTAATGATAGTTATTACTATTACTAATAAATGCATTTATACTCCATTTACTTACTCCTGAAATAATTATACAGAAGTCTTACACTCACGCAAACAGGTTTTTTTTTTCTATGACATTTCTTATTGGCAAACTATACCTGTAATTTTTTTAAGTGAGTCATTACCTTATGATTCTCTGCATTTTCCATGGCAAAGTAAGGTGGCATTGCAGTAACAATGATTCCAAGTAAAGCTGCTTGAAAATACAGCTCAATTTTAAAAACTATGTCTGTAATTTCCTGAAAGACAACCAAAGAATAAGAAACAGAACTGAAAATCACTTTATATCCCCTTAGTACTTTCTAAAAAAGACTATCAAAACTACTGAAGAAACCGATTAGGATATCTATTCTAGGCATAGTCTATAGAAAAGAACAGGTGTCAGAGGTAACAGGCAGTGAGCTACAGGACCAACTTTGCCACTTATTAAATAGCTATATGATCCAGAGCAGATGACCGTACTTCCATTTTCATATCTACAGCACAGAAAAATATGGCATATAAATTAAGAGTCACCATTTAATTAAAAATAATAATGTGCATGAAAAGCAGTTAACATGTCCACCAGTGGTCTTATGCAATGAATATGACCAGCTCAGAATAATCTTTGATGCCTTCATTGGTTGCCTGGACTATGAACCAGCTGGGATCTTAGGGACCTCCTTTTCTCCACTGGGAAAAGCTGCACCCAAGCTCAGCTTCCTATGGAACTAGAAGCTGCTTCTCTCCAGCATGGGAGACTATAATTCCCACAGACCCCAACAGTCCTAACTGCAAGAACCAGGTACAGACAGACAAACTAGTAAACAGCTGGCGTCCCAGGTGCAAACTATCCATTATCAGGAGCACTTCATTATCCCCTACTCTCAACAAGGCCTTTTTCCTACCCTTGTTCTGTAAGAAGATATGCCCATGGGACAGGGAAGGACTCTGCACTAGAAAAGAACCCACACCATGTCTAGCAGACACCCTGGCCGTGGCACACTCCTCCACAGCATAAGGTGGAAACAGGGCATCTTGCTGAGCCTCCTCTGCTGAGTTTTTAGCAATAAAGCCAATTCCTTAATTCATGCCATATGACACTGTAGAATTTGTCCCAAACCCTGGTACACTATAATGGAAGACCCAGATAGAACCAACAAACATGTAAGCTAAGTAGTACAAGAAGTGGAGATTAATGAGACTACAGTTGGAGTCAATCACACAGACTCTGATGAAGGAAGAAAAAAAACCGTGGAACATTAGTAAGACTATATCTATGAATAGTGAGTTTTAAAACGTCTCATTTCTTTCCCCTGGTTTTTAAAAATGGTATGATTATATGTCAGTGTTTGATGGAAAGTTGCTAGATCTTTTGTAATAGTTATGGATACATACAAATGCAGTAACATCATAAAAACATGTACAGGAATTATAATTTTGAATTGTGGTTGTTACTTCATGGAGTAGAAAGGAACAAGACGGGGAGGATATACTGGAAGCTTCAACTGTTATCTTTAAAGTTTTATTAAATAAAACATATGATAAGATATTAACATTTGAAACATTTAGGTAGTAGATACATGGCTGTTTATTTTCTGTAGGCTTGAATTAGTTCACAATAAAATCACAAGGGATGATTTACAACTTTGATGATTTCAACATCACCTATGCACTGGTGATTCCCAAATATTTATTTCCTGTCCAGAAATCTCTCTGAATTCACCCATCCAAATGCCTAACATGTCCATCAAGCAAATGTCACAAGGATAGGCAACAACTCAAAATTGAATCAGTATCTCCATTCCACCAAAACAAAACAAAAATCTCTCTTCTGCCTATGTTCTCAAAATTGGTGAATGGTACTACTATGCACTAAGCAATATGACACCTCTCTTCTCCTCATCTCATCTCACAAATGCAACAGTGATGAAGTATGTCACATATTTTTAACTCTATCAGGATTGTTACTGACACTGCATTAATTCAGACACTCATCATCTCCTCTCATCTAAATATGTAGTAAAAGAACCTCTGATGTGATTTATTTAACCTCCTTTCCTCTCCTCCACCTCAATTCCCCCCACAGCAATCTCTCTCCACCCTGGTGCCAGTGACCTTTTTAAAATGTAAATTTGATGTTACTTTATCCCCATGTCTAAGTATAATTATAACAAGAAGAGTACTAAATTAATCTTTGATGTGATTTACACTTAAACATGGCAAAAGATTACAGTAAACTAAAGAAGTTTGGGGTGTATGTTACATAGCCATAGAGACAGAAAGTAGATTAGTGGTTGGCTAGGGGTAGGGGAACTTAGCAAGTGATTAACTAATAGGTACAAGAGTTTCCTGGTGGAGTGATGAAATATAAAAACGATTGTGGTGATGGTTGCAGAACTCTATGAACATAATAAAAAGTGCTGATTACATACTTTAAATGGGTGAATTAGTGTATGAAGTACATCTCAATAAAGCTGTTAAACAGTACAGCAATAGAAAATAGAAAATGCTATAACACAAAGGTACTTGTCCATTGATTTTTCAATATATGAAAAACAAAACATAAGGATTAAGAGAAAAATGTTGAGTATTCTTCTGGAGACTTAATTTTCATATTTATAATCCAACAGTCCTATCTGGAGGAAAAATGATTCTCTGGGTGACTTCTCAAGGTTCTTTCGATACCCCAAGTATCCAGATTTTAGATGAACAATATTCATTTTTAACTTAATTTTTCTTCTATTATTAATATAAAAAATACTTACATGCTCTACAAAAATATCAGTACCAAGACAGAAGCTCTTTGACCCTGAAGTAAACTAATACGGGGACTCCTGAACCCAGATGTAAACCATCCCCAACTCAAGTTTTAAGAAGACTAGGAGACATCACAAGATGAACACCTACGGATTTCGTTTGTTATCACTTGGCTTTTTATAGTCACTATATATACACACACACATTTTTTTAAGTTTGCTTACTTGAAAGAACGGGGTATTCCAGACCTGGATGCTTTCAGTCACATTTGAATGATAAAGATAGTAGTTACTAATGATATTCATCAATACGGGTAAAGAATAAACCATAGTACTGTTGAAAACAGCAGTAAAAACATAGTCCTACGATTTAAAAAAACAGAGACTTATTATATACTATATATAAGTAGATACATTGTTGCTATGTACCAACCTTTTCTCACCAACTAAGCTAATTCTCACTAACTGTACTAAAAATTGGTTCAACAAATCACAGAAATAATACTCAATAAAGACAGATGGATAAAGACAACCTAGTTTGAAATCTACAGATATTTTAAACAAAAATATGACACAAAAATAAAATTAAATTCTTTGTAGATTTATATATTGGTCACCCATAAGGGCATAAAATATATTACAAACACAGCTAGCTATTTCCAAAAGTAAATTCTAATTTCCAACTGAGATCAAATCAGCAAATCATTAATTTTAGAGGAAGTATCTTAATCTTTTATAACTTTCATATGGGTATTCATTCACGTGCATTACTCTTACCTTTTCTGAATACATCACATTTAAAGCTGCACTATGGGGAGCAGCAGATACATAGTCACTGTCATTAAACATCGTTATCATTATGTCCTGGTTTGTGAAAAAGCTAATAAGATCACTGATATCAGAGTCTGGAATTAGAAAATAAGCAAATAATAAAGAATCAGTTTAAATGAGAAACAGACACAGGCTTTTAATAACATTGGAAAGAGTTCTTTTTAAAAAAATATTTTATCTTGATTAGATAAGGTGTGATTAAGAACACTGGCCCTGGAGCCAGTCAGCCTGGATTCAAATCCAAGTCAATACAGACACAGGCCTTAGAGCAGAACATGTGGCACACAGTAATTATGCAAATTTTAGCTGCTGCTGCTGCTACTACTATTACTCATATTGAAAGTTTATCTGATACTCACACTAAATTTGGTTAAATAGTGAGAATAAAAATCTACCTGGCAATTTTATGTAACAAGATAACCTACTGGGCTCAGAAAGGGAGAAGCCAAGGTGTGGAGTTAGGTAACATCACTCCTTAGGGGATTTCTGTGTGCTTTGAAAAGACAAATTTTAGAAATGTCAATTGTCTTAAAATATTAAAACACATACAGGCCTCTATCTACATTCTTTACGTTGCCTGGAGCCAAGGGAAAGATTTTGAATCCTGTCTAAGGTTCAAATCAATACCAACATGTTGATGAACAGAAATAGTTCCCCCTCCACCATCACAAAAGCCAGGATGCAAGGAAGGACAAATGAGACTTTTAGAGAAATCAAAATCAAACAAAGGAAAACACTATGAGTAACTGAGTAGCATGGCAGGATGGATCAGACTCAGCACCAAACTCGAGCGTCAGAGAGAAGGGTGCTTCTGGTGGTACTACATTTACTCCTAAGCTAGTGCCTTAACTCACCTCTTACCTCCAGCTTGCCAGAGTAGCTCTGTACTCTTGAGAAGACAGCTATGTTATTAATTGAATGAACTGTATCACCTAGGATACAAAAAGCTCCGCAAGGGGGGTAAGATACCACCCAATATATACACACAGAGGCCAGTGGTTCCTAAAGTGGCTTCATTTAGGACTAATAACAAGGCCTAGGAAAATATGGGATACAGGTAAGCAATTCTAGAAACACTAAAAAACAATAGAAAGGATAAAACTTTGAAAATATTAGGATTTCTGCAGATCAGTGAGAGTGTACTCAAAGTAGAAAGATTTGAGATACATGTACAATTCCCCAAACACAAAAAAAGTCATAATATCGGAGTATAAGGCTCCACGCAATACTATGTTTTAGCAATATGAAATGCATATTAAAACCAAAAACAAGAATTCTAATGAACGAATAAATTGCAAAACATAACATTTTCTATTCAAGAGCAGTTTTCTATCACTAAATGTCTTCTCCCTCCAAAAGAATAAAAGTTACACAGTAAACCGAGAGCCAGATTTTAAAAGTGATGATTTTAAGAGTAATTTATAATTATCACTACCTATGATTATTGTTTTAACACTGGGCAAAGCTCTGCAGTTAATAATAAATCAAAAATGAAAGATACTAGAACATAGGCAAACTTTTCGGAAATGTTAAACTCCAAAGAGTTTGTGAGTATAGAAAGGGTTAGATGAAATTCAACTAACATATTTCAGCAAGATAAGCAAACGAAGCCGCTTATTTTTTTGCTGTAAATTTGCCAGTTGGTTAAGCTTGATTTTACTCGTCAAGAAACTTGGGACTACAAACTAGCTATGCAGATGGAAGATGCAGGAACAAGACATCAGGTATTAATGAAATTCTGTATTAGGTTTTAATATTCTGAAAAGCAGAATCCTACGTCAGTTTTTTTTAACTTGTTCAGAGCCTTGCTCAAGGCCACATGCTTTTAATTCTTTTTTATATCTGACAATTATGTAATAAGAATAATCAATAGCCCTTCAAAAATATTCATTACAAATTTAATGTATTTGATTGTAATATTTACATCCAAAGCAATTTTTCTTAATTCTAATTAATTTTTCAGATAAGTCGTTGAAGAACTATTTAAACACTTCTATTTAGATATATAACTGCATAAATATTACATACTGTAACTCTTTCTAAAGAGGGTTTATTGGGAGCCGGCCCCGCGGCCGAGTGGTTAAGTTCGCGTGCTCCGCTTGGCAGCCCAGGGTTTCACTGGTTTGGATCCTGGGCGTGGACATGGCACCACTCATCAGGCCACGGTGAGGTGGCATCCCAAGTGCCACAACTAGGAGGACCCACAACTAAAATATACAACTATGTACTGGGGGGGTTTTGGGGGGAGAAAAGCAGAAAGAAAAACAAAAAAGAAGACTGGCAACAGTTAGCTCAGGTGCCAATCTTTAAAAAATAAAAGGGGTTTTCAACTTCTGAAGTTTATTTTGCTCATCATTAACTTTGAGATGAAACATGCTGCTCTGAGAATATGTTGATACTATTAAAAAATGACATTTTATTACTACAAGCAGTATAAATCAGAGTATTTTTAAAAACTGTCATCTACACTTATACAAAAATTTCATTTCTGTAATATATTACTCAGCATCAATAAGGAGATTTTTTAAATTTAGATTTGTGCAGACTATACCTTTACCTTCATATATTTCTGAAGTCCCAATCTCTGACCTCAATGTACCCCTCACCCCCAAGCCCCGACCAACACACATCACAGACCTTCACACACTCTCACCAGTAGAATTTTGAAGAAGCAGAGTTGTTTTATATTTATGAGGTTTATCTCCAGGTTTTAGAAAATATAAGTCTGGAGCAAGTTTGATGGGAACCACAGCATTTTTAAAGGAGCGATGCACCAAAAACATAAAAATCTGAACTGCGAAAAAAATTAAAAGCAGAAGCAACCTGGAAGGAAAAAAAAAAATACAGCTCAAGATACATTAAAATATAAATCTATAGAAAAACATTCCCTCACATGACAGTTAAAAGGTACTCATTAAAAGAAAAAAAAAAAAGGAAAGAAAGAAATGAAACGAAAAAAATAGCACTTGGGAGAATTTCTACTCTTCAAAATGATCTCATGACAGTATTGGACAGAAAGCCAATATTCAATGACAAAATTAAAAGTTATAAAAACGTATGTTGGATCAGAGTCACCCTGAACTTTTTATAGGATATGTAAACTTTTAACTTTTGAAGAACCAGACATTATATCACATTTACATCTTTATTCTCCTGAAGGAACTATTTCCTGCCCTCTCTCTATTCTAACTATTTACTCTCCACATATTTTAGAAAATACATGATACAAAAATATTTTAGATACAGGAAAGAAAAGAAAAATACAGTGAAACTTTGATTATCTTTGAACTTCATCCTCACCACATCAATTTCCATTGCTCCTCCAGAGGCAAAACAAGATATACCACAGTCAGTTATAAAGCTCATCATTTGCACCCGGTCAAGCACATAACTCTATTATCCATTCAAAATGCCCTTCTATCTGGAAGGGAGTATCCTTCTATCTTACCCTGCGACGTATCTTTACATTATGATAGCTGTCAACAAGTGGGTTGAGAGTTTAGATTACCACACTTTAGCATTTTTTAATTTTCAGAATCCCTATAATTTTTTAAAAACTATTCTTCAATTGTTTTAAGTACACCCAAACTAGCATTTCTAAAAGCATTCTGCGTTGAACTCTAGTTCCCCAATAAGTTAACAGGTGTTTTAAGCTAAAAAGAAAAACGTCATGGTTAAATGATATTTGGAAACTCCAGGCTATACAAAGTTGAGATAATTTCTTTACCTCTCGAGTATTTTTATATGCTAATGAAAAACTCTTTAAGAGAGGGAATATGAGATACAACATTTTCTAAATGCATAGATGGTCAAATGCATACCTGACCACACAATACTTTTTGTTATGGACTGAATGTGTCACCCTCCCCTCAAGTTCATATGTTGAAGCCCTAACACTCAATGTGATGGTATTTAGAGGTGAGGCCTATGGGAGGTAATCAGGATTAGATGAGGTCAGGAGGGTAGGGCTTTCATTGATGGGATTAGCACCCTCTGTCTCTTCTCCTGTGCGTGCAGAAAGAAATCATGTGAGCAGATAGCTGGATGGTGGCCCATCTGCAAGCAAGGAAGAGAGTCCTCACCAGAACTCCACCATGCTGGTACCCTAATGTCATTTCTAGCTCTTAGAACTGTGAGAAAATAAGTTTCTGCTTTCAAGCCACTCAGTCTATGTTATTTTGTTATGGCAGCCTGAGCTAAGACACTCTGCTGTTTTTCAGGCAGTATATTATGAAAATAGTGTTTAGTTAAATAAACTGACATACTGATTTAAATAAGTAATTTTCTTTCAGTAATTCTGACACTAATAAATCAGATGCAATTCTTTGATATTGAATAAATTAGGGCAAAAAAGCAAATGAATTCAGCATATTTCAAACATAACAATACTCTTATTCTTGATTATTAAGTTTTATTTATACTGCCATTTTGGATCTAACAAGATGGGTGAGTAGTATATGAAAGTATTAATGTTATCTCCAAGTAATTCAGCGCCTAGAACCCCCTGGGAACCTAACTGAGAGAGGCAAAGCTAAGTTGAAAAGATGTCATTTTGATCCCAGTTCTACTAGCTATAAAGCCTTCCTTATATTTCAGCTTCTTCATTTGATGAGATAAAACTTACTCTTCCTGTTTACAACAAGTGGTTATAAATATTAGTAATAGATGCAAAATAATTGTGAAAAATATAAATGCAAAATAAAATTTAAATACAAAGACAATAATTCACAAATTACATAATTAGAGAATATTTGTCACTCCCTCATTTTACAGATGAGACAAAAATGCTAGTTTAAAAAAAGAGTAAAGCTCTAATAGTATTCAATGAAATTACTAAAAGCATAATTTTTTTCTCAGACATTATGAAAATACAGTTTTAATCTTTCAAAACTACATATATTTACTTATAACAACATTTAAAAAATTAAGATGGTAAATTCAATTCGTCTCCTTAAAAAAACAACTCATCAGGCAGCAGAGTGATTATACTTACACTGATCTCACTGATTTACTTTCACGTTTCAAGGTAAGGAAATGAAACTTGGCTATTGTGTACACCTGCTGTTTCCAAAGGCTCATGGTGCTCACTCGAGAAGCCTTGGTTTCAGAAAGAATAAGTAAGCTCTGCTCCATTTCATCAAAAGATTTTGAATCCATTTCTTCTTCTGGTGGCTGCTGAGTAAATACACTATAATCTATTGGCCAAAACAAAACGAAAAGATAGAAAATTATGATATACGCCTTAAAAGGATGAAAACCTTTCTGAAGCATGTAAATTTTAAAGAAGTACACATCTGGTGGTGATGTAGGACAAATGGAACTCTCATTTACTTTGGCAATATTATCAAAACCGCACATATGATTATCTTATGACTCAAGGAACCATGTATTAGGTATAAACCCAACAGAGATATGTAAGATTTGTACACAGGTTAACTAAAACACATACAAGAATATTCTTAGCTAGCACCCTACCCAGAGTGGCCATAAACTGGAAACAACCTAAAAGTCTATCAATAGGTAAATGAATAAGTTATAAAATACTCTGGCAATAGCATAGTGCAAAACAATGAAAGTGAACCAACTACTGCACAGTAGTTTGAATCTTACAAACATAATATTAAGTAAAAGAAGCCAGAAGCAAAAGAGGGATGCCATATGACTGAATCCACTAAACCAAAAACAGACAAAATTAATCGATGGGATAGAAACCAGGATACATTATTTTTATAACAGTGATTCAATTTAAAAGAGATGAAAATTGGCTTCAGTATGATGTGGGCCACAAAGAGGGATTTCTTAGACTTATCCTAGACTTAAAAAATGAGTAAACATTGGGCTGGCCCCGTGGACGAGTGGTTAAGTTCACGCGCTCTGCTGCAGGCGGCCCAGTGTTTCGTTGGTTCGAATCCTGGGCGCGGACATGGCACTGCTCATCAAACCACGCTGAGGCAGCATCCCACATGCCACAACTAGAAGGACCCACAACGAAGAATATACAGCTATGTACCTGGGGGCTTTGGGGAGAAAAAGGAAAAAAAATAAAATCTTTAAAAAAAAAAATGAGTAAACATTAAAAATTTTAAGAGTGAAATGGAATACTGCATAAAATAATATTTAAGTACAACCTGGTTATCCCGGTATCTTACCAACCTAACAGTTTAGATGAATGACTTAGTAAGATGAACAAGTTCAATTCCTCTCTTCCTCTGATACAGTGGACTAATCAAACAAAAAAAAGGGTGCTAAAATATTTTATATTAGAATCATAGTATTCAGGGAGTATCAATTTACCTTCTACAGAATTTGATGTACATTGACCTTTGAAAAGTAAAATGATTAAAATAGGCCAAACTGAAAGCAAGCTGATGATAAACGTAAATTTATTCTGCATGGTAGACTTAAAGGTACTACAGAAAAAAGCCAGCAACACCTAGACAGAGCAGACCCTTCACATCTTTATCCCACTATCCAACATTTCTAGAAACTACTGTATACCTCAAAATATTCAGCACCACACATACAAGCATCCTCTCCATGTAATGCTCTTCCGTCATCCTAAGTACTACAAATATCTTCACTGATAACGCGTTCTACATTGTGACCTCTAACTTCCTTTATTTCTTCTATTCCTACACCCTTCTCTCTACTCAATTTCCTCCCACTGCATGCATGCCCAAATTTAATATCTTGTTATTCTCCAACTGTCTAAGATCCAAAATTTGTATGTGAACTTTCCCTCTCCGACTACAATCTGATATGATGTCCTCATCATAAACTCGAGCCTTCTCTTTTCTCCATGTTTGAGAGAAACATCTCCATTTCCTTCACTCTCCTGACCTACCACGGCAACCATCTGGCTAAGCTTCAATTTAAGAAAAGTTTCCTCAACTCACATTCTCTTCTTAACCTACAGATGCACTGAAATTGTTCTTGTCAAGGTCACCACTGGCTTCCACACTACCAAATTCCTCACTGTCTTCTCTTCTACCAAACCCATCTTTTCTGTTCTCATCTTATTCTTCACAGCAATCAGCAAATAACTGGTACCATTTGTCTTGGCTTTTACATCCCCTTTTGTGAAGAAAGAAAGAACAATAATTGCTCCTTTACAGCCCTTTTTAGCCCTTCACTGCTCAACCTCAGGGCTGGGCCCTCTACTCGTATCTGTACCCTCTACGCAAGTGATTTCATTCAATCCCATGGCGCCATCTATATATGAGTACCTCCAGAATTTGTATCTCCAGTCCTAACATCTTCACTTAGCTCTAAATGTGTTCATCCAACTGCCCACTGTACACCTCCACTTGGCTATCAAACAATATAGCCAAAATTCATGCCTGGATTCCTTCTTTCCACAAACCTGCTCCTTCCCAATTCTCAGAAAATGGCAATTCCATTACCAGTTCTCAGGCCAAAAGCTTAGGAAATATTCTTGATTCCTCCCTTTCCCCAACTCCTAATACTTAATCTATCAGCAAGTCATCACCAGCATCACTAATATAACCCAAATCTGTTCATGTTTCCCCATTTTCACTACCATCCTAGCTCAAGCTAAGATTAAGTGTAACAGTTTCCTAACTGGTCTTCCTGCTTTCACACTTCCTTTACAATCCACTCAACAGCCAGAACGCATTTTTTAATAATGCGAATCAGATCATGTTACTCCTATGCTTTAAAACTCTGAAAAATCTACACCTACTTATTTCTTGCCATGCAGGTCTCAGCTTAAATATCATCTCAACAAAGTCCTCCCTGAAGATACAATCTAAGCTATCTGCCTCCTAAGACCACCCCATTATTTCCTTCATAATTCTAATCACTATCAGTAAATATCTCAATAACTTATCTATTTACCTGTTTATTTCTGCCTTTTCTTCCCCAAAATACAAATTTCACATGCTTACATAATTATTTGTCTTATCCATCATCTATCTGGTTCACTGCCTAAAATGTTGTGTTAGTTTTGTTTTTACCTGCTTGGTCAATTTCTGCTTCAACTTCTAACTTTAAGAATACATCTTCCAAAGTCGTCATGGAAACACCGTAAGAAATAACACCCAAATTTGAATGAATATCTAGATCAGAAAATAAACCTAAAAGAAAAATATGAAAGAATGTTGTATAGTTAAGCATACTATCATGAATTATCCTAAAATATCTTCTAAAAATAGGATATGACTAAATTTACACTGCTAGCACAGTGGTTCTCAAACTTTTTGGTCTCAGGACCCCTTTAACATTGTTATAAATTACTAAGGACCCCAAGGAATGTTTGTTTATGGAAATATATCTATTAGACATTTATCATATTACAAATTAAAACTAAGAAATATTTTATAGACAGAATGATAGACAAGGTACATTAAGTTGGCATCTGTACTTCAATCCAGCTAATTAATGATTCATTTTTTTTCTTCTTGGAAGAAACCAATTAAACTAACAGAAAATTTCTATGTAATCATGAGATAAATGCAATGGGAATTCTGCAGAATATCTACATAATTAATATCCTCTTAAGAGATCCCTAAACAGATAAAGGAGACTGAGTCTGAGTTTCTGATTATAAAGCAACAAACTAATGCTACAATTAAAATAATTCCAGGGTTTACCATATAATCATATAATTCACTGTGGAACCATGAAACTGGAAAAGAACTTGAGGACATACACAAACAACTATAAATGAGTACACATCTTATTCCCAGGAGGCCTACAAGGAAATTATTTCTTTCTTGACAGCAAAGCAAACATAGTTATTTACTTAATACAGTAGTTAGTTTCTTGCATGCTGTTGGTAAAAAAAACAAAAACAAAAAACCCCACACACATTAGCTTGTATTTCTGATTTTCAAAAGTAAAATAAAGCAGAGACAAAATAGTAACTCTGGCCACCTTGGAGCTGTAAATATTACACAGAAAAGTAAACAAGAAAGTAAATCAAGTGAACTATTTCCAGTGCAAGATCCTAGTTCAAAGACCAAGAAACTGCAAGTAGGTAATACCTGAAAATTTGTCCATGTCCTTAAAAGGCAGACTGTACACAAGCTGTTGGTCATTCTGTTGTAATAAAGTAGCTCCAGGTATATGTTGTTTAACCAGAGAAGAAAGAGATTCCGTGGCACAGTATCTGTCTATGTACATGCTAGAGAGAATCAAAAATCACTTTTTTTTATGATTACTCAGTAAACAACCAAAAATAAATTCTGAATGTTTTAAGTTAAAGTTAGTGCCATAAAAAAATGGGCAAAGCACATTATGGCAAACACTAAATATATTAACAGTAGACCAAGAATATAATAAAGAATAAAGTCAATAAAGAATGAATGATACCTCAGGCGGTAGCCAATCCCCCATTTACTTTTGAGAAAAATTGAAGAACCAACACATTTCAACATTCCTTGTGATATGACAGCTTTCCTATCTGTAAACAGAGATTTGCATTTCAATTTTTGAGTTAGTAACAGCATTAATAATTGGCATTTATATTTTATAGATTACTATATGAGATGCCAATGTATTAGCTCATTAAATTATCACAATAACCTTAAGAGGAAGGTACTAGATGATCATCACCTATTTTTCAGATGAGGACACTGAGGCAATGAGGAAATATACAGTTTGCCCACTTTTCACAAGTGACGAAGCCAGTAATTGTACCCAGGCAGCCTGTCTAGAGTCTACTTTCCTGATACTGCTCCAAATATCTCCTCTTCCTAAAGGGCTTACTAATGCAAGCACGTTCACAATTTGCTTTACAACCACGTGTAAAAAAGACAAAAAAACAAAATGTTAAAAAAAAAAAAGGATACTGCTGAAAAGATGAATGATATGCCCAATTTCTTAGATTATATTATAAACAAAGAAGTTAATCTACATTTCAAACTCTTGAATCTTGTCCCAGTTATTAAAAATTCTGTTGGCTTAAATCTGGATTCTTTATATGTGTGTATGTGTTTAAAATTGTGCAGAAAACAGTTAACATAGCAGGTCTGAGACTGTTATTGTCAGAATGGCACGCTTACAAGGCTGGCCCTTGACTGGGGTCTGGAAACCTGGATTGTAGCAGTGTTCCCACCATGCCCAGAACAAATAAGGGTGGTTCACTGGACCTAAACTGTACAAACAACGTAAATGACGGTTAACACCTGCTTTCCTTCCGGGAGTCTGGAATTTCAGTATATGCCAGGCAGAGGGTTCCTATACGAGCAGCACCTAACAAAAATCCTGGGGAGAGCCTCTAATGAGCTTCCCTAGTCGACAACATTTCACACGTGTTTTAATGTGTGAATTTAACAACTCATTGCTAGAGGAATTCTGCACATCCTGTGTGACTCCCGTGGGAGAGGATTCTTGGAAGTTTGCGTCTGGTTTCCTCCAGACTCTGTTCCACGTGCCTTTTCCCTTTGCTGGCTTTGCTTCATATCCCTTCAGTCTCACTGTAATAACTCATACCTGTGTGTATGACTATGCGAGTCCTATGAGTTCTCCTAGCAAATAACTGAACCTGGGGTGGGCTGAGGGACTCCCCAATACAAATATACGTAATTTTTAAAAATTTTAACACTTTTTTGTGAAGAACACACACCTTCTTTATTTACTCCTCAGGATTCAGCATCTCTATGTCCAATCTCCTGTTTGGCCCCATGACCTTATCCTTCAAAAATAAAGTAAGTATCTCACCAGCAAGAATGTCAGCTTCATCCATGAAATGAGTACTAAACACTGTCACACGATTAGATTTTCTGTATTTTAGAAGATTCCAAACAATATGACGAGAACAGGGGTCCATTCCAGCTGTTGGTTCATCTAGCAATAGTATCTGTGTGAAAAGGGATGGGGAAGGCAAGGAATCCTCAGGAAAACTAAAATAAATAAAATTTTTGTGGACATTTTAAAGCTGCCACATTCTAAGTTATTATTGCCCATCAGAACTATATTAGACCTGAGTTTTTCATTCATATGTGAGCACAAATTTTTAAAATTATCAGTTTGGCAAACGAATTCTTTCCTTGGTTTAATTTTAAAAGATTAATGTCTGTGATGTATAAGACGTAAGTGTAATAACAATCAAAAACAAACAAACAAAAATTAAATATATTGCTTTTATCTGAACAATGAAATTTTGTAGATATAACAATTGTTTATTAGAGAAGTATGCCCTATATTGGCTAAAGGGAAGCAATTTGTTTTAAAACTATTTTTAATTTCAAGAATATGGTGGTGGGGTTTGAGAGGAAGACAGATTAACATAAAGCCAGAATACAAAGTCATCCCCAAGCTGCAGCAGCAAGGGAAAAGGTGGCAGGATGGTGGGGACCACTGGGGCTCCTGGCTGCAGGCATGCACTGGCAGCTTTCTAGCTCTGTGCACTGTACCAGCCGGTTCTCTGGTTCTACAGACAGAGAACAGCACAAAACAGACACATACAAAATTAAATCAGCAGGACAGTGAAAAACAACTATTCCTTTGATTTTACTTTTAAATTTTTATCATGAACTATTACAAATATATAGAAAACTACAGAGAATAATAGAACAATACTTTTAGAGCCACCGTGAAATTTAACAAATGTTACTTTTTGGCCATTTTCTTCAGATATTTTTTTAAAGAAATAAAACATTGCAGATCTAACTAAAGTACGTCCTTTCCACTCCCCCTCCTAGAGGTGACCACTATCATAAAGATGTTATATATCTTTCTGACCTCCGTTTTAAAACATTATTACAATTACATCCATAATAACATATCATATTTTATGTATGTTTAAACTTTACATAATTTGTGTGTGTGTGTGTATATAGATTCTACAACCTACTTTTTTATTCAACATAATTTAAAATTATCTCATCAGTGACACTAATGTTTGTTTACCTTTGGATTCCCAAGAACAGCAATTCCTAAAGACAGTTTCCTTTTTTGACCACCACTTAACTTTTTAGCTTGATTATCTTTGATAGCCTGCATGTCTAAATCCAGTAAAACCTTCTGCACCTGTAAAAGTAAAGTGTGAACAATGTTATTTTTTAAATCACACCAATTACATAATTATCAATATTAGTTTTTCGGTTTTTGGAGGGGTTTTTTTTGGTGAAGAAGATTCACCCCGAGCTAACATCTGTGCCAATCTTCCTCTACCTTGTATGTGGGATGCCTCCACAGCATGGCTGATGAGTGGAGTAGGTCCACACGCAGGATCCAAACCCAGGAACCTGGGTCACCGAAGTGGAACATGCAGAACTTTAACCACTTGGCCACAGGACTGGCCCCCTCAATATTAGTTTTTAAGTGTTCCATTTTTAAAACCAACTTTAAAAATTTTCTTTTACTATAGAGTTTAATCTTGACACACATTCGTAAATAATTTTGAAACAACAGATGAAAAGATTCATGATGGAAAGGTCTGTTTGACTTTTGTGATTCCTGGTAGTGGAGAAGGGATCAGGGTAAAGGCTCTGTGTGCGTGTGTGGCTGGCGGAGAGGGCAGATGTGAAAGTACAGGAAGGAAGAAAAGAAAGAAACATCAACATTGAGAGACTAGCATCCTCCAGATGAAACAACTATTTTATAGGTGCTAAAACTTTTACTCCAAATTCTATATAATTCTTTGTAATGACTTTCTGTTTACTGGTTCTGAACTGGTTTTATATTTAGATTTTCAAGGACAGTTTTATTACAAAAGTTATTACAAAAGGTTCTTAATTTACAGGAAACAAAAGTAAAGATTTCTATATGAATAACATACTTCTTGTATTACATTATTGGCTGGTATTCCTTTGATTGAAGCCAAAATGGACAAATTTTCTTCTACTGTCAAAACATCAAAGTGTATATCTAACTGTGGACAAATGCCAATCATTTTTCTCGCTTCAAACATTTCATCTATTTCTGAGACTCTGTGCCCATATATGGATGCAAACCCTAAAAGCAAAACATATATTTACATTTATAATAAATATATTAAATATTAAAAAGTATATATGCTTTATATATACTAATTTTTTAGTTACTTGTATGTAACAGACATATAGGGTAAGAGTTAATATAAATTTGGAAGAGACAATAACCCTCATTTACCACATACTATTGGTGATTTGCTTCCATTTATATTCCAATCTCATTTTCCTTCATTTTCAGGGCATATCACATAGTGGAAAGAGCAAAGAAGCTTAACTGGCACATTACTTATACTTATATTCCAGTAGTAACTTTTCTTCATTTCCAGACATTATGCAATAGCAAAGAGAACAAAGAACTAAAAATTTCCCCCTAAGTATTAGTTGTGTGGTCTTGAGAAAAATGACAATCTGAATTCCAGCTTTTTTCTTATATCAACTGAATGCTAAAATATCCCACTTAAGAACTGTCAAATCAGTATGATAATGTATTGGTAATTGCAACAAAAATCATAAATTCTTATACAAATGTAAGTTAGTATTACTATCATCAAAGAGTAACACAATTAGGAATAAGCAAAAAAATCAAACTAATTTTAAAAGTTAAACTACATTTAAAAAGATACAGATTCAATACATGGAAATTCAGCCCTTTTTTAAAGTAAAATATTTACTGCACTGCCACTCTACCTGTGTTTGGTTATTGTGGAAATGTGGAGCTGCCATATCGAATTTTCCCCTAAAGGGCAATCACATATAACAATTATGTTTGAGGCATTGCTCTTAAAATTCTATTTTAGGAGATGGTATTGACATTTATCATTCTTTCCTTTTGAACTCCTGCTGCATTAGAAATCTGTATCTATTTTCTTAACCTGAAATATCTATAGGTCTCATTTAATTTCCAATTAATTACTGATTTATCCTTCCTTGAAAATGAAAAATAAACAACATACACACATACAAAATATCTGATAAAATATGTACAAAATTAGATCTTTTTTACTTTATTAAACATGATTGAATCATTTTTATTTTATACTGAAAAACATACAAATGTGTGTAATCAAAAAAAGAAAGAAACACCTTGATAGATACAAAAGTTGGTCCCAAATCATTGACAAAAATCAGTAAGTATTTATTTGAGGGATAAATAATTATATAGTGATACCTTAGTTAAATAAGGCTAATAAAATGAAGTAAGAGATTTTTCTTTTTTTAAGTCAGAAAACTCTCACCATCAGAAGGCGGGCATAATCCACAAAGAATATTCATCAATGTACTCTTTCCTGTTCCACTGTGGCCAAGTAATGCAGTAATCTGACCCTCATATATGTCAAATGACAAATCTAGTTCAGGAAAGAAGGAGAAGACTCAAATGTGATTTTTATTTCTGGTGAACTATGCAAGATAATTCCTAATACTTGAATATCTTGAAATAAGTCAATAAATTTAAAGACAAATTTAAAGTTACCAGCATATTTAATAGCATAATATTTAATATTATAGCATACAGTAATTCTTTAAGTCAATGGTATAAACAATAAGAAAATTAATAAAAAATAAACTTTTATTTTCTTGTTACATTAACAGATTCAGAGGGCGCACAAAATATTGGGTGGGGGGTTCTGCATACCCACTTTTGAGAATTTCTAAGGGAATTAAAACAGATAAAGAGACAAATAAAAATTTGTTCCCAAGGGTATTTCTAGGCATGTTAAACATATTAGCAAAAAACTAGAAATTAACCAATTGCATGGGAATGGTTAAGTAAATGCTTGAAAGGTTCAACTTAAATAAAAGGAAAATGGGATAAAGAAGCATCACTGGACGCATCCATCAATGATTAAAGGAAGACAAGAGACAGCATTCTGAAAAACCAGCTTCAAATAATCATAGTCCCTGATTTGATGAAGGTGATCTGGGGTTGTTAATATTCCTAGAGCTGCAGGTCAGAAGCAAAAATAAATCCTCTCTAGAGTAAGATCAATCACTCAGAACAGCAAATAATCTCTACAATTATTCATATGCAATATGTAGTACCCAGTCAAAAACAACTGGGCAGGAGAAAGCAAGATAAGACCAAAAACCAACAGAAAAAACAGGCAATAGAAATATTTCGATCCAAAGGAGATGTAGATATTGACAGCATATGACCAGATTTTAAAATAACTATGCTATCATGTTCACAAGAGAATGTTAGCAAAGAACTAAAAACTATACAAAAAAAGAACCAAGTGGAAAGACAAAAACCGGGAAAGATAAGTGAAAAGATTTCAATAGATAGTTTAACAGCAGATTAGGTCCAATGAAAGAGAAAACTGGAGAATGACAAGAACAGTCAGAAGAAAAATATCTAGACTTATGTGGAGAGAAACAAAGGAATAAAAAATTCAGAAAAGAGAACAAAAGAAAAATGGGATAAAATGAAAAGTTCTAACATGTAAAAATAAACCGAGAGGAGGAGAAAAGAGAAAGTAGGACAGAAGCAAGATTAGAAAAGAAATGGCTGAGAATTTCTAAAACAGAAGAAAGCCCCAAGGTACAGATTCAAGAAGCACTATAAAACCAAAGCAGAATAAATGTAATCACCATATACTTAAAAATCAAAACATATAAATGATACATGAGTCAAAGAAAAAAACATAATGGAAATTAGAAATATTTAAAACTGAATAATGAAAACCACATGTCAAGATTTGTACAATGCAGCTAAAGCCATGCTTAGATGAAAATTTATCTATTTAAAATGCATCTTTATAAAGTGATCTATGCATGTATCTCAAGAATTTAAGGGAAAAAACATTTAAATGTAGAAGTAGAAACAACATGAGCAAATAACAATAACAATAAAGAACAAACATTTAGGAAACAGAAAACATACAATAGAGAGGGTCAACAAAGATAAAGTTAGTTCTTTAAAAAGATTTATTTTTACTGATGAACTCCTGCTAAAAAAAGAAAAAAGTACAAATAATAAATCTCAGGAATAAAAATGGGGAGATCACTATAGATCCTACAGACCTTAACAATATGAAATTACTATAAAGTTTTTGGCAATAAATTTGAAAACAAAATGAAGATTATCCAAAAAAGTCAATATATGTTAGGCCGATGGTTCTCAAGCAGGGGTGGGGAGATATTTTGCTACCCCTCCCAAGGAATACTTGGCGAGGTCTAAAGACATTTTTGGTTGTCACGACTGGGGAAGGGGAGGCTGCAACAGGCAGATAGTAGGCAGAGACCAGGGATGCTGCTTGTGATGGTTAATTTTATGTGTCAGTTTCACTAGAGCTATGATGCCCAGGTGCTTGGTCAAACACTAGACTAAATGTTGCTATGAAGGAATTTTGTAGATATGATTAACATTTACAATCAGCTGACTTTAGTAAAGGAGATTACTCTCAATAATACTGGTGAACCTCATCCAATCAGCTGAAGGCCTAAAGAGCAAAAACTGAGGTTTCCCTGTGAAGAAGGAATTCTGCCTCAAAACTGTAGCATAAATTTCCTCCGAAATCTGTCTGAGTTTCCAGTCTGCCAGCCTACCCTAGGAATTTTGAACTCAAGATGGCAATTTCAAGTCTCTCCTGAGTTTAGAGGCTGCCAGCCTGCCCTGCACATTTCCAACTGGCCAGGCCTCACAATCATGTGAACCAATTCCTTAAAAGTACATAATCTTGGGGCTGACCCAGTGGCATAGTAGTTAAGTTTGTGTGCTCCATTTTGGTGGTCCAGAGTTCACCGGTTCGGATCCCGGGCACAGACATAGCACTACTTGTCAGGCCATGCTGTGGCAGGTGTCCCACATATAAAGTAGAGGAAGATGGGCACAGATGTTAGTTAGCTCAGGGCCAATCTTCCTCAGCAAAAAGAGGAGGAATGGTGGCGGATGTTAGCTCAGAGCTAATCTTCCTCAAAGAAAAAAAAAGAAAGTACATAACTCCCTCTTTCCTCGTGCCCCCTCCCCTCCAGCTCCCTCGCTCTCTGTACGTATGTGTATGTATATATGTGTGTGTGTCTATGTGTGTGTATATATATTCTCTTGGTTCTAAAGAACCCTGACTGACACACTGTTAAACATTCTACAATTCTCAGGATAGTTCCCCAAAACAAAGAATTATCAGGCCCAAAATCTCAGTAGTGCTGAGGTTGAGAAACCTTGTGGTAGGCCAAAAGAGAAAAAAAGTAACTACATGTATACACATGCACAATAATAAAACGAAAAAGGGGGCCAGCCCTGTGGCCGAGTGGTTAAGTTAGCAGGCTCCGCTTTGGTGGCCCAGGGTTTCACCAGTTGAGCTCCTGGGCATGGACATGTCACCGCTCTTCAGGCCACATAGCATAACCAGAAGAACCTACAACTAGAATATACAACTATGTACTGGGGGCCTTTGGGGAGAAGAAGAAGAAGAAAATAAAAAGAAGACTGGCAACAGCTGTTAGCTCAGGTGCCAATCTTTAAAAAAAATAAAACGAAACAGGACACTGACTTGTTAAATAGTTGAATTTTTTCATCTTGATATTATTTGTTTCACTACTTTGATGTTGTTAGTTTTATTATGAATATTAATCACATAAAAAAAAGAAAAGTATCTCTAAAGGAAAAAGAGAAAATTGTTGTAAAGAAATTGAAATTTCCCACAAACTATGCAAATTGTTTTTCCACTTGAACTTTAATACTATGGACTGAATACTAGGAAAGCTACTTACTTCTCAAAGCCTCCACATTTTCACCTTTCTTTCTGTATGTCTTCTGAATACCACTGATTCTGAAAAACACCATTTCCTACTTTAAGTATTTAAAGCAATTTATAAGTATGCGTGTTTTCATCCGTAGTATTTTTATCAAAGCTGTCATATTTTCCTGGAATAATAATAAAGTACCTTCCTACTAAAGCAATAAACTAGAGAGAACCGACAATTATAAAAGTATTTTAAAGAAACTACAAGAGAAAAGTACAGTATTCCTCTCCATTTTAAATGTCACTCCTTCATTTTTCACAAGCCAACTTCTAAAAACAAAGTGAAGCATTTGACTCAAGTAGTTTATAGGTTTCTTTTTATCTCTGATACTTTTATGTTTGTAATGAATCAAATACTTGCTATATCAGTTAAGGGAGATTAAAAACCAAATGCTATTTCACATTAGCACACATTTCAAACTGTCAATAAATGTGAATGATTCTCTCATTCCATTTTAAATGTTTCACATAATTTTTTTTAAAAATTAATGGTTTTGTTAACCAGTTTGAATTTTACCCTTAAGAAGGCAGACTACTGGCCCACTGATTACATCCTAAATATCTGACTCTCTCTAGCGTTTATACATTTTTCTTAAATTTAAAAAACACAAATTATACTTCACTTTTTCTTTCACTTTTCTTCTATTTCTTTTCTCTTTCTCCTCATTATTATTTTTTTAATTTGGTTTTGACTGATCTAGCAAGGAACAGTAATGAATTTCTTTGGTTCTAACAAATTAAACTGATATTTTAATTATGTCACAATACCTAAGGGTCTGTGAAATTAACTGAGGACAATTTAATATGTTGTATAACTTAGACAACATAGCCTGAATAAAATGATAAAGCTAATATTTATTGTTTTAATTTACACAATGGAGAAAGTTTAAAATAGCTTAATTGTATAAACACTTTTATTACTTTTAAAATTTTCCATTGACACCAAAAATTGCAAATTTGGCAGAAACTATTCTAAGTAGTTCCAAAGAAAATAAGAACTTAAAAGAGAAGTAGCCCTTATGAATACTGTGTTTTAAAAATCATGAAATGTGTACCAAATCTCCTAAGATATCATGCTTACATACATTACTTAAAAGGATTTAAACCTGGCATATTTCATCAGCAGCTCTTATACCTACATTGCCAGATTGAATCCTACCTTATGGCTTCTTTTCCTATAAATTCTGAAGAAACAGGCTCAACAATTTCACTAAAACTAATATTCCCATTAACATTGCCCTCTGATAACTCCTTATAATTTCTTTTGTTCTTTGACCAGTATGATGGCTTCAGAAAATACAAAGATGATCTCCGTAAGCCAAATTCCCCTGAAAAACAGAAAAACTGAGTTATCCTAACAAACTATTTCTGAAAACTAGTTTTTACATCATAAAGGCAGTATGAGAAATATATGACAACATAGTTCTAAAGTTCAGATATAAAGTAGTAAATCAATATTGTGAAAAATAAAATAACCAAAAAATTAAAAAAATCAATATTGTGAAAAATAAAAGTTTTTACAAATAACTCTAGTCCATAAATAGTTTCTTAGAGTTGCTGAGTGCAGGCAGGAACACAAAGGTGAGTAAAGCACATTTTCTGCCCTAAAAGAACTTACACCTTTTGAGTACACATATATACCAAAGGTTAAAACAATGCAGAACAGGAGGCATGTCACGCACGGTGCTAATAACAGTTCAGAGGAGGAAAAGTTCATATCTGGACAGGGGATATCCTGAAGGCTTGAATGATCATCACCTCAGACAGTCTTTGAAAACAGGTAGTATTCAGAAAAGCGGATATAGTTCATAGAGAAGACTTTTTAGAATTAGGAGAGTAACACAGCAATAGCACAGACATAGGGGATTTGGATATGGCGCAGTGATGGGTGGCCACACAGCACGTATCCATTTTCCCCTCTCTCCCCCAAAAAACACACAATCCCCATTTTTTAAAATATCCACTCCTCTTCTAGATGGCCACATTTCTAAGGGATCTGATCCCAACTACCCAGAAGGTTCTAACTGACCTAATTAGTACCTGGCATGCTCTGGTGACTGTTATTGCTCCAGCCATATGCATGTAACCAATCAGACAGAAGCAAGGGCGTAGCCGGGGCAAAGGTTCACCCTGCCTCCTCCACTGGACATGAACAAAGAAGCATAATATCCCGCAGCCACGAGGAGAGCACAGCTGCCAGACTCCAAGACAAAGGTGGCCAACCATGGAGAGAGTGGGTCCCTTATGACACGTTGAGCAAGTCAACCAACCCGGAGCCCATCCTATCTCTGGACTTCCTTTTAAGTAAAGTAATTGATTTAAGCCAATTAGAAAGGTTTCCTGTTACTAATAGCTAAAAAAAAATCTAACTGATATACTGAAGATTCATTTAAATAGGACAGTACAGATGAATATTAAATACAATAAGGAGGTGGAGAGGGATAAGGAGAGATTAAATATATATGTAAAAGTATTGTGGAGGACATTAATACATAACAAGTTTTTATTTAACTTCCCAGGATATGCCCAGCAAGGTTTTTGAGCAGGTGATTAACTTGACTAAAGGCAATGGTGAAGTTCTTAGACAGACCAGAGGTAAGTAACTAAATGAGAGGGGCTACAATGGTCTAGACTAGTGCTGCCCAATACAACTTTCTGCAGTGACGGAAATGTTCTATACCTGTACTGTACAATATGGTAACTAACAGCCATATGTGGCTACTGAGCACTTGGAATGTGGTGTGGCTTGTGCTGAGGAAATGAACTGTTAATTTATTTAATTCTAATAAACATATTTTAAAGGCCAAATGTGTCTAGCAGTTACCATATAACATAGTGCAGGTCTAGAACACAGACAAAAGTAACGAGGAACTCAAGGGGAAAACTAAAGGGGTGTTGGATATTTAATAATATTTTGAATCTACAGGAGTTTTCTATAGATGCATGACAGGAGATGAGGGGAAGAGTAGGCGTTACAATATTACTTCATAGTTTGGACCTCAGAGGGTAAAACAACGAAACACTTTAGCCAAAAAAGATTGGTGTAGAGAAGAACGAGTTAAGAAGCTCAGTTAGGGACTTAAGGCTTTCAAAACAAACTGCTCTCATTTACACAATCTTCTTACGTTCGCTAGCAGTTAAGGGATAAACGTACCTATTTAAAATTAAATTAAAAGTTTTAACAATGAATATGACTTAGGGTACCCTGGCAAGAAAAAAAATTTAAATTAAGTTGACCCTACGGGGCCAAAAAGCCAAAAATCTTTAAAGTAAAATGCAGTAACTACCTGCATACCTGGAATGACTTGATCAAGATAGACGGCCAAAAGGACATAGAATATACTATTAAGTGCTAGCATGGTAAGAGCAATAATTAGAGGGTATGGGCCTTCAGTCAAATTAGAAAATAAAGCACCTTCATTAAAATCTTCTAAATGCATGACCTGAAAAATAGAAACACCAAGTTTATTACATAAAAATGATAAAAATAAGCAAAAGCTAACACTACTTAGAGTTACTCATTATATTCAAAGTAACAGTAACCAAATCGGGCCTTTTAACAGATTAAACAGTCCACCAAATTAGTAATACAAATTCATTAGAAAAAAAAATAAAAACTTTACCAAAACATAAATTTATCACAATAATCCTTTTCAATTGTTTTTAATATTATGCTTCTAAAACTAGAACTGTATACATCCATTCCTGGGACATTTAATTCTAATGCTATGACTATCAAATGAAATAAAGTATGATGTTAATATTAACAAATGCAAACAAAAGTATTACAGTCCACATGGAAGTCAAATTAACTATTTGAGGATAAAATTACATTCAGCCATCTTTTCAATCCTGAAAAGTGAGAAGGTACTCTGATTAAACAATTACTAAATTATCCATGGTAGGTAAATGTTATAGAGCAGAAAGATATCTACTAGAGGCTGAAGCCTCATTTAGGTCCCAGACTTGGGACCTGAGAGAATAAACTTTAATTACACCACCCTGGATTTCAGTCTCTTCATCTGTGAAATGAAGATGAATTAAACGACATTTTGCACTCACAACAAAAACTATGAATCTATAATTCTACCTTCCTAAGTGAAGGGGGACTCAGTGGACTCTCAAAATGTGTAGCAACAGCTCTTAAGTCTCAAGTAATTAAAACTTGTTTAACTCAATGTTCATAAACCACCTGTCTTAAGTCTCACAAGTCAGAATATTCTATCCAGCCAACATGAACAATCTCATATTAAGTAATTATATTTTTTCTTTATACGTTAATCAAATTTATGTTCTATTATATAAAGCAGTATCTTAGAAGAATTTTTCCCTTAGAACCTGACTGCCCCTGAAGATTTATAAATCTAAATATTATTTAGGTGAATATGACAATACCATGATTCCTAGGCCAATGAAATCCACCAGGTCTACTTAGTTCACTACTAAAGTCACAAAAAATTTGTTCTGCTCCACACACAATTTTCTCCCAGGCACACTTCTGAGACAAATTCATAATACGTAGCAATATAGCCAGGCTATAGAGCAATCTAGATTACCTGATGCTTAAACCAGTGACTGCTAACAAACTGAGTTATTGTGGTGAAATTGATTACCGAGATATACTAAAGTGAAAGGTGGAGAACTTATAAACAGATCAAATAAATGAAAAATTTAACAGTGGAGAAAATATAAATGAAACAAATATAAAGTGTACTCCAGTATTCAAACATAATTTCTTTCTCATGCTGAAATTTTTAAATAATTTTTTTTTGCATATCCAAGGTAGTATTCATAGTAATATAACATGCTGCATGGAAGTGGAAGAAAAAGAAAACATTTAGTGAAAGTAAGATAAATATATCACCTACCTGTGCAATACCAATCAAAAAAGTACACTGACAAAAGGGACTTAAAAGCCACACTAATGATTTGGGAAAACTTTCCAGGAGGACTATCAAAAGGCCAAGAAATCCAAAAGCCACAGTGACTAAAAATTCAACTATTCCCACATGCTTTGATTTTTTAAAAAGAGGTGTCAGCATTAAAGCAAAAAATACCTATAAAATATAAATACTACAGTTAATGTATTGTTCATATACAATGGTATGAAAACAAAATTAAATTTTGCTTGTGAAAGAACACGTTATTTTCATTAGAAAATACATTCATTAACATTTCATTTCTAAATGCTATGGTAAGATACTTTCTTTTCATACAAATGGTGATATATATAAAAAATTTATGCTGACAAATATTAAAAACTACATTTTATCTACATAATAGGGAAACATGATCACCTCTACACTAAAAAAACCATAAATAGCCACGTGTTTCTGCAGTTTGATGTGTACACATATGAACAAAACAATACATCCACAACCTTTACCTACAGAACCCATCTTTTAAACAATTGTTTAAACAATTGTGTTGATAAGAAATAAAACCAGTCAAAAACCAGGCAATCATACAGAGAAGTATGAGTTATTTGTTACATATCAGGTTAAAAAGCAGGGGTAATAGTCAAAATATTTAACTGGGAGAGCAAGGGCACACACGCCAATCAGAACGGAAACTGGAAGCACTTACAACAAAGGCTGGTTATTAACAGCCAGCATTCAGCCAATATACCAAATGAATATCAACACTGCCAAAGAGCTATATGTACAGAGACTTTTCTTGTGCAACATCATCCTGTGACATAAATTAACTTGAAACAGGACTCCATGAAAACAAAGGAATAAAAAGTCCAATAGTGGACAATGTTAATTACACAGAATTATAAGAAGATAGTAAATGACAGACTCAGAGGAACTATATGTGAAATACTCCATATGAAAACAAGTTAAATTTAAACTTGAGACTATTTTGTACCTTTCCTAAAAATATGGAGGTATAATGATGCTATTTATAACTCATTTATCAGCAACCTTATAACAAGCTCTTTCATGGGAAATCAAGTATAAATAAATCAAAGAACAAGACTTTGTTATATTAATCAAATATTTTAACAGTTCTTTATGCCCCTTTCAAGTTAAAATACTTACAGATGATAACCCATACAGGAAAAAAAGTAGAAATATCACAATGCAGCTACTTTGAGGGAACAATGAAGAAGCTGTTGCAATGACTGACATAAGAAGGGACATAAGAAAAATCAAACTTGTATACAGAAGAACCCAAGAAAGCCTAAAATGAGAATACAAATACATTAATGGTTAAATGCATAAGCTTTACCAGTGAAAAAGATCACTTTAAACAAAACTTCAGCTTTATTTTTGCATTTTATTCTTAAAATTAAGTCAATCTATTCATTTCTCTGTTTCTCATGTATTGAAAAATAAAGTTTTTATAATTAAAAATACAGTATTGGTTATTTATAGATAAAAGTATAGTCTGATATACAGATAAAACGGTGATTACCTTTCCAAGAGTCAAAAAAAACTTTACAAATTAACAGCAATTCATGATTAGTTTAAATCTAATACTCTCAAAAGTTCAATAATGTGCAACACTTAGGATATTCTTAAAATACAAAAGAGTTTAATGTCTAACAATTTTCTTTATAGCATGTGCTACAATTATACCTCTAACGGCTTTTGGTGCTTCAAACAATAAAGGCTACCTCACTAATCAACATAACTACTACATTTACACAAGAAGCTCAACAATGGATTCATTGTTTTACTTGAAATTTCTCCTCAAATCAGAGCTGAATGGAATTGCTACAGTGTTTAGTTTCATTTTATCTTTATTCTTCAAGTTAGTAGATGATGATTGAATGTATGCTATCATAAATTCACTGAAATAGGGCTAAAAGATACCTAAATTACCAAAATTGAATCCATCATTTTACCGAGACAAAAACTGAAGCACTGAGAGCTTGATTTGTCTAAATTCCTCCAGCTCCTGTTTCCTCACAAAGTACTTTAACAATCCAACGCATCATAAAAACCAACTACTACTAAAATGACAGGAGGAAAAAAAGGAGCAAAGAAAATGTTATACACAATGATCCCATTGTGTAAAATGTTATAATTCTTGCATTGTGTTCAATGCAGTAAGATTTGTAAAATGGACTATAATAGCAACTCACATGCACAGTATTAACTTTTCCCCCAAAACGACATCAAAATAAATTTTCTTACTATACAGTGGGAAAAGTAAGAACAATTCACTTAGAATTATTTATAAAAATGCACGCCTCTATAAAATTATCATTGTATAAAAATGCTGATATATTAAAGCTCACTTGTGACATTTTTTTCATTTGTTTTTCCTATATTATCTGTATATTTTCATGTTAATTCACACAAATAATTTTTTTTCCAGGAAAAAAGTCCATATGCTACATACAGTCACTGTAGCTAAATTTTTAATAACACATATATGCTATGATATTGGGGGAGAACTAACACAGGCAACTAATTTCTAACTTTCCAAGATCTCATATCTTCTATACACTGAAGTTTACGCTGAAAGACATGGAGCACACTTCATTGATTCAATAATGTGAAATAAAATTTAAACATGTAATGTCAACATGAGCTTTCCAAATCCCACTTCCTTTATGTTAAAACAAGCTAATCAATTGCTGAAGCTTGTTGACTCGTCTCAAAATTCCAAGACAAAGGCAAGCACTGTAAGAAAACAGAATCAGCACCTCATCAAGTCAGATAATAACAAAATTACAATTCTGAAGATGTGTATACTTAATACAATTATCAATCATACCAAACAGTAAACTTTTAACAACATACCAAAAGGCAGTGTCATGAAGTCCCATGATCTTTAAAAACTCTTTTAACTTTTTCTCTTTTTCTGCTACAATATGAATCGCCAAAAAGTATCCAAAAGGTGAAAATGCTATAACTAAGTATATTAAAATTACTCCTCGGGGAAAGGTATCTATTTCTACAACAGCAGTTTCTCCCATAATAACAGCTTTAGTTGACTCCAGCTCCTTCCAAAGGGAAACATTGGTCTTCAACTACAATTAGAAAATGCAAATATATTCAATTAATTTATTGCTGATACTAGCCCCTAATAGAGTGTGACAAATATACCCAAAAGTTTAGTCAATAAACTTGTACTACAAATACAATCCTCAAAAAGCTACACACCTGAAATAAAGTGACTGAGCCAAAATCATGATACAGAGTAGGATATTGCTTTTACTGATTCTGGACGCATACCATAAAGTTTGAAGTCTGAAATTGGGAAGTATATAAATTTTGATAAAATAATTTGTCAAAGAAAATAAAACTGCACAATTACCATCTTAAGCAGACAACTGTATGTCCCAACAAAAATATGCATTTATGAAGTTCAGGAATTAAGGAATGATTATTAGTATCATGAAAGAATGACTCTTTAAAAACTGTTCTTTTAAATAGGATATCCTATGGTTTTAAAATCTATATACACAACACAGATAGACAATAATAAAACTATGTCATATGATGCTTCTATCTAATGTTCAACTCTATGTCTAAAATGAGATATTCTCTGCCTATTCATTGAGTGTGGTCTGGGTTGTAGACGGCTAAGGGCTTTGGCCAAAACACAAATAAGTACTGAAACACAATCAATGTGACAGATCTCATATTTCACTGTTTTTACCCTAAACTTCTGCATTATTAAATTTGTGTAATATTACATATCTACAACACATTTAGACCATGTTGCAAGAGTTTATAAGACAATTCTACACATATCATCTCATTTGGTTCTTCCAACATCCCTGTCACTTACAGCATTATTATTGTAGTCGTTTTACTATATAACAGTCCAACAACTAACAGACATAGGTCTCCTGTTCATTTCTACTAAACTGTGAAACACTGGATCAGGTTTACGTGTCTTTAGAATGTAACTGTAACATTTATAGACAATCCTAGGGGCAGTACAGTATTAAAAAACAGACTTGGGAGACAAAAAACAATAGTTTGAATTAGCTTTGCACTAATTAACTGAGTTTTGGCAAGTCATTTAATCTCCCTGTGCTTCATTTTCATATATAAAATGGAGAGAATAACAGCATCAATCTCATAGGGTTGTTAAAGATTAAATAGGTTAATTAGTACATAATTTAGAAACAATGTTTGGCAAATAAGTGATGTTTGTGAAATAAAAAATAAAATCTACTATGATTAAGATAAAGATATTCACTTTATTTTTATTCAATGAGAAACTCTGCAAATATAGACCTTTCATAAATATTACTTATGATCAACAGATATAATAATACAGATATACAGAATGCTGAATTATATGCTTAGAAGCCATCAAATAGAAGTGGGTTTCAAAAAATATTAAATCAGAAACTACGATTTTTTTGTTCTTTTCTTAAAACAGTTATAATAAGTTACGAATTCTGTACATTTGACAGCAGTAAACCAAATCCTATTATAAAGATTTAGAGCACAATTATTAAAATATAGTTTTTTCTCTTCCTTTACCATATTTACCTGTATAATGGCAGCATCTATGGATGCTTGTAAAACTGTAAACCCTGAGGACCAGTACTGAGCAGCCTCACACGATTTTGAACAGCCAGCTATGGGGAAAAAAATGTGAGACATAAGATTTTGCACAACATGCAAGTGCCTTCCTTCTTTTAAAGATCATATATGGAGAGTTACCAAAGTAATATAATTAATCAGTCTCTACAAAGCCAAAGAAAATAAGCAATTGCCCTTAAAAGGCAAACAATATTTATCATACTCCTGATTATTTATTTGAAATTTCTGAAATAAGAGAGTCATGTGTGTTAGGACACTGAATAGTAAATTAATACAAATGGAAAGGTAGAAATTAACTGTAAACATAGTTATTTAAAATGTCACTTTTCTGTTTTAAGGGAAGTCATTCTACAATGACATCAGCTTTAAAGCACTTCCAGACGCAAGGACAAGTCCAGGTTAAGAGGACAGAAAAGAAAAATTCTGGTAGGGCTTTTTGGGATCAAGTCACAAATTCAGTACTTAGCATAGCAACTTTAACATTGCTCAATAAATGTCAGTGACTGATAATATCTCTTCATAGGTTTAAAGATTGAAGGCTGTTTTCCATGTTTCAAACATAAAACTAATAAAGTTTATCGATGGAAGACCTTGAGATTTTAAAGATATGTAATATACCATATGTGAAAACAATTACATGGAGAGAAAAAATAGATTTAGAAAATCACACAATTCAAGATACAATTTTGTTTTATGTTACTGTAATCAACAGAATATATACAAAAGTATTAAAATTAAAATGGATGTTATATAAACTATATTTTATATTATATATGTAGATGTAGACAGACAGATATTTGGGTATACTTATATATTTTTATGCTATACCCCAGTGTTCTTATCTGAACAAATAAGTATAGTTGAAAATGCCAACGCTGGATCCCATTAAATTTTGTATGTATAAACTAAGAGTAGCAAAAGCATACATTTAACTGATTTTCAAAGATCATTTAGGGCTATTTACCTCTTGAATCCATATAAATAGAAGATACTGGAATTGTATCAGGAAAAAAACGGAGTTCATAGGACATGAAGTCTTTGAAAACCACACCTACAAAGTTGCTGGACTTAGAAAGACTGGATGCTACCAATTCTTTTTCATTTGTATATTCTTCGGTAATTATGACTATAAAATATTACAATGATATAGTTAATTCACAAATTAAAATAGTTAAATATAATACAACAGACCAAATTTACCATTATATTTATGAATGTAATATTTTACAAGCACTTTTATTTTATGCTCTAGCTTCTCAGAAAATGACAACAGCCTTTCTAAAACAAAACACTAAATAATAAAATAGTACAATTTTACAAACATTTCTCAGCTGTCATTTGATCACATAAATTATGTCAGTGTAATATATAGTTATTAATATGATAAAATAGAGTACATACTTTATATGCAATATATGTATGCAGTTCACTCATCTGTCTCAAAGAAAACTATACAAATAACTCTTTACAAAATAAACGGATATTTTACTTTCAAATATTTCTTCTTATGAATAAAATTCCATAATCCTTCTCAGAAATGTTTATTAGCAACTATGACGCAACTCTTCTTTGAATAAAAATTATCTTCTAAACATTTAAACCCAATATTGCTTGTTCCTTTCTTAGAAGATATATGGAGAAAATACTGTAACCATCATTCAGCTCCTTTCACATCCAATAATCCTTATTTTTAAATATTTTCTTGAAGTTTTATTTGAAACAATTAGTCTTCACTACAGAAGCTTCAGACGTGGTGAAATGGAACAAACACAGGCTTAGTTCTTAACTTCATTACTTATTAACTATGTGAGCACAAGTAAGAAACTTAATTCTTCAAACTTCAGTATCCTCATCCACATTACCCAGCTGATCACTGAGTTGTTAAGATCAAATGCAGTTACAATCATGAAAACGCTTTGTAAGTTATAAAGCACTATTGAAATGTTAATTGTAATGATTTTCCAGACCTTTAAGGTGCACCTGGAACTCCAGGACTGATCTGAATAAAAAGGGTGTTAATTCAACATCCTACAGGTTACATGTTATCATGTATGTATGTCTACGCCACTTTTGGATAGTTCTGTTGTTAAAAAGACAGAACTTAAAAAAAAAAAACTACATATTTTTACTATTTTGGCATCTAAGTTAATACATTGACTTGGATTTCTTTGGCATATATGCTTTTCTCCTACTCAGAATTACCAATGAATTTTGTTTTCAACATTCCTGATGAGTTTTTTGAGCTCGCATGCTAAATTCTTATGCTATCCATGCTACTTGTGCTTAATATGATAACCTAACAAACATATTATATACCAATAAGAAATGTGTTTGACAAAAATATTAAATAGTAACAAGCCAGAAAGAAACCAATGGTGAAAAAGTTATTTGGCTCCTGACTGTATAAACATTTTCTTTTCGGTAACACATTATCCAATAATGTGATGATACATACTAGAAGTTAATTACCACTGTTCTATATAAGACAACATGTTAACCTGTTACTTTCTACAATTCAGCATTTCATTAAATCAACGATGATTAGATGAACATTTCTTTCACTTTCTCTAGTAGTTCTCCCACAGCCACTTTAGGCTCATTAGTGTCTCATTGTTTACACTGTTGTCCAGTCCATTTCTTTAGGAGAAGAACAACTTGAGAGAAACAGACTTAGGTACTTAACCACAGTCGCAGTCTCCAAAGCTAAATACTTCAGTTTACACCATATACCTCCATAAATAGGCATGGCAATCTGAAAAGATTATTGCTTTATAATCTTTATCATATATTTCTAGATTCTTAATTATTATGAGTCAGAATCAAAATGTAACGTTCCTTCAAATCTTTTATCCTGTATAAATATACTTATTTTATAAATGGTCTAATAATTAAATATAAAATATTAAAACTTAATCCGCTTTCTATTACCAAGATTATAAATTAAGGTTTCACAAGAAACATAAGGTAGCAGAATTAAATGATTTTAATATTTTTATAAAACTATACTTTGGTGAAGGGACATATCTCAAGTGTTAAGAATGTTATTTACTCAATAAGGCAAGTAAAGAAATATCGAAGAGGTTTTCTGTTACAGATAGAATACATATATAAGCTTACAATACCATCAGGAAGGTGATCAGTAGAAACTGTTTGCATGATGTTTCTTGTAATATTAGTCACTGGAGTATATCCAAGAATTAGGTTAGAGAGGATAGATTTGTCCAGAGGGTTAAGTTCTATATCAGGCACTTCTTCATATTTCTTATTGGGATGCATCATGCTAATTAATATTAACCAAAACAAAAAAAATAATGGAAAAAGAATTTCCTATAATGAAGGAAAGAAAATGATTACAAAGTGTAACAGTGGCAGCAAAAATCATTAAGATTTCTATGCAAATATAATTAATACTTAGAAAAAATGAGGAATTTGGGTTTCCTTTCTTAAGTACAAAAAGTAAAAACCAATTCTATCCTAGAAGAAATATCGCGTTGAACATCTCACCTGACCCAAAAGGCATATTAGATAATTTTTCCTTTATATTTACTTTTATTGAAATATTTTAAAATTCAAGTCACATAATATATTAAAATGATATAAAAGCTAATATTTAAACATCTAAGATTACTAATGTAAAATATAATAAATTTACATACATAACGTTATTAAAAGTAACTTATCAAACATCCCTATGAGGGATCACTTATATAAAAATTTCTTTATTCAATTCTAAATTAAAACTCACGCTTTAATTCTACCTAAATGTGTACTATTGATATTAAACTCAGTTAAATTCAATAGTCAGCTTTAACAGGGATAAACTATTTATTGTTTCATCTTGCTGTTTAATTGTTCTGCTGGTTTTAGGAGAAGATGAACAATATATTTTCATCCTTTAAAATTATTATTAACTACTTAGCCAGAGTTCTTGCTTTCTTTTACCTTTTAAAGTAATGTATGCTTATGGGAACAAATATAGGACATAATTTTAGTAATCTTAGGCAATTCCATCCAGAGTCCAAAAGATGAGAGGTCATAGGGAATAAACTGTGAAATAATGTTCCACAAAGTTATCTGTGGAATTTACTTTTCATTTCATGAAACTTGGAAAAAGCATGCGTAAAAGTTCAAAATTAAACATTGATATTAGCAATTAACTAAATTTAGGAATCATTATTAAAATTTTTAACATTTAGAAAACATTAGGCAACTTAGGTACTCTTCTGTGGCTAACATGACAAGTTTTCACTTCACAAGAAAATTAAAGGGAACTAAGGACCTAAGGAAATTATAATAAAATTGTATCCAGCGAAATAAATCATCTCGTCAAGACAGAACATGTCAACACAAAATAAACTACGACAAGGCATAAGAGTCATTCAACTGACCTGAACGCTACTTTTTTTAGTCCTGCATTTAATTAGGTAATTCTTCAGCAGAAGTGTTCTGGTCTGTCTCCAAACTCCCACCTCCCTAATTGCAGTAGCCATGTCTTCTGGATCCGTCTATTAAAGGGGGTAGATAAAAAAAAAAACCTGGAACCACACAGTCAAGAATATGCCATTTTTAATGGCAAAAACAGACAGACAGACAGACAGATGTTTCAGTCTCAGGTTAGATGAAGTTAAGTATAAGCCAAGCTCTCTCTCCTACCTGCACAGAACAACAATTTGAAGACCCTGAAAAAATAAAGAGTAGCATGTGAAACAGAGGAGAACCAGAATTCAAAATATTGCTCAACCAACAATGAGCTCACCACTTTTTCTCTTTTGGTATCGCCCAAACTGAATGCACTGCAAGTAGGCAAGCTGAGGCACCAACCTTTTTTTGTTTTCTATATTTTCTTATGCCCCTATCCCCAAGCCATCCCATGACAGCCGTGTCTGACAGCAGTAATGAAAGCTTAATGTAGCCAAAACTCTGAGGCAAGGGAACTTTTTTCTCCACTAAGTGGAACTATGGTTCTAAGAGGGTGTGTTGCCAAGCAACAGGTTCGCTCTGCTTGCCCTGAGATGAGCCAGTAAGTCCAGGGGCAAGTCAGTGGAATAGAACGGGTTTATCCGTCTTTGTAAGCAAAGACGGAAGACGGCAGACTAGCATCCTCAAAGCCCACCTTCCCAGAACAAAGACTACAGGTCAGTTATATAGTGGGGAGGATGTGCAGACATGCATGGAACTATTTTTGAAATGCCGTTTCTTCAGACATCTGGCCTCCAGTGGCCTCAGGGTCTGTTCTCAGTTCCCAATAATCTTCCCTTTGTCGTCCCTTGTGACTGATGTTCCTGCTTTCCAGAAACTGGAGATACGTCAGAGACTCATTCAAGGCCCTATACCCTGATTTAGCTTAAAGATAATAAGAACAAAGCCTAATGTCTATGTGTAACATAAAGATTATCATTTAACTTGTTCTGCTTACTTGTTCTCCCACTGCTTTATTCTTTACTTCCTGCCACTGGTCCAGGGATGCGGTGGATGCAGTTGCAGAAGTGTGCGACACAATGGGGCAAATAAACCCCAGCTTTCTGATTGGAGGATGGGAAAAGAGGAGCCACAGGGAATCTGAAAGTAGCAGCAAGAGCAAAGAAAAAGAGAGCTCAGGAAAACAAGACAATAATGTTGTTTATTAACTCCTAGACTAACCCCCAAATGGGGCACGCATGGTTCTAATCCTATTCTGCATACCAAAGACTTGAAGAACCAAACTAACAGGAGACAATGCCCAGATCTAGTCTGGTCAGTGGATGGAAGCACACAAGGACAGATCCAAATTGCACTGCAAAGGCTTTTGAAAACTAAACTGAAATTAGAACCACAGCTTAAAGAGTGCTGAGTAGAACTTGCAACCTGAACCTAACCAGGTCGACAGCACACTAAAAGAAAATATCAACACTCTCCATAGGATTAAAACAAAACTCAAAGTCTCATACAGTCCAACATTACTCAGCAAATGAAGTATGTAGAAAATATCAACTCTATTAAGAAATGAAAATCAACAGATGGCAATGCCAAGTTGAAATAGACTTGGGAATTATGTGACAAAAACTTTAAAGCCACTATTAAAAATGTGCTCCAGCAAGCAACAGCAAGCACTCTTGAAAACAATGAAAAATAAAAAACCTCAGCTAAGAAACAAGACATAAAGCAGCACCAAATAGAAATTTTAGAACAAAACACAAAATAACAAGTAAGACTCATGGAATACACTCAAAAGCAGAATGAAGACAACAGAAAAGATTCTGTGAACTTGATAAATCAACAGAAGCTATCCAATCTGAACAACAAAGAGAAAAAAGGTTTTCTTAAAAAATTAACAATGAGGGGCTAGCCCTGTAGCCAAGTGCTCCACTAAAGTTTCACGTCCTCCACTTCAGCAGCCTTGGTTCACAGGTTTGGATCCCAGGTGTGGACCTACTCCACATACCCGCCATGCTGTGGAGGCATCTCACATAAAAGTAGAGGAAGACTGGCAAAGATGTTAGCTCAGGGCAAGTCTCCCTCACAAAAAAAAATGAACAATTACTCCAGAGAACAGTGGGACAATAACAAAAGCTCTAACATTCATACTATCAGACTCATAGAAGGAGAGAAAAAAGAGTGTTAATGCTGAACAGATATTTAAAGAATTCATGTCTGAAAACTTCCCAAATTTGACAAGAGATAAAAACCTACAAGTTTCAAGAAGCTTGGTGAATCCCAAACAGGATAAATCAAACGAAATCCACACCCATACACATCATAATCAACCTGCTAAAAATTAAACACAATGAAAAATCCTGAAAGCAGTCAGAGAATAACCGTATATTACCTACAGGGAAATAATGATTTGAATGAGAGCAGGCTTTGCTACAGAAATTGTGTGGCAAAACTGGAATACTCATACACTGCTGGTGGGACTGCAAAATGGTTCAGCTGCCGAGGAAAACAATTTGGCAGTCCCCCCAAAAGCTAAACATAAAATTACCATATGACTCCACTATTCCACATCCAGATATATACCCCAAAGAACTGAGAACAGGGACTCAAACAAGTGCATGTTCACAGAGGTTCACAGCAGCACTCTTCATAATTGCCAAAAGGGAGAAACAGCCCAAATGTCCATTAACAGATGAATGTATAAAGAAACTGGTATACATACACAATGAAATACTACTCAGCCATAAAAAGGAATGAAGTACTGACATATGCCACCACATGGATGAACCTCCAAAACATTATGCTAAGTGAAAGAAGCCCAACACAGAGGGTCAAATATGATTCCATTTATATGAAATTTCCAGAATATATAAATCCAGAGAAATGGAATGCAGATTGGTGGTTACCAGAGGCTGGGGAGAGAGAAGAATGAGGAGAAACTGCTTAATGAGAAAGGGGTTTTACTTCAAAGTGATGGAAATGAATTTCACCTCAATAATTTGTTTTTAATTGTATAAGCTAAATCGTTGTACCTATCACTTTCCAGTGTCTCCATCTGCTGGGGTAAGTTCACCCTTTGGAGGTCCTTGGAGCCTTTTCTGCCAGTGGACCTCTGTTGGAGTTATATCAGTTCTTCAAAGAGGTCATATTAGAGATGAGTTCAAAAGAGAAACGGCCAGAGTCTCAAGTGTAATCTCCATGGTCCCTATTCCAACTTGCCTACCCCAGTAACCTAGGATCTCTGCATACCAAAAGGTATTGAGAGGGCAGCCTGCAGGAGACACCAAGAAAGTCCTGTGAAGCCTTCTTCCAGAGCAATATTTGTTGCCGTGTTTTACATACACCTATCTATGGGGGCCATTGGTATGACTTCCCTCCAAAACAAAAAGAATCTATTCCAAGCTGGCTGACCATCTCCACCTCGATAAAAAAACAGGCAACCTTTTAGAGGCAGCTTGGTTTACTCAAAAAAGGAAATATCTATAATTAAAGTTTGGATTAAATAAGCATCCTCCTTATATGCACAGAAGAAAGATGAGAGAGAGAGAGTTTTTTTAATTTAACAATGGGATAAAGGACAACTTTTACTTTCTTTGGTTTTTTTTCTATATTCTGAATTTTTCCATTGATGCGTGTTACTTATGTAGTAAAAAAAAAATACACAATGAGACACACCGTAAAAATATTAAATCACTAAATTAAAGACAGCAAAACTAAAGCAGTCAAGAATGGAGGATACATTAAAAATAAACTCTTCTAACAGCTTCATTAACGTTATATCAGATTCTGTAAAGAACTGATAATCATCTCTATGCCAATAAGAAAGAAAAAAACAAGAAAAACCACACTCATTCAAGGATGATTTACTACAAAACAAACACAGAAACACTAACCAATACAGCAAGAACATTCTCAAGATATCTGCCAAAACACATTGATTTAGTGGGCACCACTGAATTATTCATTCAAATTGAACACTGCATGCTTCATTCTTCATTTTTTAGAAAACAGGCCCCTCATAAAGTAGCTGATGGACTCACAATATTTTCCTTCTTTGAGAACTGCTCCCTGAACTCAGGGTTGAGTCTTTAACAGCCTTTTCTGAAACCCATGAACCTCTGCACCCACGCCACCCCGAGGCAGGGCTTTTTAAACTACAACTTACTCCTGCTCCACCCACCCACCCACCATCCCAAGAGACACACAAACCATCTTCATCACCACCACTATCACCTCCACCACTACCCCCGAGCCATATCAATTACATTTTCTCCTGGCAGTATGGAATTTTTAACTAAGAGACGCAGAGATGGGAGTCATGGAAACAGTTACATTAACGGAATTATTTACAAAAGAAAGTTCCTACATTCTTGGTACTAAGCATTCCCCTAAGGTGTGATACCTACTGTGCCTAAACCTTGATTTTTCTTCCCTATAGTATGTGACACACCTTATTATCCACCCAATATATTTTATTGTCACTTAAGCTAGCCAGGATCAGATTCTACTTCTTACAACCCAAAGCACTTAACCAATATAACAGTATAATATGTACTTAACTCCATAGTTAGAATACTCATAAAGATAACAGTGATTTTTCAAAGTGAAGCATGGAAGAACAGGGGATGTTAAAAACCTTCCTGCCTCCCCTCCCTAGTAAGCATAGAATTCCACCGATACCAATGGCAGTGTGTAGGGGCAGACAAAAAGTTGACAATCACTGATGTAAAGTTTTTAAAGAAGGTTTAAAATAATATTAACAGGGAAATATTTCTGCAGAAGATAATATACAATGACTAATTAAAGGAGTCATTTCAGTGTCTATTCAATCTTCGGTTACTTTCATGTCCTTTCTTCCAAAGCAAAGTCCCTTCATCAGCAAAAAGCGCTTTCACAGTATTTTCCCTCTGCAACTGAGCTCAATTCTTTAGGCAGATTTTCTTTCTCATCATTTTTCCTTAGTCAAAATGTTCTGTACTCCTTTGTGCCCAGTACTCTCCGAGAGAACATTCTACTTCTTGGTAGATAACCTCATCAATCCGATGTTGAGTTGATCTATCCTCATCTGTCATCCCTCTCCTCCAAAAAAGATTCAAAATCAACACAACTGTAATATGAGCTATTTATAAAAACAAGATACCACATCTACATTTTATTTTGATACTTTAAAAAGATTTTTATTTTGAATTAAATACCTTTGTAAGAAGAGCTTAACCTATCAAATAAAATTTCAACCTTAGCTTTTCATCTACTTCAGTCTGGAAGAGTGGGTACCGTATCTTTAAATTGAAATGTAGTGCAAACCCTTAGGTGGCTGCTGGCACTATTCTCCCCTCCCCCAACACAATTAAAAAAAAGGGCTACAGTAAACCCAATCAACATCTTCCAACACGCTGAAAGAAAGTGGAATCGATAAACATTTATGGAAAAACATATCATGACGAAGAGGCACTGAAATCAACACAAGAATTAATAATGCCTGCAGTAATACAGTAGAGTGATTAGGAGTGTGACCTCTGGAGCCAAACCAACTAAACAAGAACCCTGCCTCTGCCTCTTAGTAGCTTTGTGACCTTGGGCAAGTAACTTTTCTGTGTCTAAGTTTTTTCTTATCTGTAAATGGAGTAATAATTGTACCCACTTCTGTGGGGTGTTAGAATGACTAAAAGAATTAATACATGTAAAGCTGAAAATGGTGCCTGGTCCATGGCACATAATTATACACGTTGATCACTACTGTACATAAAAGTAGTATATCTAATATCCTCAAAAGGACAACAGTGCGGGCTCTGTGGCCCAGTGGTTAAGTTCATGCGCTCTGCTGCGGCGGCCCAGGGTTCGGATCCTGGGCGTGGACATGGCACCACTCGTCAGGCCACGTTGAGGCGGCGTCCCACATCCCACAACTAGAAGGACTTGCAACTAAGATATACAACTATGTATGGGGGGTTTGGGAAAATAAAGCAGAAAAAAAAAAAAGATTGGCAACAGTTGTTAGCTCAGGTGCCAATCTTTAAAAAAATAAAATTAAATTTAAAAAAAGGACAACAAAGAATACCACATTCATGAAACAAGAACAAGGCAATTAAGAAAAATCTACCAGAGAACTTAGAAATGAACCAGATTGATAGAAATAAAATTCTCAGTAGATGAGGTGAATGGCATCTGAAGGCAAATTAGTGAGTAAGAATAAAGACTGAGTCAAGGAAATCCTCCAGAATGGATGACCAAAAGATAAAGAAGAAAATGATGAAAGGAAAGTACAAAATCTGTTATGAAATTATACAGATGAATGAGTATTATGACTGACTTGAACAAATTCATGTTTCTTATATTCATAAGCTCTAGTCTAATCATGTGAAAATGTTAAATTTCAATAACCTTGAACTTCTATTTATTCAAGTTACTAAAAAAAATATTAAAGAAGAAAACTCAACTGACTACTTGTTTTCTTCATGATATGAAACCCCTGATTTGGCTGTTCGATTGAAGAAAAAAAAAAAGAAACATTCTTAACATTGATTCTTTAGAGACCTTTAGTTTAATGTCCATCTAAACAAAAACTTCAAGGCTGTAGTTAGGTTTTGTAAACTGACAACAATGAACCTATTTGCCCTTCTTGCCACCCACAACCCACAGAGCCTAAAAGCAGACCAATTTGAAAAGGGTCATGGGGAATAAATCAAGCAAGGACTGCTCTGCATAATAACGGGAAGTACTAACTCTACTGTAAAAGATTCCTTGCAGGAGGCCAGCTCCGTGGCTGAGTGGTTAAGTTCGCGCGCTCCGCTGCGGCGGCCCAGGGTTCGGATCCTGGGTGTGGACATGGCACCGCTGGTCAGGCCACGCTGAGACGGCGTCCCACATCCCACAACTAGAAGGACATGCAACTAAGCTATACAACTGTGTACAGGGGGCGTTTCGGGAGATAAAGCAGAAAAAAAAAAGATTCCTCGCAAATTATAAGTGCTTAGGAAAACATTCTGTTTCCCCTTCAAGTGTTGAGACCACGCTGTCTCTGAGAATTATGTTTGTCCTTTGGAGAGAAGACAGAAGGAAAAAGAATAGAAAAGGGGTGCCTACAACTCACCCTGGTGGGGTAATCACAGAAGTCCCCCCTTCTCACTAGCATCCCCCACTGTTCTGCAGGGTTTGGAATGGGGAGACAGACAAAGGAAGGATGTGGGAAGGCAGGGCTTTCTACACGGAACGACTCAGCCAACGATAAAGAGATGGTGTCTGAGCTGAGACCCGCTCCTGTCGGTAGGGGAACGAGGTTTCCTGAAAGAAAGATGGAGATCCACCGAGCAGACATGAAAGTGGTGCTTCTGACAGAAGTGTATTGCTGAAAACAGGGCTGAAAGTTAGAAATGAAGTATGGCCAGCACAGGGACATCTATCTGTAAAGAGTTTAACTTCTCAGGTGCCTTTTCTTGAAATACAAGAAAACCCAACTTAGCAGAGAGTTCTAAATTTCCTCTTCTATACTATAATCCTTTAATCATCCCAAACTTTATATTCTTAGGTGGTGGCATTCAAAAGAAAAGGAAAAGGTAATAAAGGATGCTTGGCCTGCCCCACATTTAACACTGGCTCTAAGTGAGAATAGAATCAGACAATATCCAGGAGTTCACTCACTAGGGGTGGAGTTCATACAAGCCCATGGCAGAGCTGGAAATGGTGGAGAGGACCACACAACATTAAACAGCAGCTTTTTGAATAGACAACACATATAAGACCATCTGTTTTGCAAAACATGAAGACTGTCTCTTAGACAAAATCATCTTCTTGCAAAATTCTCTTTTGTAGGAAGACGATTCTTGAAAGCAAAGTGAACAAGCGAAATGCACTAAAACTTCTAATAGTATATTTTTAACAAAAAATACTTTTTTGGAAAACTTATAATACTTGATATAGTTCCAATTGAAAGTCCTACCAATGTACCTTTAAACCTCTTTAATAAAGTCAATTCTTAACTGCTAAAGAACAATGACAAAGACACACAAATAAGGGTAGAAAATTATTTTTTAAAATGTTTACGTTACTTTCCATTGCTCCACAGCATCCCCAGGGAATGCATTAGTTTGCTGTGAGCTTTAAATAATAATTAGATAAATTTTAAACAAGTAATATCACCAAAGGTTTAATCAAATATTTAACATTCCTAGATAAATAATTTCCTAGATAAAAATAATTCATACTAAATCTAATAAATTGCAAGAAAACTTAAAGCTCATCTTCCTTTTCTAATGTATTAATAATTGACTTAAAATAAAGACTAAAAGTTACATAATCCAAACTTCAATATCAGAAATTCTCTTATTATGGGGCCGGCCCAGTGGCGCAGCAGTTAAGTTCCCACGTTCTGCTTCAGCAGCCCGAGGTTCGCTGGTTCGGATCCTGGGTGCAGACATGGCACCGCTTGTCAAGCCATGCTGTGGTAGGCGTCCCACATATAAAATAGAGGAAGATGGGCACGGATGTTAGCTCAGGGCCAGTCTTCCTCAGCAAAAAGAGGAGGACTGACAGCAGATGTTAGCTCAGGGCTCATGTTCCTCAAAAAAAAAAATCACTTATTAATTTATTAAAGAAATATTGATTACTACATTACACATACAATGAAACATACTTCACTTTTCTCAAAGCAATAAAAAATAGAGAAGTTGAGTCATCCTGATGTCCACAGCCATTCTGGTAAGAGATGCGGTCAGTCACCTTCTTAGCAATCTTGGAAAGATTCTGGAAAAGGCTCTTAGCTGAAAATGTTCCCTACCCCCAACAGATAGGGACTATCAGAGGTCACTTCTGGTCCACCCAAGTAGAACTGATTATCACTCTCTTGTTCCACATCTACATCTAATAAATAAGCTGTAATTGCAGTTACCATACTGTGTCATCATTATTTGTTTATGTCTTAATCTTGAACTTGACCATGAGATCCTTGACAAAAATGACTGCCTTATTCATCTTTGCTTCTCTACCACCAATGATATTACTATAACCAATATCATCTCACTATAACCAATATCATCTCACTGCAAATTCCTTTATCAAGACATGCTGAGAGTCCTTTTAGATCACAGGTCTGCAAACTATGACGGCAGAGGTGGGGGCTAAATCTAGCCCACAGCCTGTTTTGTACAGCCCCTAAATTGAGTGTTTTTGCATTTTTAAATGGTTAGGGAAAAATCAAAGAATAATAAAATTTTGTGGAATGTAAAAATTAGAGGAAATTCAATTTTTGTGTCTATACATGAAAGGTTATTGGAACATAGCCATGCCCATTCCTTTCCATATTGTCTATGATTGTTTTTGTACTGCAACGGCAAAGTAATTGAGACACAGACCATATAAAACCTACAAAATATCTACAATCTGGCTCTTTACAGAAAAAGTCTGCTAACCCCTGTTACGGACTAAAAGAGAAAGAAGAAAAGTGGCACATGCATTTAACATTTACTGAGGGATTTATGCACCAAACATAATGAAAAAAAAATGTTAGACACTTTCACTGACTTGGCAGATAGATAAAATTTAATATAATGTGGTAAGTGCAACTGAGGGAAAGACTTTGGGAAAGAGTGGAAGGGGAACTCCAGGCAGATAAAAAAGAATGGAAAAGCTATACTCCCAAAAGGGCTTGACTTAGTATAAAGAACAGGGACAGCTGTGAAGTGGCACAGGCACAGACAGGGAATTGGGGCAAAGGGTGCAGGTGTATACTCTAGATGACACTGTAAACACAGCCACTGGAAATGGCATGGGTAATACCTTGTGTGCAAAATGAGATTAGACACCTTTATTTTGTGCACCCATTTATAGCACCCTGTATTTCCTCTAGCTCGCTCTTCATTCCTAAGAGAGATTGTTTAATGGCCTGGCAATCATATATTTCACTACTCCATGCACTCTCCCAATCCCCAAACCTCTAAAGCTTCCACTCGCAGCAGCATCACCCTCAAATTATAACCTTGATTCCTCCTTTATTGAGAAAACTGGAGCAATTGAATAAATTTCCAAAATGTCCCAGTATCCCTTCTATCCGCTTACCTACAACTGCGCCAAAGGTAATATTATATATTTCAACAATATGCCATTTTGGCCTAAACTGAAGACACTGTTTCCATTATAACTCTGAGCCATAAAGCTTAAATGGAATCTGGTATTAACTATACTTTTAATTTAAGACTTATTTTTTGGAAAAAGAGGTTAAGAACATATTTGGCAAATGACTTGAAAGAAATTCCTGCCCATCTACATCACTGGCTTTTCAACTAAAGAAATAAAAACACTATAAAATCAAGTCTTTTAATTTAACAGGCGATAAATTATAAATGCTCTTTTCTTCTTTAGTGTTTCAAAATTTAATGAAGATAGTGTAATAAAAACAAAGTACTAGTTGTCAATATGACTTAACCTAAATTTTAGGACAGTATTTCTTGCTGAATGGGAAAATGCAATGGGACCCACACGACAAGTTATCCAACGCCTTTTCTTATATATAATAGGTTCCTAAAAGCTTGTGCTTAAAGCTATTTTTAATCCAATTAATTCACACACTAGTAAAGATTACGATTTAGTAGAATATTACAAACTTCTTTTATATGATCATGCATTTTAACTCAAGAGCAGAGATTATAAAGTGTGGCACTCTTGGCACACAGTTTATAGTATCTGAAATATAAAGGACATTCAAATAAACATGTATTAATAAATTTGCTTTTACCCTGAATGTAACATTTCCTATACTAAACCCTGTTGGAAGGAAAATACACTTAAACTGCACATATTCAAGGACTAATACCTTGCTAGTTTGATTTTAACCCAAATACCCCAAGAGCCTTAATAACGCTCTCTTACATGGAGTCCTCCCTAAAAATATGTAATATCACTCTCTGGGCAGACACAAAATATAGTGGAGAAAGCACCAGAATTTAGTCTGGCATCCCTGGGGTGGAATCTCAGCTTTACCTTTTTGCTAGTTGAGACCTTAATAAGTGACTTAACCACTTTGTGACCTATTTTCCCCGTCTGCCCGACTAGAATAACACCGCCAACCTCAGAGGGTGACTGTCAGGATTAAATGAGATAATACTGCGCTCACGGTTGGGAATCCAACATATACTCCTTTTCTCTCTTTCTGTTCCTTCAGAGCGTCCTCGATAGAAAGTAAACGTGATTCTCTTTATTCTTTCAGACTTACTTATTTTAAAACGTCTATCTAAGCCTCAGGAGCACAGAAGAAACCCTCCTTCCTCTACTACGGCTTCAAACCGAGATCGATGCCTCCAGCCGAGCTAGCCTTCTCAGAAGCTGAGAGAGATGTTTGCACGCCTGCAGCTCTTCGCCGTGTTTTAGGAATCAGGGTGTTTCCCCCCTAAAATCGTTGTCATGAGATCTGCGCATTTTCAGCTCACCCAAACTCCCGTGAACACGCACGTATTACATGATCAGCATGAAACCCCCGAGGAACAGCCAGTGCTAATTAGCCAGTTTCGAGGGGAATTTGCGTCCACAACATTTTTTCCCTCTCCCTAACGATGCCCTGGCGATGGAAACGACCTGGTCCAACCCGACGCAGCCTGGCGCTCGTAACCCGGCCGGGCCGGTCCCGGCGGCCCCCGCACCCCGACACCCCGGGGGGAGCAGACAGCACCCGCGACAGCGCTCGCGGCCAACCGCGCTTCCTCCGACGAGACGCGGCGCAGCGTTTCTCGTGCCCCCTAGCCCTCCGACCCGCACACCGCAGCGCCCGACCCCCGAGCCCTCCCCGCCGCCCCTGCTCGACCCCCGCCTCCTTCCCCAGGGAGGCTTCCCCGAGCGAGCCTCCAGCGCCGCCGCTCTCGGCGCCCGCCTCACCTCAGGGCCGGGCCCGGGGCGCAGCGCCGTCAAGCCGCGACGCGCTCGGTCGGTGGAGACCGCGCGGGGACGAGCTCGGCAATGTGTGCGAGAGCGCGGCCCCGCGCGCGCGCCCCAGCGTCGCAGGCCCGGCAGCGCGCCCGAGAGAGCAGCGCTCGGCGCCGGAAGCCGGGCTCCGCCTCCAGCGGAAAGCACCTGAGGGCGGGGCTCCCAGAGGACGGGGTCAGCGGACGCGCGCGCTCCCGCTGCTCCGCCCCGCCCGTCCCGGCGCCGGCGGTGCGGGAGCGCGCCCGTGGAGGTAGCTCACCTGGGGGCGGGGCTCCTAGGGGGCGGGGCGAGTGGGGGCGCGCCGAGACCCGGGTGCTGCGCGTCCGCCGAGCGGCAGAGCCTTGGGAACCCTGCCTGGTAGCTCCGCCCAGGCCGTGTGGTCCTCGAATCTGCGTTCCCCGTGGAGACCTCGCTACGCTCTGCCTTGAGGCACAGGCACAAACAACCCGCTTGAAGTCAGGGGCTCGGGTCTGAGTCCAAACCTGTGACCTTGGCCTGCTGCCATCTCATTGCCTCCCGGGTCACATCTAATTTTAAGAATCTTTGCTGTTTCCCGGCTTTTGAACAGTTCTCTTCCAGGACTACATTTTAAGTCACTCCGCAGGCCTTCTTCACGCCGCAGCGCCTGGGGTGCAGTGTCCTCATTATCGTAACTACGTCCTCCAACTCCCATCAGGCAGCGACATCTGGACAGTGAGGATGCTTTTAGTTTTTGAAGTATTCTCACGAGAGTCCGGGCTGTGGTGGATCTTGAATTTTCCAAAAGGCCTGAGACTTTTGGCATCTGTGGAAGACTCTATATCGCCTTACTTTTGTTAAAAATATAAACTGGGGTTTTGAGTTTTATTACCCAATGTGACCTAAATGGTGGTCAAAAGTTATAGTAAAGGAAAGACAAGCTCACAACACTAGCATTGCAGATTTTTCCTCTCTAGATTTCTGTATGGTCACATTTCTTTGCAGTTTTTTCACTTTTGAGAATTTAACTATTTAAAGACTTTTTAAAAATTCTGTGGATCCTGTGTATATCCAGTATTTTTAAAATTTATCTTGTTTTTCTGCTTCGCAAATTTAAACCGAGTGCCCCCCAACAGTTACTCTGCTAAGTTCTACTAAAATTTTAAAAATCAAGGAATCAAGTTTTATTTATCCTACTGAATATGGATTAAATAGGAAATTCAGAGGGTTAGCCGAATCCATGGTTATTAAAAATCTGGCAGTGGGAGTCCGGGGAAGGAAGCTAAGAACGTCCTAGAAACTACACTGGAAAACTGAAGGCAGGTAATGAAAACTATTCATGTTATATTTTTTCTCTTTTATCTTAAGACGTTTTAGTTACAATTCAGAAGAATGCATTCTTAGTAGCCTAGGATTTAGGAGAAAGTAAATAAATGGAGGTCAAAGATAAATAAACCTGGTAGAAACGTGTTACTGAAATATACATTCACTCCCTACTCTCCAATTGTACTTCTCACTAGTAGCCTCAACCTGGCTTTAACTTCAGAGGTCTATTCATCATTTCTGCCACTATTCTAGGCATTTGTTTCCTGGATTTCTTATGCTTGCAATGTTCACTGTCATTCAATCTGTCTGTTTATGCTTCTATTTTGCTTGAAGACCAAAGACCCAGTTCTTCTCTAAAACTCTCATCACCCCAGATAAAATGGGTGTCTGCACACATGCTACCATCTTGTTCACATCATTTTACTTATGTACTCTCTCTTCAATTAAATTGTAAGTAGTCTGGCATTAAGCAATTTCTCTTAGATTGGTAATTTAAATTCCCAGGTCTTACGCATCATAATGTGCAGTAAAGGTTGATAATACTCCTGATGAGAAAACACATGCACAAGATTATGCAAATTTTGTCATTATTATCCCCCCAGAATGTCACCACTCACTCAACAAAATCTATGTAATAAAAGAAGATATTAAATTCTTCTTATGGGATGGATGACAAAATTATGATGCTACTATGGTGGTGGGAATAACATAACAGAGAATACTAAATAAGACCTTTATGTAAGAAGACTGCTACAAAGTAATGTATTGGCCATGACATATTTTACTGCCTTTTTGAACGGGCTATTTATCAGACTGCATGTACCTTGCTAACAGTTTAGCCACATAATCTCATCTAAATTTCCATAGTTACCAGGTCCCAGTACTAAATAAGCAGCTGTAGGAAAGATGTTTGTGTCTGAGCTTTTGTATCTAGGAAATAGCAAACAAGTCATACTGCTTGGTTGTCATGGTGGCAAGCCAAATCCCCATATCTCATTAATAGATTCGTAGACAAATAAATCACATGGGAATACATAGATCATAGAAGTCGTAGACTGAGATTTAACAAGTTGCCTAGCTAAACAAAATAAATGGAGAACCAGAGTTTTGACAGTATTTAATATAGAGAGTGAGAATTAGGCTTGCTACCCTAAACCCTAACCTATATCCTAACCTTCTGCTGGGGAACAATGGATTCTATTTGTGTTGCTTTTTTACTTAAAGATCAGAGCTTTATTTAATGGATTTCTTATGCTATTTTAGCCAAAATTAAGAGCAAAATTGCTAAATTGTTCGGACAGTTTTTTTTCCTGATGTCAAATCAGTCCATTATTTTGCAAGATTCTCAATACACTGAAAATTACATATACCATTTTATAAACCTATTACTATTAAACACTCTTCATTACCATTTGTTGTGAAACTCTTACCATTTCTACAAGCTAAAAAAGTGCCAAGAGAAGCGATGTGGTTTCTAAATTCAGGGTTTAAATTAGGTATAATTTCCAAGAAATTAAAATTGGTACCTTTTTCTAGAATAAGGCAAGATAAATAAAGGAATGCAGCCTTGACTGACAAAATAGAAAGAGAATCTTGCATCTTTAACAATAGAATTCTAAACTACCATCTCAAATGTGGCTGGGATTGTTATTAAATAGCTTAGGGAAATGATTAATTAATAATTGGTGGAAAACTGGAGAAGGGAATGACTTCTGAAGGTAATTTTAGTTTATTTGGCTTTTATTACCACTGCCACTACTATTATTATTATAATTATCACTATTGTTTTTGTTACACTAAAAAGAATTCCAAATACTATATTCTTTCTTTGTGTTTCTCCAAACAGAAAAATTATTCAAGAAGGTTAATATTTTTTTTTTTAAAGATTTTATTTTTTCCTTTTTCTCCCCAAAGCCCCCCGGTACATAGTTGTGTATTCTTCGTTGTGGGTTCTTGTAGTTGTGGCATGTGGGACGCTGCCTCAGCGTGGTCTGATGAGCAGTGCCATGTCCACGCCCAGGATTCGAACTAACGAAACACTGGGCCGCCTGCAGCGGAGCGCGCGAACTTAACCACTCGGCCACGGGGCCAGCCCCAAGAAGGTTAATATTTAATTTGATATTTAAAAGCTCAACCAACCGACAAGTGTATAGCGAGCGCCTAGTATTCTTGCTTAACAAAACCCTAACGTTGCAGGTGAACAAAAAAAGGTAAAGAAATCAACAAAAAAATAAAGAGCATCAAATGGAAGATCATATTTGCTCCACTGTTAAACTATGTAGTGCAAACTGTAAAGTACTGTAGAGAAATCATTGAGGGCTGGAGTTACCTGGTACCTTCAAGAGGAAAAGATGGGGAGACTGCTTTAACCAGAGTGGAGAATATATTAGAGACACAGCAAAATAAGCCTGCATAGGTTTTTATAAACACAAAATTATCACTTTACCTAAAAGAATAATGTAAAGGCTAAAAAAGTGAGACTTGACTCAATCTGTGTGCTCTTTCTCTCTTCAGTAGGGAAAATATACTTTGAAGTGAAACAACATAGAAACAGAACTGAAACTTGAGATGGGTGGGGAGATAGTAAGCAAGCACCTATCTGTTTCAAACAAGTTCATGTTTCCAGGCACAAATTACATCCCATAGCCGTTTACAGGTAACCTAAGACCTATTCCATTGCTGGTAAATTCAGAGAAACTGTAAAAAATGAAAAAGATGCTAGGTCGCCTGCTTTTTAAAATGGGTGAAAAGTTAGACAATAAAAACTTCAGAACAGGAAAGTAAAATTCCAGAGTACATAATTAAATATATTTTTTGAACATTTAGAAAAGTGTTTGGTGGTCACTAGCAACCAGCCAGGCTAAACTACAGATAAGTCACACTATACTTCTTTTTTGACTTGATCTTTGGGTTAAAATGGGAATTGTATAGTTGTGGTATAAATTAATTTCAGCAGAGCATTTAATCCAGTCTTTCATATTTGTGGATGTGAATCTAAAATAAGATATAATTATACTTAGGTAAACTCAAAGTTAGTTGGATAATTGTAGCCAAATTTTTGTTTATAGTTTTTCATCAATTACATAGGTGAAGACATAGAAATCATTCTAGTCAAATCAAAAAATGAAACAAAACCTATATAGCATAGAAAATATGACTGAAAACAGAACAAAATTACATTAACAATTTGCACTCTGAGCTAAAAATCTAAAGATAAAATTTAACAGAAATATATGAAAATCCCCATATTTGTTCAAATTGAAAAATAGAAGTACAGAATAGGATATATTCTAGGTTTGCCATGTAAAAAACATCCAGACATTTTAATGTCTGCCAAGATCAATGTGAGTTAACACGCTATGTCAGATAGCTTGCAGTGACACCTCTAACACTTCCATTTGAAAACGCTGTGCCCGCAAGCACCTGTTCCTTCCTTTCTTTTGGGGGATCCCCTTGCCATTATTCCCCTTGGAATTCACTATTCTTCTGGAATACGCAGAATAATCCCCCCCACCTCCGTCCACCCAAAGATGCCCACATCCTGATCCCTGGAAACTGTGAATATGTTACCTTATGTGGAAAAAGAGAATTAAGTTTGCTAATCAGCTGACCTTAAAATAGGGAGATTATCCTGGATTATCTGGGTGGGCCCACTGTAATCACAAGGGTCCTTACCAGTAGAAGAGGGAGGCGGAAGAGAAGGTCAGAGGGATGCGACGTGAGAAGGGCTCAACCAACCATTGCCGGCTGTGGGGATGGAGGAGAGAATGCAAGTGGCATTTAGAAGCTGGAAAAGGCGAAGAAAGAAATCCTCCCCTAGAGCCTCCAGAAAGAAATGCAGCTCTGCCAACACCTTGATCTTTATCCCAGAGCAAACTGGGTGTTGGACTTCTAACTTATATAAGAGACATAATACACTTGTATTGTTTTACATCACTAAGGTCGTGGTAATTCATTAAGCAACAAAAGAAAAATAATATACCTCTTGCAATTTATTTTCATTCTCTCCAACATAGCCCTGTTAATATTTAGCATCCAAATGTCCTCTGTTTTCTTCTCTCCCTCTAGGTAAGCAAAGCGATGCCATAGAAAGGACAATGAACTATTAGATTTGGTGGATTCAGACACTTAATAACTGATGGGACTCCATAATCACATAGGCATAGTTAGCATCTATAGTCATTAGTTTTCTAAGTTGTAAAATAGGACTAAAAAATACCTACCTTCTTTGTCTGGGTTATTTCAAGGAGTTTTTGAGATGAGGTGTGTGAAATAATAAAAGGCAACTATTAAGCACAGAATATGTGCTACACACTGTTCTATGTAGTCTTGTATTTAATCTCCACAGTGCCCATGTAAGCTATGTACTATTTTTCCTCCTCTGAGGTAGAGAGAAGTACTCTGAAAACTGTAAAGCACCAGAGATTAGAAATAAAATAGACATCATGTAGGGAATCGATATAGAATGAAGAAAACAGGTTTTTCCTATTAGTAACTTTCCTGAAAATATTTTCTTTTTTCAATTAAGCTTTACTAACTTTCAATATTTGTTCCTTGTGCATTTCTATCACAGTTATTCTCTTCATTAATCTGTCCATTCATTTTGTAAATAATATTTGTGGAATGCCTATTATGTCAGGTGCTACCTTAAGCATTAGGGAGAGAATAGTAAATGAAAAAAGCATGGTACCAGCTGTTAAGGAGTTTAGACTGTAATGAGGGCTATAGATAAAAACAAAGTGACAATGGAGTGTGGCCAGTACCTTCAGCAGGACAGTGGTCGGTAGGAGGACATAAGTGATTCATCTAATACAAACCTGAGAGGTCAAGGAACATTGTCCAGAGGGAGTCATATCTGTATTAAGACCTGAAGGCTAAGTAGAAGTTAGGTAAAGAGGAAGGAGAGAATATTCTGGTAGAATACTGTTACCTTCAGTATTTCGGCCTCTTCCTCATTTACACTTTATTTTTCTCAACTCTGTCTACAAGCTCAAATAGATCTTGCTTTAAGGTTCATTCCCAAATACAACTTGATGTTAAGTCCCTGATGTGAAATTTTCAGATGTTTCCTATTTAATAAGCCCTTTATCTATAATCCATTTTTATCTGATCCCACGTTCTCTTAATCCAGTCATCAAGCTGTGTTGTTTCAGACTGCTTTATTTCCCTATCCTGTTGGAACATGGCCCACTTTTATTAGCTAATCGTAATGTAAATAACAAGTGGGAAAAAACCCCACAAGTATGTGTTTTTATATGGAGTTCATTCCTGTGATTACCTTCTTTTGCCACTAGATGGTGCTTGTATGCCTGAGACACAAAAATGCTGATTTGGTTTACCTACCTGGAAACTAGTGAAACTAACCAGAGTATCAGGACATTAAGAAGAAACTGCCCAAACTAAATTTTAAGTGATCCTGGTTCTTAAATGTATCCTTAAAAAATAAAACCAACATCCTCCTTTCCTTTTGGATACATAGACAGTAAGAAATTTTAAATTAAATTTACCTTTAAATGCCTGCCCATTTTGTACCACCTCATCCTGACACAAGCTTTATCTTCATTTCTTTCATTTTTACATTCTAATAATACTGTCTTCTAACATCCTAACCTGGCAAATTGGACTACTTGTTCCCTGTTTATACCCTTCCACCCTCCCCTCTCCTTATCTAATCTTATGCTTTTCCCTCAACTTAGAAAAGACACTCCTTCTCTTCCAATACTTCCCCCTCCATTATTACTTTAGAAACCCCACTCATTTCTCACGACACATTTCAAATAACACCTCTTCCATGAACTTTTTCCTGTTACTACCACGAGAAAATGCCTTCTTTCTTTTCATTCTTTTAAGGAGCTTACTAATTTGTTTAATAATAAATGTAGCATGCATTATTCTAAAGCTAGCACTTAAAGGCTTTCTGCCTTATGATTATTTATGAACCTTTCTTAATCTCCCTACTATATAATGCTTGCCTCTTGTGTGCAGAGACTATCTTAGTCATCTTTATATTTCCTGAAATAGTTAGCACTATATTATTCATTGAGTTGATTTGAATGGTAGTATCTATAATAATGTTGCCAAAAGCTCTAAGAATCAAAAGTGAGATGATGATTCTTGGTGATGGTCTCTTGGATAGTCTGGATGAAATTCAGCAGCAAGACCTGTGGAACCAAATCATCTTTCCAACTAGAAATGACAGTCATGGCATGAGACTCCCACCTCTCTCAAATTTATAGATATGATGCATAGAGTATAACTATTTTTAAATATAAAGCTGAGTTCAAAATAGAGAAGGCAAAATCTTCAGATACCAGAAATGAAGAAGAAATCCAAGGTCACAGAAGTAAGGGCCAGGAGTAGAGGGTTCAACGCCATGCAGGACCAAGAGATGCGGCCCCAGAGCCACTTAATGAGGAGCTGAAACTACAATTCCTGCATAAATTAGGACCCTAAAGAGATGTTCGCTTTTTGAAGCCTAGGGAAGTTGCTAAGAAACTTATCTTCTGCTCAGTAGTCTAGGTTGGGTGGAAGTGGAGGATGATGGTTCCTATGAAAATTGAAAATCCCAGTCTATAGAAGTCCACTAGCACACTATTATTTGAAAACAGAATCCTGAGATTAGAAACAGAGAAACTGCCATGCCCCTAGGGAAGCAAATATAAAAATCCTCAATAAGGACATTTGCACAACTCAGGGCACAAAAGAATTCCACAGAATAAACAACTGCCGCTGAAGGTGAACTCTCAGTAAAATCTACCACCACACAAGGGAACAATCCACCACAAGGGAGAGGCAGCAGACACATCAAATTGAAAAAAGCTGTGCCCAAATAACTTCAGTGAATAAAACCACCTGAAAGTGACTACAAAAGGATAAAATGGTTAAAAACATAAAAGAAAGAATATAAAATAAAATTAACAACAAGATGAAAAAATAGAAATAATTGAAAAAGAACAGGGCTTTATTGAGTCATTAATTCTTGTAACAAATGTTTATTGAACATCTGCGAAGTTCTAGAACTGTTTGAAGTGCTAGAGATAAAATGGTGGATAGACATACAAATTCCCTACTATCATAGAGCTTATATTCTATTGAAAATAAAAGCTCAACAGATGGGTTAATCAGACTAGAAACAGCAGAAGAGATGATTATTAAACTGAAGAATAAATCCAAGGAAATTACAGTACAGCGCTGAGGATTTAAAAAAATGGAAAATATAAAAGTGAAGTTAAGAGATATGGAGGATACAATAAGAAGATCCAATACACAGCTAATAGTGGTTCCAAAAAGAGAGAAAAGAGATAATGGAGGGGAGGCACTATTCAAAGAGAAAATGGCAGAGAATTCCTCAGAAATACAGACATGACCCATGGAACAATACAATAAGTCCCCACAGGATACATTTTTAAAAAGAAATCAGTATCTAGACACTTCTAGTTAAACTTGAAGAGCACCAAAAACAAGTAGAAAAACCATAATAGCAAAGCAAAAAAAGAAAGAAAAGAGAAAGAAAGAATACTGCAAAGTGTCTAGATTGACAAAAGAATTTCCATTGGTAAAATAAGATTGAAATACAATTTTGAAAGTGCTAAGGAAATTCTATTCTCGGCTAAACTGTCATTCAAAGCAAGGGTGAAAAAAGACTTTTTCACAAAAAAATTAATAGAGTTTACCATTCACAGACCTGAACTGAAAGAACTACTAAGAGATGTACTTCGATAAGAAGGAAATTGAATCCAAAAGAAAGCAGCAACATGCAAAAAGAAAGCCTGAGCAAACAACTAGAGTAAAATGTTGGGAGAAATTAAATAAGTATTGACTATAATAATCATATAAGATAACCAAGAAAATTAAAACATTGTAACATGAAAGAAAAAGAGGTAAAGTTTGAAACATTTTGTGTTTCTAAATTCTGAGTGTTTTTTGTGTTTTTTTGAGGAAGATTAGCCCTGAGCTAACATCCACTGCCAATCCTCCTCCTTTTTGCTGAGGAAGGTTGGGCCTAAGTTAACATCTCTGCCCATCTTCTCTACTTTATAGGTGGGACACCTGCCACAGCATGGCTTGATAAGCAGTGCACAGGTCTGCACCCAGGATCCAAACCGGTGAACCCCAGGCCATCAAAGCAGAGCACACGAACTTAACCCCTATGCCACCAGGCCAGCCTGTAAATTCCGGGTTTTTTCGAGAGAAGGCTACCGTTATTACCGATGCTACCAGGTAAGCACTAAATATTCAAGAGGACCCATTTTGGCCACGTCTCCTCTGCTCAAGCCAGTTAGATAAAATCCACAGATGTTCAGCACGTTATCAATGGTGAGTTACTACTACAGCAGGCATACCAGCCCTGAGTCTGGTAGAGAAAGTAAGAATTGGCACTAGGCCCCTTCCATCAGCTAAGTCTTCTTAGCTCACCCTCAACTCTGGTCTTTACAGTTCCAACGTTAGCAGAAAAAGCTGATGCAGAAAAATGGGAGACAGGACATATGAACATCTCCTCATACAGGATTCAGGTAATTTGGTCCTGCCATCTCAATTGCACTCTTTCCTAAGTACACTGTTAACCTATTTCATCTCTTCCCCGTGCCTCTTGCTGTATGCTTTAAATTGATTCAACAAATAGTGTGACTTCAGCATCTTCATTTGGTCTGTGAACTCTTCTGGACTAGCCCTTTGGTGCTGGACTCAGAGGCTACCATTGCATCACGGTGATTTCTTACTGATATACCACGAAAAAAGTAGAGATAAACATGTAATTCATAAATAAAGAAGGAGAAGAAAAAAATCATGCAAGTAGAAGTCAAGAAAGAACAAAAAATTAAGAAATGACATTTAAAAAATTAAACTTGATTACTTTTCCTCTATTTCGAGAATGGCCAACCAATTTTTCATTTACATGCCTCCTCACATAATTCGTTACTGGCTATATGGAATACTGGATTAAGAAGGATTCTAAAACCAAGCCTCATTTTAGTGAAAAAAGAGTGCCTTCATCTATTAATAATGTCTGCCAAAAGGCACTGGAAATCAGAAGAAATATTTCCCTTTCTTGATCCAGGTTTTCTAAGTTTAAAAAATCACCAATAATTCCCAGAGCTTTCAACAATTCAATTATATTTTCTTTTAATGTTTTTTTTTTCAGTTAGTGCTCTTACACTTAATCCTTTTACCTATCGAGGAGAAAAGTGAATTTATATACTATTAACTCAAATAAGAATATTTAAAATATCCACAACTACATCAAAATCATAAGATTATATATATATATATTTGCCACTACATAGAAAAGAAGGTACAATGATGTGCCTATAACTGGCAAGAAATTTCAGCCATTAACCCACTGAATTCTACAAATAGCCGTTGAATTCCTACTGTGATATGTGCAAGGCACTCTTCTAGAGCAAAACATAGTTCCTGCCGTCAAGAAACTTAAATTCTAGTGAAGGAGAAATCCATGTACACAACCAAGTGTAAAACAATATGATGTCAGTAGATCCTATATCTAGCTGAGCATGAGGATTATCCAAGAAGCTTTTCAAAAAAAAAAATTGTGTAAATTTAAGGTGTACAACATGTTGATTTGATACATGTATATATTGCAGTATGATTGCCATTGTAGCATTAGCTCCACCTCTATGACATCACATAATTATCGTTTCTTTATTGTGGTGGGAATATTGAAGATCTAGTCTCTCAGCAAATTTGATGTTTGTAATACAATATTGTTGCCTTGATACATAAATCATAATTTACCTGGGTGCAGAATTCTTGGGTAACACCCTTTCCCCTTCAAAACTTTGTGGACATACATATCATTGTTTTTATTGTCTGAACCTTTTGAGACTAAGTTGCACGCATCATACCCCTTGACTTCTAAATATTATGATATGTGTTACTTAAAAACAAGGATTGTCTCCTATACATATGTAATTATTAATTTGCTTGCTTTCAGTCTTCCTTGTAAGAATATAAGCCCATGGTGGTAGGAACTACTTCTTTCTTGGTCCCTGCTGTATCCCCAGGGCTAGAATAGTACCTTGTCACTTACAGAACTGGGGTAGACAAACTTTTTCTGTAACAGTCTAGAGATACATATTTTAGGCTTTACAGGTCAAGAGGCAAAATCTAGGCTAGACACATAAAAAGACACATAAAAAGAAAATGAATTTCCACAATTTTCAATTGATGGAATTTAAAATATAATAAGAATTGAATGCAATTTTGGGATAATATACAGGGCTGGATTAAGGAGGTGGCAGAGGGTGGGCAGCAGGGGTTTGGCCAGCAGAGATCAGTGAAGCAGTGGTAGCTCTTTGGAAGAAGAGACAGCAAGGGAAACAAAACAGCAGCTGTTGCTGGCAGCCCCACCCGTAACTCCAGTCCTAACAGGGTTTCGTGTTCTGCTGTGCTCCGAGAATTAAGGGGACTTCAGAATGCTTTCAGTCCGTAGGAGTCTGCTGTGGGGGAAGGGGCCACCTAGGGAAGAGTTAAATTATGTAGATGAGAAGGGAGGAGGTAAAGGGCAAGAAGATTAGACCTGGTCTCTGTAGCAGCTACTCAACTCTGCAATAGCAGAGCTGTAGCAGGAAGGCAGCCATAGACAATATGTAAACAAAGGAGCATGGCTGTGTTCCAATCAAACTTGGTTTATGAACACTAAAATTTGAATTTTGCACAATTTTCACATGCCACAAAATATTCTTTTTCTTTTTCAATTGCTAAAAATGTAAACATCATTCTTAGCTAGTGGGCCATACGAAAACAGGACTTAGGCTGGATTTGGCCCCTGTAATGATGCTCAAATGGAAGGAAAGAATAAAGGAAGTGTTAAAGAAAAGAAATTTTTAATATTGAAAGCATGTCATATGCAAATACAAAATGAACATGTCAATGATTTTGCTTAACTCATTAAATGATGGGGATATCAGTCAGATGTTACAACTGGTTCAAAGGAGAGTTCAAACAACATACACACATGTACACACACACACACACACAATCAGGAATGCTGACGTAAATTTACTCACAGATGCAAAATTGGTCTATATCCACAAGGCAATGATTATTTTTATTCCTCGAGATAAAATTCATTTGCACTTCTAGAGAGAAAAATAATCTGCATTACCCTAATTTTTTTGAAACTTACGGAGTTGTAAAACTGTACAAAGACAACGACAGGCCCTGGACCCTACATTCACAGCCATACTAGGGAAACTGAGACCACTCACCAGTTAAAAAAATCAAGGATGATGAAATCTTAAACATATACTGGTTTCAAAATATCAAATTTATACCTTGTGCTGCTTTGGAGGGAATGCTAAAAATTTGTTTGTATCCAGTTTGTTTATAAAATATCATAACATTTTAATCATATGGTAGTCGCAGAAACATTATATTCTAACTCCTCCTTCACAAGAATACTCCCTGTAGCCTAGAGGACTTTGTATAAGATCAGGGGCAATAAAGTGGCTTTCAAGATTGTAGATTCACATCCCAATTCCAACACACACTGGCTGTGTGATCTTGGGGAAATAAACTTCTCTCAGTCTCAGTTTCTTCATCTGTTAAGTGGAAATAATAATAGCAACTATTTCATAAGGCTGTTATGATAAACAAATGATGTAATACAAGTGACAATAGCATACAGCCTGGCACAGAGTAATCACACAAGACAGTTAGTATTTTCTTTCATTTGTCTGAAATTGATCTCAGACATATTGTTTTGGACAGTCTTGATAAAGCTGTGAGTTACTATTTTATGGTGTGCTGGTGTATTGTTAGAGAAAGTTCCCTTTTCTAGGGGAATACCAATAAACTTAATTCTCTAGATCCTGGCTGAAATGTAGTGATATGGAATTGCTGTAGCTCTCTTGGGCTACCCATCTATTAGAGGTATACATGTCAACGGAAAGAGGAGAAACACCACTTGATTTGCTATAGGAATCAAAATGTTCTTTGAGGGGCCCTCCCCGTGCCCGAGTGGTTAAGTTGGTATGCTCTGCTTCGGCGGCCCAGGGTTTCGCCGGTTTTGGATCCTGGGCGCGGAAGCACTGCTCATCAAACCATGCTGAGGCGGTGTCCCACATGCCACAACTAGAAGGACCCACAGCTAAAAATATACAACTATGTACCGGGGGGCTTTGGGGAGAAGAAGGAAAAATAAAATCTTAAAAATGTTCTTTGAATTAGACAGTGTTTTCAAAAATCTCCATTGAAACTACATGAATATTATTTTCCAGCATGCATTCGATTGTATTAGATCCTAATATAAGAAAACACCATTTTTCTATAAGACTATTAAAAAACTGACATTTTCCACACTACAGAGGGCACAGAGGAAGAATTAAATTTGAACCTAATTTCATTCTAAGTACATTATACACACTTAATTACATCTTTTCTCTTCAAATTAAAGAGCATTAGACATTTAAGAAATTAGAATTGCTATACCTGCACTTCTAAATTGAACAAAAGAAGCATCATTGAAATAACTTTTTTTTTAGAACCACAGTTTTTTTTTTATTCTGAAATAGAACATTTTTCTATATGAAGAACTGGCATTTTTATTCCATACCCTACCCATTCATCACTCTGCTCAAATTATCATTCCAATTCCTCCACTCAGTGGTTTGTTGGTTTTTTTTTCTATTTATGGGAGATGAAAACCAACATAAATGTTATAAACACACCATTAAGATGCAAACTCAAATCCCATGAGAAAAACTTTCTGGGCTGAGGGCGTTTCTGGCTGGTTTTCCATAAAACGAAAGTCCATTGAGACTGACTTTTGAAATATCCTTTGTTTGACATTGGAGTGCCCTCTTTCGCCCACTTGGTCAGCACAGGTGAATTTAATTTTCTCTTTTCTTTCTTTGATTATCAACTCTGCAGGCACCTCTTCCATGGAAATCCAATCAGCTTTAAGAGGACCCAGGAGGGCAGAACTGCCCTTGAAATGCTAAAATTGGGAAAACAGCTTGAGAATGTTATGAAGCAAGACACACTGACGTGAAAGATATTTTCATCTCCACTCACTTGGTGCCAACTCAGAGCAAAGTTAGGAAAACAGAGCACCATGTGCTGTAAAGTAATACTGAATGGAACAGGTGAGTTAAGAATGGAGTAAGAATGGAAAAGTGAGTCAGGCATAAAGTCACAACACTGTGAATTTATCCTCAAGATAATCATCAGCGGCAACAATTGGCAAATTTCTGTTACTGTTTAATAGTAAACGAATTTGTGCTATATATATTTGCATTCTGTACAGAATGCAGTACAATGTTCTTAGTATAAAACTAGATGGGAAACTGGAATTTAGTTTTTAATTCCATTCTATCTAAGTCACTGATTTCTATTGCAAGCTGAAGGAGAGAAAATTATTGTAAATGAAACATGTAATAATTTAGGGTGCATACTGTGGAAAAGAGTGTTCTGCTAGTAAGGATTTTATTTAAAAGCATGATAAAAGTTACAGAGGGAGAGTTTATTTTCTGTTTTGATGGCAATTTTTCTATATACCTATTTTATAACAAAAATGACAACTTTCTTTGCAAAATAGGGGAGGGCTTAAATTGGAGAGCCTCTATCATAGGTCTTTGATTGTCAGTCCTATTAATACATGGCCTTAAAACCATCTCAAATTCTTAATTCTTAGCTTTTCCTTCCCATAAATATAAAAGTGGAGATGATAAAATAATAGAAATTTTAAAAGAAATTTCTTATATGTCTGTTTGCTTTGTTTTGGGATTCCTAAGTGGACATTTTTATCTCTATGAAATACTACTAACACTGGGAACTTCAAAATATAGTGGTACATCCATGGGACAATGCCATGGAAACTAAGTCTGTTTTGGTGAAATAAAACTTCAAGGGAATGAGTTTCAAAAACTTTTTAGGGGCTGGCCATCTGGCATAGTGGTTGAGCTCCCCATGCACCACTTTGGTGGCCTGGGTTCACAGGTTCAGATCCTGGGTGCTGACCTACACCACCTGTCAGCCATGCTGTGGCAATGACCCACATATAAAATGGAGTAAGAGTGGCACAGATGTTAGTTCAGGGCTAATCTACCTCAGAAGAAAAAAAAAAGCCTTTTAAAGGATAGGTAGATCTTAAAAGAATAAAGTTTCTAAAAATTTTTGAATGTGCTGGTGAGGGTAGAGGGCAATAACTCCTTAAATACTGCTGGGGTGGTGTATATTGGTAACATCTTTCTGGAAAGTAATTTATCACTGTGCACCAGTAACTTTAAAAATGTTTCCATTAGTCAGCTCAGAGTGCCATAACAAAATAACATAGACTGGGTGACAAACAACAGAAATTTATTTCTCATAGTTCTGGAGGTAGGAAGTTCAAGATAACAAGGTACCAATGTGGTTGGTTTTTGGGGAGAGTGCTCTTCCTGGCTTGTAGACAGACACCACCATCTAGCTGTGTGCTCACATAGTGAGGAGAGAGAGAGATTTCTCTCACTTCCTTTTCAAATAAGGTCACAGTCTCAGACACCACCCTTATGACCTCATTTAACCTTAATTACCTCCTAAAGTTCCTACCTCCAGATACAGTCACATTGGGGGTAAGAGCTTCAATTTGTGAATTTTAAGGGGACACAATTCAGTCCATAGCAATGTTCACGCCCTTTGACCCAGTAATTCCATTTCAGGGAACATATCCTGTGTGTGGTGTCAGGTGGGGGTGTGGAGTGGGGAGAGGGAACCGGAAGGTAGCCCTAGATGAAAGCTTAAGAATATTCAATATATTATTTATAATTTTAGACTTGGAAAACAAACACAAAGTTCAAAAAATATTAATGGTTGAATGTGTTGTGGTATAACGTAAGACAGAAAATTAAGCAATCAATAAAAGTGTTTCTGGGGCTGGCCCCGTGGCTGAGTGGCTAAGTTCGCATGCTCCGCTTCGGCGGCCCAGGGTTTCGCTGGTTCGGATCCTGGGCACAGACATGGAGCTGCTCATCAAGCCATGCTGAGGCAGTGTCCCACATGCCACAGCTGGAAGGACCCACAACTAAAAAAATATATATTTACAACTATGTACCGGGGGACCTTGGGGAGAAAAAGGAAAAATAAAATCTTTTAAAAAAAAAATGTTTTTTTAAAGTTTTTTCTAACCATGGGAAAATGCTTATATTTTTAAATGTAGGATAAAAAATTATTTATGTACCATGATATCAACTATGTAAAATAAATGTACAGAGGCATAGAGAAAATCCTTAAAGAATCTATAACAAAATATTAACAGTGATTATGTCTGGGTAGCAGGAACATACATTTTTTTTTCAAATTTTCTACAATAAGCATATATTATGTAGATAATGTAAAAATCTTTTTTCAAAGTAAACAAATCTGTAAACTCAGGGTAAAGGAGAGACAGGAGAGCTAACCGGGTGTTATCTAGGAAACCCACCGACTATCTTAATGGGAAATTAATTTAAAAATTTTATAATAAAATCTTAGGTAAATAACTTAAAGCTTTATTTTTTTTAGTTCTCTCTTTACCCAAAGGGGCATTTCCTTCTTTATTCTGCCCATGTTTGCATGTTGGAGATAAGAAAATAGGGGAATTTCTGTTTCTGATGTATTCCCTACTACTGGATTATTTAAATTACAATCTGTAAATCTAATTTATGTTTCTCTCTGCTGCGGATGCTGAGTGGGACACACAAGGAGCCATTTTTTGTTTTGTATCTAACATTTTATGCCTTGCCTTATTTCCAACATAGAGATCCTCAAAATTTCTAAACACAGTTAAATTTCAGGTTTCAGAGGAAATAAAAATGAACCTGATCTTATGTTACCGAAGAAAGCTCTTTCCAGCTCCCTTTGCCTAAGTTTGATGCGATCTCTTCACAAAACACACTTTCATTAGTATTATGAAAAAGTCAGCCTGATACCTAAACATGATTTTGTTCCTATGGACTGATTTCTCTTTCATCTTACACCCTTCCTCCTAATCTCTAGTTTTTCTATATGAGTATAGTCAGAAAAGAATTTATAAGTATTTGCATGTATAAGTGATTAAGTTTTAATTATTTTAGGTTTTAACCCTATAAGACTTAAAAAGTGGTGTCGCTACTTTGTTACTTAGTAGTGAATCTTCTAGTAACCAAGTAAGCATATTGGCTCATTCCTAAATAAATACATACATTATAGAGAGCAGATATGAGAGGGCCCCAAACTCAGATGTTTGTAATTATAGTTTACTTTTCTGAATACTTAATCTCTATATAGTCCCCATTTTGCCTGCTGGCTGAAAATTTAAACTAATAAATGCCAAATAAACAACTTCAGTAGTTTATCATTGGATTCAGGTTTAACATAGTCAATCCAGGATTTTCCATCTTATTTCCTCCCCAACATGGATTCTGTGGTTCAGGGTAGAGGGATGTGGGAGGTTGGGGGCTCCTAACAGTAGGGGAAGATTTTGGGTCTGTTTTCACCCTTTGACTTCCACTGGCATCTATGAGAGACAATTTGTCAATTCGGGTCATTGATTTTGGCATATATGCTCCTGCTATCATCTCCTGAGACTTACTCATCACTTGTCTGGGCTATCACTTATGGACTTCAAGTCCATGAAGTACATTCCATGTACTCTTCATCCCAAATAGGTTCACTGACCTTCCTTCCATTTGCCATTTTGGTGCCCTTTGCTGAGAACGGAAAATTTGGGAATGTGCCCCTGTGCCATGTCAGAGTCAAGTAAGACTTAGGCAGCCACTTTGGAGTGTCTCTACCCAGAGACTCTGTGACACCATTTCTCCTTGAGTGCTGCTACACTTTATTGGGTGGAGATCTTCTTTAAGGGACATGCCACATCCTTGGGCTTCACCTGGGAAGCAAGATACATTAAGTCTTTTCTACTCCCAGATTTCCAAGCCCAGAATTCCACCATCCATAACCTACTCAGGAACAAGTTAGAAGGAGACAGGGTACAGGACCCTTCAAGAGCTCACTCAAATCCAGACACTCTTCCTGCCATCTCTCAAAAACACTCCTCCCACAGCTTGGGCAAACTTGATCAAGTTGAGCATGGGGATCAGAGTCCTTTGGCTCTTTATCTGTTCTCTCCCTTTCCTATTTATTATTTCTTAAATTTTAAATCCTGATACATTTGAAACTCAAAACACTATTGCCTTTCCTAAAAGCCCAGCTCCAAAAGCTGAAAGTCTAGACTTCCAAGAATATTTTCTCATGTGCGTTTCAAGAGCTTAACCTAGAGTTCAAATACCGTGAATTTGATAGTTCCACCTTCTATGTTCAGCATACTAAGTAGTTTAAATTTATAGTGTAACTTACAAGGAGGATGAGAACCACCTTAGTAAACTCAAACTTTTATCTAACTTGTATCCAAGACCCCCACTCATTTATTCAATGTAGATTTATTGGGCACCCATTATGTGCAAGGCACTGTCCTAAATACTGATGTGTATATTTCTAAAGATAAAAATATAGTTGGTTTTCATAACATATAATGTTTATAAATTACCTACAATGTTTTGAAAGAATAGTGGCAACATAACCACATGTTGCACTAGCTTAATTCATTAGTGGACGAAAACCAGGCATTTACGCTCTGGAGACTAAGCAAGGTGGGCATATTGTCTCCTGAATAAAACCATGAACTAGTTACAAACGCAGAATCCCATTAGATTTTTAAAAAAGGCGTCAAGGTGAATCAGAACAATGTTATACAGATCCAAGTCAGGCACAACAAGAAATTAACGTGCTAAAAAATCAAGCAAGTCACAGAGTAAAGGAAACCAATGCAAAAGAAAGTTCCAAGTAGAGAGAAGGAGGGTGAAACTGGCATACTTCTCTGAGTCTGGTTTAGGGATTCACCAACATGTTTTTTTTACATTGTGTTGTTGACCTCAAACCTGACCATGCTATGTTGATAGCCTCTTTTGGCTTTTGCACTTTTAAAACCATTATAAGAAACACTTTTTCAGGAACAAATGAAGTAATACTTATTCACAGAATAACAATTAAGTTCTGAAGCAAATTTGTTTCTCTAAATGTTCACTTTGGCTATTTCATCTATTTGCATGACCTCAACTATCACCCCAATAAAGACAATTCACAAATCTGTCACCATTTAAGACCCAGCCCAAATAAATGCCCTGACAGGTCTTTCAAATAGCTAGTGATGTATGGCCAAATGCTTGCTGGCCGTTTCCCTCTGATTGTTTTGACATCTCCAACTCCTTATGTCCCAAACGAAAATCATCACCTTCCAGGAAATGTGCTAACCACCTTGCAATCTTTCTCTCTCTTCCTGGCATTCCCATCCCTGGAGCAACCCAAAATCAAAACCTCAAAGCTCTCTTTGATTCTTTTGTCTTATCCACTGTCATCTTCCAGCTCTTTCCCCATCCAGCCTTGGCCTGATATTAAATTGAGTTAATTAATGGATAATTATTACATACTTTTTCTTTCTTTTTTTCTTTTTTTTTTTTTTTGAGGAAGATTAGCCCTGAGCTAACATCTGCTGCCAATTCTCCTCTTTTTTGTTGAGGAAGACTGGCCCTGAGCTAACATCCATGCCCATCCTCCTCTACTTTATATGTGGGATGCCTGCCACAGCATAGCTTGCCAAGCGGTGCCGTGTTCACACTTGGGATCTGAACCAGCAAACCCAGGGCAGCCGAAGCGGAACCTGTGAACTTAACCACTGCACAACCGGGCTGGTGCCTGCTTTTCATTTTTATATGCTGTAGACAGGCTATAGGTTTGGGTCATATTAATCAACATATACCTTTTTTTGCCACTTTAGGAACATGTAAGAGATGTGTGTCTTAATCTGTTCAGGCTGTTCTAACAAAAATGGCATAAACTCAGTGGCTTAAACAACAAACTTTATTTCTCACAGTTCTGGAGGCTGGGAAGTCCAAGATCAGGGTGCTGGCAGATTTGGTGTCTGGTGAGAGCCTGCTTCCTGATTCAGACACGGCCATTTTCTCTCTATGTCCTCACATGGCTGAAGGGGAGAGAGAGCGGTCTGGTGTCTCTTTTTCTAAGGGCACTAATCCCATTCATGAGGGCTCTACCTTCATGATCTAATCACTTCCCACACGCCCCACCTCCTATACCATCACATTGGGGGTTAGGATTTCAACATATGAATTTTGGGGGACCTAAACATTCAATCCACAACAATGCAATTGCAGAAAGTCATGTTACGTGTATTTGTGAGTGCTGCTAGTCTGCTAAAAAATGCTTGTGTATAATAGACAGTTCTCAATTACGCACTTTCTGCTTTTCTCTGTGAAGGTAGTCAGTTTTATAAAAAGTTATAAATAAGAGATTGAGAGTATACTAGGAGTAATAGTGACAGAAATACAACTGTGCTTTTGTTTTTCAAAGAAAAAGAGTAGTTTTGTTCTAAAGCAACAATCTTTAGGCTTTTTGGTCTCTGAGCCAACTTTACACTTTTAGGACCTCTTGAGCATCCGAAAGAGCTTTGGTCTATGTGACTTATAACTATCAATACTTAATGTATTGGAAACTGAAAAGTTATTGATTGATTGATTGATTGATTTGAAGATAGCAATGATGGACACATTGCATACTAACATTAATATCATCCTAATATTATTATTATATTGCATAATTTTGACATCACAGATACCTTAAGAGAGAACTACCATCTTAAAATGTCAGTTTGTTCCAGATTATGAATGAGCATAATTAAGCACAAAACTCTGGAAGTGAATTTATTTGCTTTGATTTATAATACCCAAATCTCAATGAAAGCTACGAAATGTTAAAAATTATAATGAAATTTTCTCAATTCTGATGGGCTTGCTTCTGTGGTTTACTGATTAGTGCCTTCACCTGTAATATCAAAGTTTATTGTTTACACTATGTGTAATCTGCCTATATAGCAAAGAGTCTGTGTCTTACCAGAATAATTTGCTTTATATGGACTTTATTATAGCCTTGATTGTTCAAGAAAAAGATAAAGGTTCTCACTTATGAAAGAGCTAAGATTCTGTATAATAATGCTACTTTCTATGCTTATTTTTATATATTTATTTATTTTTTAAATAAACAACAGAAATTTATTTCTTACAGTTCTAGAGACTTGGATCTGAAGTGCAAGATCAGGTGCTGATGCTGGCAGATTCCACGTTTGGTGAGGGTCCAATTCCTGGTTCCTGGAGAGCCATCTATTTTCTATGTTTATTTTTAAATGTTATATTGTCATTTTGGTTAAATAGTTTCTCAGGCACCCATTATCCTATCTTAATCAAGTCCCCAAATTTCCTTTGACAACATTTTTAATTGCCTTCCCACAACTGGATATTAAATAGAAAAAAATTTATAACTTTCAGGATATCTTTTATACTAAACTATCTTTGAGATTTCCTAGAGGGCCCTTGGAAAAACACGAAGGTTTGTTCTTTTACTTTATAAAAAAAGCCATGCTAGAAATAATTAGATTAAGTTTGTTTGATGTGTTACAATAGTAAGAATTGCACAGGAATATTTGTCGGATTAGAAAGTGCACACAGCCTGGACTAGGTTAAATACATGTAAGCAAAATGTTATTAATATAAATATTTCAAAAGTCAAAGACTTTATGGGAAGTCCCTGGAGAGTTGTGAATGCCCTCACTGACCATAATGTTTTACACTCAGAGGGAACACAGATGATCAAAATTTTTGTGAAATATTTATATAATGTTCCTTGATAGAGGAATTCAGTATCCTACATTCTGATATTACTGGGTACAGTAATAAATTAGTATGATGATGGTTTGGACAAAGGTGTTGTGGAAGTAGTGACAAAAGTCAATTTCTGGATTAAAGTTGAAGGTGGAGCCTATAAATCTGTTCATAAATTGGATATGGGTTAGTTAGAAAAAGAGCAGTCAAAAGCATCTTCAAGGTTGGTTGGCCTAAGCAAGTGGTGGAATTCAGATGCCATTAAGGAGATGGGGAAGACCACAGGACATCTGGTTTAGGAGAGACTACAAAGAATTTAATCTTGGACCTGTTAAATATTAAATTATTAATAATAAATAAAAAGGCAATAACATTCATATAAATAAAATAAAATGTATAACATAAAAATTCGACAAAATATTTATACAATCTATTTTACAAAATAATATTTTTAAATACATAAATTTTATGAATAAAATAAAATGGCAATATAAATTATAATAAAAAATAAACTGTTAATATTAATACCATTAATCATTTTACTAGTATTTATTATTAAATATTCACATTGCAGGTGTTAAGTAGGAATCTGGACTCAGGGAACAGATCCAGGCAGGAGATATAACTTCAGAACTTATTAATTATTATAGCCATGAGACTGGATGAGATAACCAAGGGAGAGAGTATAAATAAAAACATGTTGTCGCAAATGGCTAGATTTTCTTCTTTTTTATAGCTGAATAATACTCCATTGTATATATACAGTGTGTGTGTATCACATTTCTTTATCCAGTGATCCATTGATGGACATTTAGGTTGGACCATCTCTTGGCTAATGTAAATAGGCTGCGATGAACATGTGGGTACAGATTATCTCTTTAAGGTAGTGATTTTATTTCCTTCAGATATATATCCAGAAGTGGAATTGCTGGATCATATGGTAGTTCTATTTTTAGCTTTTTGAGGAAGTTCTGTACTGTTTTCCATAGTGGCTGTGCCGATTAACATTCCCTTTAACAGTGCACAGGGGTTCCTTTTCTCCACTACCTCACGAGCACTTAACTCTTGTATTTTTGATAATAAAGCTGGGAAAAAAAATTTAAAAAGAGAAAAGATGCAAAGATTTCAATGCCATGATCTAGAAGCCCTGGTTTTGCACAGATGGATTTCCAGCTTGTGGATTCATGAAAAGTTGAGGTATACAGAGCAAGATTCAGGTCACCTGACTTTTAACTTCTGAGAACAGGAATAGATTTTCCTATTCTCTCTTCCTTAGTCCCAACTTCCTGACTATGTAGTAGCGCCCGATGGATTCCAAAAAGACCTCAGGATTATGGGGTATATTTATTTATGTTACGTTTTTAATTTACAAACACTTACATGATGCTTACTATGTTCTAGACTGTGTCCTAAACAGATAACAAATATTAACTTATAATCTTCGTAACCATTATAGGAAGTAGTGAGCGTTGTTATTCCCATTTTACAAAATAGGGCGGTTTAGTGACTCGGCCAAGTTCTCACAGCTATTAAAAGGCAAATTGGATCTACTACGAGGTAACTCCTCTTCAATCACTGCAACAACAATGTAGAAAAGCTCTGAGACAATAGGAGGTTGTACGTTCTGCACCAACCACACATGGGCCCTGGAACTCAGGAGGCCTCTGTATTTACTGAATCCCTAACTCAGGACTTCAAAGTCATTTTTCTCTTCTCAACATTAAATCTCAGTTTCATTTAACATCTATATTCTATATTCTCAAATCCCAATTTGCAATTTTAATGATAGTTTTTCTACAGACCCATAGTTTTCAATATAACATTCAAATGGTGGTATCCAAAATTCACTGTAGTACTGGAAGGAAGACCAAGCAAAATTGCAAATACAGTGAAAAGATTTCACAGCAGTCTCTCCTACATTTTTGATTTTTCCAAATGTAAGAGGTACCTGAGAAGAAAATCTCATTATGTTGGAAAAGCCTCTGCCCTTGATGGCACAAGTGATTTTTTAAGCCAAGCATGTATTAGCCAGAACAGGTGATCTCTATTCCAAAGGGAGGTTGCAACACTCCTTTTCCTTGCTCACCAGATTGCTCCAGCATTTAGGTTATGCCTTAGTTAAACAATCTTTCTCCAATACTACTGTTGACTGATCAGTTTCTACTTTGATCAAAGAAATGCTTTCTCAGAGTCAGAGCAAATGGTTTTGGAATAGGACTTAGACTGGAGAAGTCCGAAGAACAGAGCCCTGGGACTCAGCCCATCGCAGAAGCCTTTGCTCATTTCCCACAACAGTAGTGTTATGGTACCTGTTCACTTACTGTTATATTGGTAATGGCCAATCTGAAGAAGCAGATCAGTGGGTTTCCAGCACTTTCCCACTTGCTAAAGTATGTTAAATGAAGCTGTGTTGATTACCTATATTTGCATTTCAGTAGCCTAAGTAGCTAAGAAAAAGTCTAGCAAATTGATTTTTTTTATATACAGGTTTGCCCCACTATCCAAAAGCTGGCTTCACACCACTTCGCTTTTACAAATGACCTACAGTAGTACCTGTCTTCACTGAAGAAATCCGAAGAGGATTTTCACTTTTACGAAAAAAGGTGAAAATAGCGTCCTGCATTTGTTTTGCAGTGAGTCGTTACAGAGGCTAAGCAGTCAGGCATACTGTCATATTTCAAACCTTCCACATCAGCCACAGCAGACAATGAACCTGGACCTTCGACATCGAGACAGGCAGACACAGAAGAAGGGGTAAGCATTAGTGATCTTCCTGGCCTGATGGGTTCGGACAACGATGATGAGATGTTAATAGATGACCCTCTTCCTCTCACTCCTCCACCCCAGTCTCCTGTACCCCCCACCGTCCCCACCTCAGACGACTCAGCCTTCACATCATCACCGCCACCCCTCAGCCTTCCAGTGTGCTCGCCGTCTTCCCGAGTCTGGTAAGTGAAACTACACTGCACATACATCATTTCTACTTCATATAGGCTGTGTATCTATCACGTCATTTCTGCTTTCACTATATGTTAGTGTTATTTTAGGTTTCATGTAGTATTTGGTAGGTTATTTTTGGGTCTGAGAATGCTCAAAAAAATTTTCCCATATAAATTAATGGGAATTGCTTCTTCACTTTACGCCATTTTGGCTTCCTAAGGGTTTCATAGACGTGCTCAACTTTCAGATAGTGGGGGAAACCCGCATATGAATCAAATTTGAACATGATTTTTAATTTAAATATTGGAGTGCTCAGGTTAGCTATCTGTTGGATTAAATGTCAAGCACATCCTTAATTTACTAAATCAGTGTTCAAGTCTGTAATTGAAGTAATCTCTTTGGTAATGTATCCTTAAGGCAAGGGAATACTTTGACTTAATTAAGAAGAGAATGTCAGTTGATGAGTATGTCTTTTCAGAGAATGTCTCCTTGCAGATATACTCAATCAAAGAGATAATAATTAGCTCAGTGAAACCTTACAGGTAGAGAACATATTTGTAATTTTAAAATGAATATACTATTTGTGTAATTAGGCAATGTGAGTTTGTCATTTTACATTTGTCTGATGGAGAAAATAAATTTTCTGGTACTAAGTCTCAGATCGTATCCTGAACTATGATCTTGGGGAATTTTCTGAACTCATGTTTGTGTCAGTTTATTTTTATCATATGGGGTAATTCATTAAATGTAATATATTTAATGGTAATTTTAACACACAAGGTTTTTTAATATTTCGTTTCTGTTTACTTTAATGATACTCTATGAGAAACACCTAGTTTCTCTGTTCTCTTGGCCTACCAACAACCAGCTTTATGATTTTTGGCAAATTATTTAATGTCAGATTATTTCATGTATAAAATCTGAAGTTTGATCTGCAATGTTTGATCCAGATCTAATATTCTGATTATTTGCTTTATTTAAAGATCATCTTTCGTCTTCTAAAATTGAAGATCTTATTTATATGAAGCTTCTCTTTTATTCCTATGTATTGAGTTCTAAAATCTCTCAAATTGGAATGAGACTGTCAGGAAGACACTGAAACAACAGTGAAAGACTTTGAAATTGGCAAAGAGTACTGAGTGTCTTGTCTAGAACATCCTTCTGGGTTATCTCTACCTTTCAATGTCTTTGAGCTATTTTATAACTCCATAAGATGTAAAATACTGATAGTAATTCAAATGATTCTTGTCTATAGATATGCAAATTGTGCCCCCTGAAACACAACTGATCATTGCCATAGGATATTATCCTGTTTGACATTTATTTGTAAATTCATTTCAGCATTTCTAATTGCCTATATATGCACAGTCTTTGAATTCTCCTTTAAATCACTTATAACATCTTATTGGTTTCCTCATTAATTGATAAGTTAAATAAAATCTTGGACATGTGTTGATTTTATATTTGTATTAGGGTCATGATTTTAACCTTTAAAAATTATCTCTTAATTTACCTAAATAATTAGATTACTGTGAGATTTTAAATAAGATGATGCATGTTAAGGACTTGGCACAATGCCTGAGACATAACGATGATGATTCATATTTAGTCTACTAAGCAAGTAAGCTTTGATTCTAGTTAACGAGTGTCTTCTTCACAGTAACTGATAAGAATTCAAAATAACAAAGGATTTCGCTTAGATGGTTTGAAGATAATTAAAACTATAGCATGACTGAGACAAGGACTTTCGTATCATTAAATTACATATATTTTGGTTACAAATATTCAAACATCAATATCTCACTTAAAATCATGTTTTGATTTATATTAAATACTTTCAAAACTGAAGGGACTAGCAGAGACTTAGTTCCCACCTGAAGTGCTTAGGGAGGCAGAGGCTCAAGAAAACCACGTGGAAAAACATATAGGGGAGTTTGAAAGGAACCAGCTTCTCACTGTTCACAGTTCTGCCACTGATGGAAGTCACCCACTTGCTGAAGATTCATTCATAATATGGCTTTTGTCACGATGGGGGAAAATATAACAAGGAATGGCAAAGAAGAGATTCGAAATAAGGGAGTCAAAATAAACTTTCAACTGCCCTATTCTTTTCCTTCTAGCCTACCTTACCACAAAATAGAGAGACCTTGCAATGCAGAGAAGTGAAGGATATTTTATTTAGGTATGTGTTTCTATGTTACTTCATTGAACAAAAATATCTGAGCTGTGCATGGTTAAAGACATAGTTTGGATGAATAGGAAGGAATCCTGATTACAAGCACATTACACGCTGGAACAGGTTTTCTAGGGACAAGATTGGCCTCATCAAGATATATTAAACAGTTGTTGAGATGATTAAATGAGAAGGGTTGAAGGGGCCGTAGAAATGTCCTCAAAGAATTTCTTGTCCTCAATATCATTATAAGCAAAATAAACAAACAAATAAATTCAACCAACATTTATTAAATACTGACTATGTGCCAGGTACTATTTTAGCCAGAAAAATCTCTGCCCTCATGAAGCTTACTGTGGGAGGGAGCAGAGAGCAGAGCAGGAGACACAGTCAGTAAGTAAAATAAAAAAATAAATAATGTGGTATATCGATAGGTGCCACGGAGAAAAATGAACACAGCAGGAAGGGAAGTGCTGAGGGCTGTAGTTTTAAAAAGCTTGGTCAGAGAAAGTCACTTTGAGGGGATATTTGAGCAAAGATTTAAAGAGAAGGAGCAAGCCTTGAGGATATGGGGTAGAAAGGGAGGGGGGAAGAATGTTCCAGATAGAAGACCCTGAGGCAGGTAAATACCTGATGTGCTTGAGGAATAACAAGGACGCCAGCTGGCCTCAGCAGAATGAGCAAGGAGGACAGAACGGAACAGGGTCAGGGAGGTAACGGGAGTGAGGATGGAGGCAGATCCTTGTGGGCCTAGGGAGCCACTGTAAGGTCTTCGGCTTTCACTCTCAAAGACAGCGGGAGCCACTGGAGAATTTCAAATAATGGAGCCATATTACCTGGGTCACCAAGAAAAGAAAAGCAGCAACTGCATTCAAACAATGAAAGGGTTGACAAGAAAGAGAAGACTCTGTAGAGAAAAACCCAGAAATACTTGGCTCTAAACCTGCTCCTATGCCTCCCCCACCCAGCCCTCACAGCCAAAAAGTCATATGGAAAAATTTCCTCCCCCAAATCTGGAGACAATCACGTTGAGTTGGTTCATTCACTTTTTTCTCTTTGAACTGAGGATGAATAAAACTGTTTATTTTGAGTTTGGTACCCAATTCCAATGTGTGAAGGGGGGTTTTTCCCCTCACACCACTAAGCAATGCTTGGGACATCAGCTGGGTGTCCTGCTAGTCAACCCAGTTCTCACACTATCTACCCAGAGACAGCATCAGATTCCCCAGGTGAAGGGCTCAATCCCACAAGACCGCCCTCCACTTCAGATGCCACTCGCAAGGCCAGGTTGTTACCTGTGCTTCTGACTAACTGGCTATAAATCAGAGGTTCCCAAGACCCCCTACTTGGGTTCGATTAATTTGCTAGAGCAGCTCATAGAACTCAGGAAACCCATTTACTCACTAGATTACCGGTTTACTACAAAGGATATTAAAGGATACGCGTCAACAGCCAGAGATCCATAGGACAAGGTCCTGATCACAGGCGCTTCTGTCCTCATGGAGTCTGGGGCCTGGCACGGTGGAGGCATTCTGGTTCCCCAACCTGGAAGCTCTCTGAACCCTCTCTGTTTTGGGTTTTTATGTAGCCTTCATTACATATGCACTGTTAATTAAATCATCGGCCACTGGCGATTTATTCCCCCAGCCTCTCACCCTCCCTGGAAATCAGGGGTTGGGACTGAAAGTTCCAACCCTCTGTTCTGGGTTGGTTCCCCTGGCAACCAGCCCCCATTCCTTAGGTGCTTTCCAAAAGTCACCTTATTAACATAAACCCATTCAGTGTTGGAAAGTATGAAGAACAAGACAACTATTTCACCACACTCTTTCAGAAAGGCTCTGAAGGCTTTGCAGGACTGAGGACAGAGACTGAATATTATAATAAAAGATGCTTCCATTGCTCTTATTGCTTAGGAGATTCCAAGGATCTGGGGGAGCTGTGAGCCAGGAACTGTGAACAAAGACCAAATATATATGAGAAATAGATTTTGGTCATATGAATGACCATATATATATATATATATATATATATATATCCCATAAATCACAATATCACACTGTCATTGGGGGTGGGGGAGTGAGACAGAGAAATGAACAATGAGCGTCTCTCTCTCTGATGGATACAAAGGTTCCATGGCAACATTCTGAATTGAGGGAAATGGTCCAAAGGTTGAATAAACAGGTGTAATGCACTGGGGGGAAAAGTCAAGAAGTCACCACATTATATCAGGTGAGACAGAGGCACTCAAGCCTTAGCAATAGCTTGGGGAACTGCAAATATCCTATGGGGTAAGAGGGACTATTGCATGCAAAAGGCACGGAGCCACCTTAGGGGAAAACAGCTCAAGAATAGAATAAAAAGGGGGAATATTGACCTAAGGAAAACATCACAAGGTCCAATACAATGTAATTACAGAAAAAAAGTTTATAAAATTAGAAAAAACAATTTACTGAATAGACACTGCTGAGAATTGAATTACTGAGGTAGAGGAGCTTTGCCTAATCAGAGCGATCACATAAAAAATACAGAGAATCAAGCAATAAATGAAGCTAAGAGATCCAGAACACAGACTAAGATAATCCAATAAGAATAAGTTTTCTCTATGAAATAGACACCCCATACGATGGTAGAGAAGATGTATTTAAAAATATAACTCAAGAAGGGGGTCAGACTGGTGGCATAATGGTTAAATTTGTGCACTTGGCTTCGGCGGCCCAGGATTTGCTGGTTTGGATCCTGGGCGTGGACATATACACATGCTTATCAAGCCATGCTGTGGCAGGTGTCCCACATATAAAGTAGAGGAAGATGGGCACGGATGTTAGCTCAGGGCCAACCTTCATAAGCAAAAAAAAAGGGAGCAGGATTGGTGGCAGACATTAGCTCAGGGCTAATCTTCCTCAAAAAAAATAAAAGTAAAAAAATATCTCAAGAAGAATATCCCATAAAGAAAAAAACTGTAACTCCAAATTAAAAAGAACCTGTTTTTTCTAGTTAAGTCTGATAGAGAATGCTCAAATCCAATATGACTGAATCTCAAGGATAGAAGAATTCTTCAGGCATCCAAGCAGAAAAAGCAAATCACCTTCAAGAGGGGAGAAATAAAGCTAGTGTTAGACATCTCTATAGCAGCATTTGGGGTCCAAAGATGATGAAGCAAAGTCTACAAATGTGCCCTCAAATGTCTACAAAGTGGGGCCTTCAGGGCTGGCCCTGTGGCTGAGTGGTTAACGTTCCACACATTCCACTTCGGGGGCCCAGGTTTGCGTGTTTGGATCCTGGTGCTGACCTACTCCACTCATCAGTCATGCTGTGGAGGTTTCTCACATACAAAGCAGAGGAAGATTGGCATAGATGCTAGCTCAGGACTAATCTTCCTCACCAAAAAAAAAAAAAAAAAAGGGGGGGTGTCTTCAAGTCATGAGCATGGGCAATACTTGGACACTTGTTAGAATTGCAGAATCTCAGGCCCAATGCCAGTCTTACTGAATCTGCATGTTTAACAAGTCCCCAGGTAATTTCTATGCATATTAAAGTCTGAGAATTAGTAACCAACAAAGCTCTCATGGAAAGAAGGTGTTGAAAGCAATATTCTATTTCAGTTACTATGTCACTCTATTTATAAGGTCATATTTTCAAACATAAAATTACTAACAGAAATAGCACCCATGAGCTTTCTGAAGGCTGGATAACAAAATTCAGATGTCTCATTCAGGAACAAAGAAGCAAGAAGTGAAAGCATGGTGTTAACTCTGAATTCGTTTGAACAGAGAGCACAACAACCATGAGAATTAGGGTTAAAGAACTGAATGTGAATGCAGTAATGTGAATGATGTGAAAATGATATAACCCACAACAGGGAAGATGGGAAGAAGAATATCTCCATTTTTCAAAGCCAACGTCTACAAATACTTTCTAAATTTGAAGGCTGTAATGTTTTAAAAGAGCATAATGACTCCAATATCTTAGTATTTTTAATGTTTACACCTGTCTGCTTTTTTTTTATTACCTTAAAGACATATTTTGGGAAATGAGTTTTCCTGCAGTAAAGGCACATGTGAAGTTCAACAATTCCCTCAATTTCCCTTCCTTTTATTTTTCTTAAACTAAATTCAAGAAAATTTAATATTGTAATTACAATAACATTTATACTTATCACTTTTACAAAAGTATTTTTATCTTTCTATTCTACCCATCCATCATCAATATTTTCTCTGTTCATATGCAGAAAAAGTTGCCTATGCATCAGTGGTGTCTAGAACGTTGATTTATTTTTTTTATTGAAGTA